TATTTTACATGTTTTATACTAATGCCTTGTAGATCATACATAACCAACAGAAGAATCCTGCAGTATGAACAGAAAAACTGGGCTTATCATCATTTAACTCTTAACATGAAAGACATTGAGAAAAAATTTCTTAAAACCATAACGGAATATGAGTGAGAGAAATGCAAAAGCCAGGGCTAATCTTCTACTAATATACACACAAGCATCCCGGGCATTCCACCTTTTTTAAAAAGACTGAATCACAGCACTCTTTTTAAAAGAGCTCTATACCTTCAACAACCATACATCAGAAACAATCTGGAGTGGATAAAACACACTTTTTTCCCTTGGCGAATTAATGCCTTTTCCTATGAATAAATAGGCATGTTATGGGGGCTTTTGAGATAAAAAAACATCTGTTACATATAAAAATAAGAGAAAAATCCTTGAAAAACACATGTTAAGAAAATATGTTTTGAGAAAGCAAGCAAGTTTCTGGGTACTATTTGATTTAGCTTCCCAATAAATTGTATTATTTCATGTAACAACATAAAAAAAAGCAAATGGAAATAAAAATTAGTAACACAAATACATCCTTCTAACACTTTCTTCTAGCTTAAGTGCAAAATACTTTAGATAAACTTTGGTTTTGTCACTTTAATACAATATCATTAACACGTGCAAGCAACTGTTGCACAAGACAGATTGTCTTGTATTTTTTTTTCCCCAGAAGATTTTAAAACTGTCTGAAAAGGACAAAGTGATAATTTACCTATAAATCATACTTCTATGACTTACGACAAAGCACCAATAAAAACCCATACCTCTACCTTCATGGAGCTTTAAGTGTCTATACTGCAGCTATTTTGTTACCTGTAGTGATTCGGGCTAAAAACTAATCGGAAGTACAAGCAGCTAAAGGAGGCCCTGAAGTAAAGAGTAACAACAATCTTTAAAATTGTTACTTTCTATAGGAGAGTAAGAAGAGTTGCACCCTTGTAAGGTGCAACTCACGAATTCTTTCTAGTCAGTTTTTCTGTTTTACTTAAAAGTTTGCTTCTACTTTTCAAACAATGCCATTTAAAAATCAGGGTGTCTGAGAATGTAAGAACATAGGCTCCAGTTAAGGAATATAACATTCTAAATTGCTCTACAAGAAATGAGAGGAAACAGAGGAGTGGTAAAGGAAGTAACAAGCACTAGAGACAGGCAGGCCTTCAATATAAATGCATAATCATTTTGAAAATTACCTTTGACGGTGTTTTAATTCATGGGTAAAACCAATTTTTTCCATCCAGTTCTGTAAAAACTTGAATTTTAAGTAAAAATACTAATTTTTGATGAGATTTTAAGAGAAGTATCTTCTTAAGAATCCTAGAGTTTCTAAACTAGGATTTTAAATTTCTGCCTATTTCAGAGGCTTATGAATTAGAGAGAACCTAGATACCTCTATTTCAAAAGTATCCAAATAAAACTTCCCCAACAGTAATGTAAAGTACATGCTAGAAGAAGTATCGAAGTTCAGGATGATAACAAAATTAGAGGCAAATAAAGCTCAGAGAAAGCAACTGGGGAAGGAAGACGAAAAGAGCCATGTGCCCCTTCTGACAGAAGTGTGTTTCACATATGCTAGTTTCTAGGGAGAAAGCACTAATCCTGTATGCAGAGGCCACCTCAGCTGCTCTCCTCTTCATCAGAACAATTCATGTCAAAAGTTCCTCTAAGGACAGTTTTTGCCAACCAGCTGTTCCCCTCTCATTGTAGGAAGTCACCTCCTTTGCTCTTTGGCTTCTTGGACCTCCAAATGAGTTATGAATAGCCTTGTGCTAATGATACCCTAACAGTGATACCACAATCACAGTGGTGGCAAATGTACTCAGAGAAATTACTGTGTGGTAGGTTACTTAGTCTATTAATCACCTTATCAAGCACTACAGCCTCAGGAACATTCTCCCTGTAACAGACAAATTTTAGTACACAGCTTACAAAGTTTTCATTCTTACCAGAGAGCACATTTTTTCCAAGCATCTTGAAATAGATACTACCAATATCAACAGATATTGGCTTAATTTCTGGAATATTATGTAATGATGGTCAAGCAAGTTTACCTTCTGGAAAAGCAGGCAGTCTTGTTACAAAAGAGTTAAAGTTTGATTAATCTTAGATTTGTATTTTTTTCCAAAAATTTTTGCAGCACTTGCAATATTAAACACCAATGAACCTGCTGGACAATTTCAGCAGCAGTTTGCACCCACCAAAGTTTAGATCACAGAGCTGCAACACTTACTGTCTCTACTATTTAAAACCAGCTTTTTTTTCCAGGAGCTGCGGAATTAATCTTGGTACATGTTAAACTGCAAAAGGGAGGCACAAGAGCATGAACTACAAAAATGTGTATTACCTGCTCTCCCATACAAGCACAAGAATTGCTTTGCCTGTATCAAAAGGTCCACGTTCTTGTCCCTTGCACACATCTCTAGGCAGCTTTAGCAATCACTAAAATTAATGCTTTCAAGAACAGCCATGGAGCAATTCATATGATGTGAATGCTTTAACTGCATATCCATGCCTTCAAGCATCTTAAGTTTGTTTCAAGGTGCTTTTCTTCATATTACACTTTCCTGATTGGGTTCTGCTATCAAGTTTTAATCTGTACCTTATAGTAAATTAATTTCATCACACATTCCACATTTAATATACAGCTCATTTCAGTTCTTACACCACTTGTAGACTAATCACAACTGCACCAAACGGACTTGCTTTGTTTGTTTGAAGTCTGACTAATTGTTGCCAAGCAGAGTTCCTCAAAACAACTGTATTACTTATTCTTCCTAATTCTGTATTTGCAAAGAAAGGAATGAAAAGGGAGAAGACAATTGTGCTGCTGGTATGAAATGCTCTGAGTGGGGGATGGACTACATGACCTACATTCTTCAATGAGTCAATGCAACAGCATCCACATAGTGTGAATGAATTAATATTGGAGATACACCAGTAATGGATTTCTACTTCCCCAGCAATCCCATCAAGCTTCAAAACTCGTCCATGTGACAATAGCTCTTCTGCTTTTGGGGCAACAGGTAGGGTGCACTAAGAGGCCCTAATGAAGATCTGTACTTTTTAGCATCTGCCTCTCATAGACCATCCACATCCACAATTACTGTAGCATGGTTGTTTCACAAAGCTCAGCAAAGACAACAGAAAAAACTATCCAGACATACTGCAGCTCAACAGTTATGATTTCAGCAGAAAAACTGGAGGTAAAAATGCTATACCCCACACCTGGTCCAGTGTAGCTGCCAACTCTGTAAGTGAATAGGATGTACTTCATGGTATATACAACAGACAGAGAAAAAAAGACTTTACAGCAGTTTATAGAGTGCAGCGGCGGCAGAGGCCTGAAAGTGTTAAGGCTCAGGACAGCAAAGTTACAACTGGGCATTCGTGCCTGTTACAGTGGCAGTGCAGTTAGTATCCTGTGTCAGAACAGAAACAGCCCAGGTTTCAGGTATATCTGACAGAAACAGATTCAGTCTGAGAGGTCATATTTCACATTCAGTAATAGTACCTGAATGGGTGCTGATGGTCACTACTAAAATTTAGTCCAGCCTCTGGCAGCACACAGAACAAAATTATAAACTTAGGGTCTGGTTTTCTTGTTTTCTTCTGTATCCTATCTGTGGTTTAGTGCAGTCTGATCAGATGAGTTTTTTGATCCTTCTCATATATATATCCACTTAAAAGAAACTAAAACAACATCCATATTTCAGTACCTAACAATTAGGCTCACTAAGTATTTGTCTCTGTCCCACCTGTTACTAGTGAGCAGAATTAATCACATCAGCTAGACAGCCACCTTAGAGGTGGTATAGGAAAACATCCCAGCCCTAGATAATGCAGACATAGAGGCAACATTTAAACAGGGAAGAGAAAACCTGTCAGCAAGACCCCGGAACAGAAATCAGGCACACAGTAAAGGTGCACAAAGGTAAATCTGTTGAGCTGGGGGTTGAGAGCATGTGTAAAACACATTATGGTAGAGCAGCTGGGGAATGATAATAATAATAGACAGTAATAATGGTAATAATAATAGACAGTGTAACTACCATGACAGAAAAAGCAAAAGGCAGTAAATATGTAAAAGTAATACAGTAAAACCAAAAAGCAGTATTATTGCTTTATCTAACATAATTTAAAACTACACTGTAGGTTTTTTTCCTTTATTCAATACAAAAGAATTACACCATACAGTTGGGAAGTTTTCCATTATGGACCTACAAAAGTTAATGCTATGCAAACCTTCTTAAGTAACATTCCATAAAATCTCAGGCAGATCTCCAACAGTTGTAGCTGAAAATATGCTGCTATCTTGTACATTATTGCCTTTAAAAAAAGTTCAGCAGGCCATATCAGACTCTTTCAACATGTATATGTAACTAATGTAACTAATGTACTCTCTCTGTCATGATGAACAATATTTTAAACATTTGTATGGATTCTTAAGACAACTTCAAAAATTTGCTGACAGCTATTAACTTCTAATGTACAGAACAGGATATTATGCCAAAGAAAGGCTGTTTCTTGCAAGTATTTATTACATTAACAAATTCACTTAACTGAAAAATTTTTCCATGCAGAGGGTATTTTTTTCTGTATATCTAAATGCAGAATACCCACCTGGACTGTAAACAGCACGATTACATTGCACAGTTTAGCAAATAAAGAGATGAACATAAGCATATTTATCAAAATACTTAACAAAGATGCTGTCTGTTCTCAAAATTTGATTTATCAGTTAGCCTCACTGTCACATAAACTTTGACCAGGCTACACAAGAGTTTAAAATAAAAACAAGAATCAACTACATATCTTGTACACTGTGCAATTCCAGGACAAGGTATGAGTCCATTTTACTAATGCAAATCACGAAACTGACTGAAAGTGGTATTATTAGACACTTCTGCTTTGACTGATTTTACTGAAAATAAAACTAACATATACTTCTCAAATTAGATACTTACAGTGAAAATACCCATTAGCTGAGTGTAAAAGAGTCGACTTATTCCACCTAATATTATTAGACCCATGAAGGCAGATATTCTTAGGAGAGCAAGTTCATGTCTAAATACAAACACATCCTAGAACAAGACAAAAAGAAGAGAGAGACTTTAATTTAGTTACAAATTAATTAAAGTCTTTGAACCAAGCGGAAATAAGCTGTAAGAGGTGTTCTCAAAGCCTTAAAGCTGAAGGCAAATATTGGATTCTGAGCTACATTGAACATCATTGGTCTATTTATGTTTTAAAAGCAGAAACCAGTAATATTTTCTTTATACATGTTAACAGTTGGGGGTTTATGTTGCCAGACTGTTAAAAAAAACTCCTTCAAGTAGTTAAGATTTTGGAAATAGATCAAGCTCAAACGGATTATTTCTGAATCTTCCATCTCAAACTGTGCCAAACTGCTACATACAAGCTATATGATACAGGAAAACTACTTCTGTTAAATGGTCTGGTTTATTATAACTTGGCTACCAGGCACAGCTCATTTCATTTTAACATCACCTCTTCTGAAAGAAAACAAACATTCCAAGATTGACATTTGAAGATTGTACCCATAAAGTCCAAGTACCCCTACCAGATTGTTCTTACTGTGGTGCTATCTATTATCCAATATAAAATTATCTCCAACTTTTAAATTTTGGCCTAGAGTTGGATTGCTGCAACTTTGGATAAGGATGAACAGTGTAGATGCTTCAGGGCACACAGAATATGGATGTATTCAATCAGCTGCATTGGAAAGTCTATTCTCAACCAGCAGAAAATATAAAAAGTATTACAGAATGTTATGTAATATCTTCAAAGGATAGAGCACCTTATTTTTATCACAGAAGAACATTTTTACGTGGTGTTAGGTGTACTGTGAGTTCAGATCCCATTCTCTTATTTTTAAGTTATATTTATGTTCTCAGAGCTGTTGTTCGAATATACACATCGTTTTTTTCACTTACAGAAGTTAGATCATGGCAGGAAAGTATTAAACCCTTTCAAGTGAACTTTATATTACAACCAGAATATAGAAGTGAACTGAACGAAAAAATGAAACAAAACAAAAAAAAATCCCTAACCAACCAAAAAAACAAACCCCCCCCCCCCCCGGGTTTATGTTCAACCACTATAACTTGAGGAAGAGGGACACTGGGTTTTCATTACACAGAATAGTTAATGCAAATTATGTTTAGCAAAAAGAAAAAAAATCTATTTTTTCATTTAAGTAATTTCCATGAAGATCCAAAATATATACCCAGGAAAAAAGTTTAAACTGCCTACTAAGGCTGTGAAGAAAGTCCGTATTTAATGAACAAGCAGAAAGCACTAGTTAAGCAGCAAAACCAAAAAACAATCCCCAACAGTAATTTCTGAACTATGGTAATGGTTCATCCCCTCTCCCCTCACTTGTTTATACTGGCCTTTCTTGCTGCTGTAGAAAATAGACTAATTTCCATTTCTTTTAATGCTTCTTACTCATTTAATGAGTTAATTCAAAGATAAATCAGCTCAAAATAAAAGCAGTCACACTATTCCTTATTTCCCTTTCCATTAGCTAATGAAAGCTTTAAAGAAAATCAAGGTAAGACACAACTTCTACTAGTTGTACTTCTTCATTATTTTTCAAAGAAGATGCACCAGCTCCACATCCACCAGCTCCCTCAGCACCTGTGTGTGCAACCCATCAGGCCCATGGATTTGTGGTTTTGTCTGCCTGGCCAATCTCTAAACAAACCTTCAGTGGCCAAGGGCAAGTATTCTTTTCTCCAACCTTCCTCTCTTGCCTCCAGGGTCTGGGATTCCTGAAGGATGGCCGCAGCAGTGAAGTCTGAGGCAAAGCAGTAATTCACTTTGCCCTCTTTGTGTCTTCTGTCACCAAGTTATCCATCTAAATTCAGCAGCATCTCCACACTGGTGGGGATCTTTCTAATCCTTGTTCTGTTGCTGATATACTTGTAGATGCTTTTCTTGTGGTCCTTGATATCCCTCAACAGACTTCATTCCAACAGGCCTTGCCTTTCCTTGTTGTATCCCTGCATTCCCTTCCATACTCCTATAATCCTCCCATAGGCCCTCTCTCTTTTTCCACATCCCTAGCAAATTAATTCCTAAGCAATTATGAACTGGAAATCAATACTGGGCAATCAAATCTCTACAGACAGAACAACATTTTTCTACAGAAAACCAAAGTATATGCAGTAACTGAGCTATTTGGTAATCAGACTTTAATAATAGAATTAATTACACAATTCTACGTGGGAACAGAAATATTTACCTCCATGAAAACAGAAGACCATTTAAAAAAGTAGTAATAGTAATAATAATAATAATAATAATAATAATAATAATAATAATAATAATAATAATAATAATAGTAATAATAATGTACTCAGGATGCTGCAGCTTTGCATGAAAGCTCAATGCAAGTTGGTTTTATTATCCCTTTTTAAAACTTAGACAGTAAGTCTTTTTCAGATGAGAAAGCCAATCAAAACTATAACTAATCAAAACTAGTCAATAATCAACCAATCCCTCTTTCAATGTGTTTTGAACAGATCCTCTTGTTCAACAGCATTCACCAATATCAGTGCAGCGTGAGTACTGACTTAGTGTGATTTTGGAGTTTGCGGCGCAGGCTACTTCTGCTAACAGAAAAAACTGTACAGACTGAGCCATCAAGCATACACAGAGATAGCTGACATCACCAGTGCATGAACATTCAGCTATCATAGCACAACAGGGTTTTGCTCCACAGCAGCTTTTTTCTACATTGCGCCAGGCTGGCTGTCATATATGGCCTTGGCACAGATGCTAAAAGCATATTCTTAACAACATGAGAGCTTTCCTTCACATAGCCTCTTTCTAATCTTCTTTATGTCAGCTCCACAGCCTATGTGGTCTGCCAAAACTTCATGTTCACATGGGTTGCTGCCACTGCCTTTCTACTTCTACACCACACCACACAGCACTCCCCATTGGCTGCTGCATGTTCCAAAGGTTTCTAAATTCCATTTAGCTGCTACTTCTATCCATCCAGCAAAACTGCAAGGATTCTTAGTTACCCATAAAAATGCACAGAAATGTGAACAATTAAGAACTTGTCACAAAACGTGTAGGTTTATAGGATTATGTTGAAAAATGGACACAAACCACAAGATCTGGCATCTTTATCTCAACAGACAATACCAAAACATTCTACAGAAAGTCTCTGGGACAGATAAACAAGGGACTTCCTCAACCCCACAGCAGAAAACATGCCTCATCCTCATTTGTGAGCATCAACCACTACAGATGACCCCTAGAATCAATGCTACCACTGACTAGAACAACAGCTACCATGGCTATATGCTATCATACAGGAGAGAGGTCAAAAACCTAGATTGTAGTCCATCACTTCCAAATTCAACTCTCTTTGTTCCCTACCAACAATAACAACAAAAAAACCCTTAAAAACATATAACAAGTCCCTGCTATGTGCATTACTGTTATTGTTTTCAAGGATTTATAGTTCCTTTAAAGCAGCATATTGTCCTGAGGACAGAGCCTTTGGCAGGAAACACAGGACTATTGTGTCTGTTCCAGAAGAGATCATCTTCATAATTTTTCATTTACAATGGAAGATTAATTTATTCTATCTTTATTCTTTACTGAAATATGACGCACACAGAGATTAATATACAAGAAAATACATAAAAAGCCCTCTTTTTTTCTTTGTGAACAATATTTTGTGTAACACATGATAACCTGGTTGTCTGTGCTAGAAGTCAGTCTATCAACTTGGGTATCGCAAAAATAGTGTATAATACAAAAGAAAGCCAGGCTTTCCAGAAAGCAAACTAAAAAATATAGACTGCAGGTTTTGTAGAAAGAGGAAGGATTTAATTCAATATTCATATACTGTCCTTACAACCATAGTGAAGGACAGCAGGGTTGGGTTGGTTTTGAAGAATGCTGAGAAGAAAAATTTTGTTGTTTTTTATTTTTAAAAAGAGAAAAAGTTTCCTTTAGACTCTCTTTACAGTATAAATGGACTTTGGATGATACATATTTCCAGATTTTCCTTAATATTAGTCAATGCATAATATTAATATTACTGCAAAAAATCCTTTTCCAAAGCAAAGACAATGATTTGTAATTGTGGAAACAGGAACAAAATAAAACTAAATCAGAGCAAAGGGGCCTAGGTTTTTATATGTTAAGAGGTTTGGCTATGACAATTATTGCAGCAAAATTTCTAGCAAACAGAATGTATCAGCAGAATTCCTTTTGCTTAAAATATTAAAAGCCTACTATAAATAAGGTAAAATATACTGCCAAAGCATTTACTTTTGCAATTTGACCAGCTGTATCTAGAATCTGTGCCAGCACAGCCATGGAGAGAGCAACTATGTAGTGGTAAGTCTAGTATTTATTCTTCTCATCTCACTATTCAGAAGACTGACTACTTCCTAAAATATAGACTTCCTGACATTTTTTCATGAAGACGTAAGAATATTCCTGTGTTAACCTCTGTAAATCACTAATGCCTGCAGAAGAACTAATATGCTGATTTTATTCAAACAATATATTTTGTCTTGAGCTATCACCCCACATAATCAATTTAACTATCATCTCCTTTATTTCTAGCAGTAATTGCACTCCTCCTACTGGACAAACAGAGGTAACAACCATAACCTAAATTTCTGGCAGTGTATGTTACAAGAACTAAGACTACTGTGAAGCAATTTTCTGCAGTAAGAGGTGAAGCTGAAAGATTGCATCTCTACAGAAACAGCTTCCTCCATTACCTTTAGAGCTTTCACCCTTAATTCAGAATAGTTAATTTAAATTTTTTGGGGTTTTCTTTCTTGACCCTTTAAAAAAAAACCCCACAAATTCAAATTAGGAAAGAGATACTAACATGCTGGCCAAATTTGCATAATGCCTTAATCAGTACTGTAATAAAATTATCATTTCACAACAGCACTAAAAGCAATTTTAATTCTACAACTTCTGTTTTTTGTACTACTTTATATCTGAAGAATAAAAATGTAGATGAAGGCACACTGCCAAAAAATTCACAAGTATTTTAATGAGCAAGAATAAGCTTATTCCAGATGGTTTTTTGGAAAAAAAAATCATCCAGTTCTTTGAATCTGTTCTAAACACTAGCCCCTGTAAATTCAGAAAATGTAAGCTCCCAGTTACAGCCAAAATTTCAACAAAGAACTGTGCTTTTGTGAAAGGCTGAAGGTACCGTGCTCTCTGGAATGCTGTGGTACCTCAGTTTTAATTGATATAAAGGAGAAAAAGAATCTTGCAGAATGCTTGCCTAAAACCCTAACTACTACTAAGCCTATCTTTTCACCAGTCCTGTTCCTTTGGTGTCAAAAAGACATAGTTCTGACAAATTACTCCGTGGCACAAATCTATACAGCATCACATCCTTAGCAGCACTTAAAAAAACCCACCTCATGGAGCTCTGGTGTTGTTTTCCAGGCAGATATGTTGACTAAGCATGACAACTATTTCAGTTTTCTCTACTTCGCTGTGTGCTCTCCTATTCTACAGCTGAAAACCTGAGAAAGCTAAATACTATTTAGTGTTACACTATACTTAACAAAGGTCTTAACAGCCCAGACCTGCTGTGTCTACTGTTTTTCTATATCGTATAAACATATTTTTCCTCTCTGGGGCACAGAATACTGTATACTATAGCACAGATCCACTTTGTAAAAGGAAGAGTGCCATTTGAAGTATTCACATATGGAAATTAACTAAACAGAGCAAAGTAAGCAATTTCTTCCACAGTTCTCTGTAAACCTAGGCAGCCAAATACAAGAACCTGAGCCCCTCTTCAGGGAAACGCATTACAATGGGTTAAAATAATTGTTGCATACGTATTCTGCCTTCTAACCTGTCACCTGTCAAAGGAGCAGGAGCATTAAAATTAGGCCTCACTCCAAACCACTTCAAATGAATCCAGTTATTCTGGCAAGTACAAGTTTTATACATATTCACACTTGTTTTTTGAACTGTCATTATCAATAATTATTTATCATCACCTCCTTAGGTATTATAAAGTATCTGAAGTAAACATGATTTCCATTTCCCTCTCTTGCACAGACCACCCTCAATCAAATAATTTGGTTACTTTTCACACTACTTTTAAAAAGCAAGGCTAACGGACAGAACTTTGGCATGTTACCTAATACAGTGTAATTACAGGAAACAATGCATTCAGGGAATAGTCACAATAAAAAGGAAATACCCTACCATGACATTATACTATTAGAGGCCAACAAGTCTGTTTCAGTGCCTATGGAAAGATGCTCCAAGCAGACAGCAAATTATTTTCTGTTCCATATTTCTAAAATCCCTTTAATGATTTAAATGGAAGTATTGATGTAGATGGAAAAAATAATTAAATTCCTTTAGAATACAATTTTCAAGAACGAGTTACAAAAATCCTCAACTTTGGAATGTTCTACATAATAAAAACTTGGTATTTATGAATCTAAATATAGCACTTTTATCAATTTTGGATAAACCAAGGAATACAATCCTCCTACCCTTTCAGCTCTCCTTTACCACATCATCTTCACATACACTTTTATGGGAACATCACACCCAGTTCAGACTGACACAGGAACAAGTAAGAAGCTTGGAAGACTGTATCGCATCTTTTTCCAGAAGCAGAATTTTTCACAAAGTGAAATTCTCATATAACATAGGATACAAAATCATATGACAAACTTTAGTTGTTCAAAAGAATGGAAATTTTTTTTGTGCCTTACCCACAGTGAAGGGTCAGGTTCCAGTAGCCTGGAAAGACGAGTATGACATCACCAGCAGAGAGCATGCTGGGGTGTCACATCAACACAGAATTTAAAAATCTTCTGCACTTCAGTATTTGGAAAAAATCTCACCAAAATTTAGAGTGTAATATCTGACATAATCTTATTCTCTTATGACATTTGGAATGTTACCTAATTTTGAAAATGTTTTAAACTTGTTTTCTAGGTTTTTCTCTTTCATGTACTTGTATTTGTTATAGTCCAGTACAAATACAAAATTCATTTCAGATTTAAGCTTGAAGCTCTTACGGTTCTTCATAAGCAAGACAGCATAACAGTTTTCTTATAAAGAAAGAACTTTCAAGCACTGAGCAAATTTCAAGCAACCATCTTCAATATTCTGAATACTACAGATAACAGGCATAAATGAGCACCAGATAGCAGCTCTACAATGTAAGTTTCATAGGGGAAGGAAGTCCTTGATTTTTTATTCTACTCCAGTCAGTAAGTCCACATGAAACAAACCAAACTTAATTCTCCCTTAACCCACATAACCTTTTCAAAGCAACAGAAAATGCTGCTACAAAACCAATGTATATTTTTCCCCTTGCAGAATGATCATGTGTTCTTCTTTCCTTTCTTAAAAAAGCTGATACTGCTTTTTAAAACATGATATTAGGATAGCTATATATTCTGCATAAATCTGCTTTGGAAAAGTAAAAGGAAAATTAAATACATCTAGAGTACTCTTTCCAATACTGATAATCACTTCCAAAGAAAGCTAATTGGTTCTTCCCTCCCTTCCCATATTCCTAAGAGAACTAATGTTGTGTTTTTAACACAAAGAACCCCAGGACAATGCCCTTTCATAAAAATATTTTGTTACTTACTGTAAATCAGTTTGCTTACTTAATAACATACAGCTAGTTGAACTCTCTTCACTAAGAGTGAAACTGAGCTACCAAAAATGTGCAGTAACTAAAAGCCAACACAAATTACATTGCAATATTACTTGTTCCCTTCACAGAGAAAACAGGTTCTTACCCAGTTTTCTTTTTTCAGAGGCAAAAAGTAGTAGTAATGGCAGAAGTCAAGTATCAGCGTATAGGAACTAAGGATCTGGGTGTAGAAACACAGCTGCAAAAACAGCCAATGATTGTCTTCACCAACACAATTATTAATCCTGTAGAGAAACAAAGTGTGCATATATAAAAACAGAAATACAAATACTAAAGTTATAATACTGTGAATAGAAAACTTTATGATTTCTTAAGGAGCAAACTACTGGATCCCTTGCACCACAACTTAAAGCATAGATTGCACTACCGAGATCATTGCTTAGAACAGGAGACACAGTTTTCTGTATTTTTATATAGCAAAGATATTGCTGCAACTTTAAGTAAAAATTTAGTAATAAAATTATTTTTTGAAAGTCAGTGAAATTTCACAGTAATATGTCTTATCTTCTGCTACTCAATACATTTCACAGGTTGTAAACTATAAGAGTGCAAAAACGCAGACAAATGTTTTAAAATAAATGTGATCACAGGCTAACCCAGTAACAAAGAAATATGACTTAAAAATGAACCAGAGGCACAGAAGACAATAGAGGCATCCATACTCAGAAACTCCTGCATATTCCAACATGAAAAGTGTAAAGGAAACAGAAGGATTCTATCTGTATTAAGTACAAGATCAAAAGTTACATGGATGCAAATTCATACAAGCATTGGCACAGACAACAAGCTAAACCAGAGTGACAAAAGCACTATACTAGTACTATTCTCTGAAGTAGAAAAACTTGACAAAAAAAGGTAGTTTGAAAAATGGCTAAACCAATGTAGGAGAATCCTGACATCATTTTTGAACTCTGCAATTTGTCTTGTAAAAATTTTAACTCAGAACTTCTTTCAAAAATGTTTATTTTCACTTACTCTGATTTTTACTGGTAGATATAGCAAAGTTCAAATTTATTACTTCCATGCTTTACATGCCTAAATGATTAAGCACTACAGGGAAAAAAACAGGAAAAATGAGCAGCAGTCAAGACCACAAATTTCAGAATGCTTCACTAAAACGGTAGATAATTAGAAGAAATGTCCTGATTTTACCATGGACAGTGGTGATCCATCCTCCTCACACAATGTCCACAGCGACTGCAATGGTGTGAACGCTTTGGTCTCATCATATTGCACTTGTTACATAACTCCCAATGTTCTCGCTCTAGGTGAAAATGTAAAGACACATTAGAGAGACTTAAACTCAGTTAATCAATGCATACTCATAATAAATCTGTATGTTTGTAACTCTAATTAAAAAAACAAATCTTACTATGATCTGAGAAGGATAAGCACCACATAAAAAGCTTTTTCCCACTGTGACCCTAATTAAACTGGAAGATATTACTGCTACTCCATGCCAGTTTTCATCTCCAAAATGCCCTCTCTTCCTATAAATTTCTACAAAGTAATTATTACAGAACAAACCTGTTACTCAGACAAGGAAGACTGTTACTCAATTATTTCCTTACATTTCTACTGTGAAAAAAATTATCTGCTAGACAGAATCAGGATACAATCTCACTGCTGTTCCAGAACCCCCTGAGGAAATACTGCTTCTGCTAGCTAGCTAAAAGACGACACACAGTGAACACTTCAGGAGCATCTTCCATCTCAAAGCATTTTAATAACATGCATATCACCACATGCAATTTTACACATAAGACATGCAAAGAAAGAGATCGAGATTAGGGTTGTATATACAAATATATACTATTTTTAAATTACTAATGTGAGATTCTTTAAAAGCTAATATTCAGAGCTACTGAGTAGCTGAAGCTACCAGGAGTACGATTGCTCAGCTTGGCTGTTATTTATCTCAAATGCACCATCCAAATTAGAGGAATTCTTTGAAAAGCAGAATTCAAATTATATGTTCAAAAATTTCATCTTCACATGGGAAACAATAAGATTAACACTGAAATACTTCCAGTCACAAAAGCATATATTTTCTGTCTTTAAGGAAAACAGGTGGATGACTGAGAAATACTTTGACTGTTCAAATTGTTTCTACTTAAACAATCTTTTTTGAGGCACAAAAATTTCTCATATCTCAGGGACAGAGGGAAAAAAAGGGAAAAAAAGCTTCATATTTACAGTAGGACATTCTGAAATTTTATACTGTAAAACACTGTCCCAATGTAAACAAAATAAAGTTATATTTAGCAGTTCTGAGACACCTGCAGGCAGCTCTAATCTGGTCTTTCTTGCTGCAAAATAACATTTGGACACTTGAAGTAAAGAAACCCAATATCTGAGATCATTAAACAAGTAATAATGACAGATGGAAACTGATTTACAATCTGTTTGCATAAATCCAGTGTCACAAAGGTGTCACTCACTAATGGGGGAGATACCAGAAGAGTTCAGAAACACCCCAACTCATTTTTAACGCAATTTACACTGTGTAAAAATGTATCCTCCTGTCAGCCTAGCGCACACCACATAATTGAAGCACTACCTCCAAAAGTATGATACCCTGATATATCAGGCACCAGATCAAAATACCAAAGTCATGACCTAGCCTAAACATTTCACCTTCGGAAGTACTTATTAAGTATGACTGAATGGAGCCGTATGGACTGAATGGAGCATGCAAAGTTTGGGGAGCTATGCAAAGAGACACCTTACATTAGAAAAAATCCTTTGTGTACAAAGGGAATTTGCACTGCTCTGGTACTTTGACAGTAAATGAAAACTCCAGTATAAATGTAACTGTCTGTAACTAGCAAGGGTCTCCCATTCTCCAGTTCAGGTTGCAAAATCCATGTTGCTCCCCCTGCAGCAAAACTGCTGACTCCAGAACCCAAGTCTGAAACACCTGATGTTTTACTGGATCAAAGGATCAGCTGCCAGAAGCAGAAAGAACACTGGCATGAGATTTTCTGCAATTAGTGGTGACACATCTGAATCCTAGGGAGATACACTCTTTTCCACAATAAACTGTCTACTTCATGCACATCATATCATCAGCACTAAGGCTAAAAAGATCATGTCTCCAAACACATCATCCTAGATTTTCAGTAACATCAGGAAAAGAGAACAAAATTTTATTCTGGGCATTCACCATATCTGAAGACAAGACTGAAGCATTCAGCCTCACTGGATGGGACACATTTTCTTCATTCATGAAGTGTTATCTGTTAATGTGACAAAGCTCATGCTGTTTAACAGCCCTACTCCATTCTAAACTCCTAAGTAAAAGCTCTATGCATTAGATAATAGCTCCCAACAGTTCATAAAAATACTGTTCTTTTCTGTGGAGAATCATTAAGGTTTTAAATTTCCTCCAACTTCTGGAGCACTGGATACCATACAAGAATTGTGGGATAAATTTGCAAGGACAGAAAGTTTAAGTTGCTACTTTATACAAGTGCAGTGTAACTAGCACCATGGTTTAGGTTTTTTGTTAACAGCCCATACAATCATAAGACTCTGGAAAAAAACCAGCAAAAACTACACAGGTAAAAACCAGCATAGGACTACCTTCCAACATCATTTTCAACATCATATAAATTTACTAAGACAAAAGATATAGAATTAAAATAGCTAGCTATCTATAAACATTTTTCATTAAATATTATCAAGTTAGTAGTATATGCATAATGTTTGAAAGTCTAGAATGCAAAAAAAAATCTTCCTGTGGAAAAATTTTCTAGCAGAAGGTCCTACATAACTGAAGAATGGTAGAATTTCTGGTAGAATACAAGTTTAAGAAAAAGAAGTTATGAAACTACACAAGGAAAAGTGCTAAAAATTTACAACTTTAAAACAGTGACATAGTAACTTTATTCAGCAAGGACAGATCATGGTTTCCAATAAGTCTCACAAACACAGATTTATTCCTAATTATTTTGAGGCTATTAAAATAACTTTCATTCAATTATATAGAATCAAGTTAATGTACCTGTAATTGGTATGTCTGGATTTTCAGGTAGTTTTCCTGGATCTGCTACTGAGGCTCTAAATAATGAAGCTATACAAAACAATGAGCAGAAGTAATAACCTAAAAAAATAAATAAGCATTTGTTAGACTTTTTCATACATGCGAAGTACACTGTATCAAAAAATACAGATACTCCAGAATTGAGCTGGAAAACACTCAGCATTCTCATTCAATTCCAGATATATTTTTGATATTAAGTACACAACATCAGGAACTCCCCAATAAATAGAGTGAAAAAAGTAGTAAACAGTTCTGATAGCACCAGCAGGTGCTACTATGACCATACTACTGTTTTGCAGAAGTTCCTCCATCATCTTACCACACAAACACCAATCATATCACACCTCAAAGCCCCCATATGGAAGATATTCCCAACAGTGCATCTTCACCTTGAAGTTTATTCCAGCCATAATTCAAGACTTTTACCCAGCAAACCTATGAGCCAAACATGTATGAGCTAACCCACACAGAGACATATGACAAAACTGACAAAGTTTAGCTTGTTGCCAGTCATCACTACTATCACACCAAATTCTGACAGGCACTCGCAGATGTGAACCTGAAATCCTGTCAACAAGTTCTAAGTACATGACCTGAAAGCCACATTCAGCCTTTTCACCAGTTTCCACAAAAACAAGTTCTACAACAACACCCGCAAAATAAAGTGCTGCAGCTCCTCAGAACACAAAAACATAAGACGCATCCACTACATTTACCCTTTATCTTACCTTTTGTCTTTACTTTCACCCTAGTTTTTATTTTCTGATAGGATTTTTTTTTATGTACATTAAGTAGAAGCATTATTTTATTAGTAGAAAAAAGTTAAAATTACTTACACAAAACTGCCACAACTGAAATATTTCCCTCTTCATAATGAGGAAAAAGGATGACCTTTGGGATGAAGATTGTATTGTACAGCCAGACAAAGATAATTAGGCCCATGCAGCACCAACCCTGAGGGTCAACCACAAAGTGAATCCGTTGCCCCATTGAACACAAACAGATAATAAATTGTCACGACCCAAGACAATAATCCTAAAGAGATAAATAAAAAATATTTTTTTTAAAAAGAGTAAATTAAGTAGTATAGTGCAACCTATACAGTTCATACATTCAAATTTGTACATTCAAGTAAGAAAGAAAAAAACCTATCAACTGTTGATTTAAGGAATTACATAAAAACTTAAAACCATTTCACATACATTTTTTAAGCACCATACAGAACATTTTATGAATTCATTAATTAGACATATCTGGCCAAGAAGCAACATTTATCACCAAGATGCAAGTAAAACCACCACCTGGGAAAACTATTAAGCAATACGTAAAACAGCAACTGTCAGTCAAGTTGCAGCAGCAAAGAAAACTCTTCCATCTAAGTAAAAAGGTTCTAAAGCAAGTAAGAAATATAGGGAATTATTTATGTTCCACAAAGATTCACCTCACCTATCTATTGCAGTCTCCCCTGTATTTCATGGTTGTTTTCTTAAAGATTTTATGCTAAAATAGTCAAAAGTATCACTAAAAATTCAGGGTTTCCTCACTTAAAAAACGCCCTTCATGACATTAACAGCAAACCAAAGGAGAAAGGAGTAATTACCCTGACATCTTTTACACAGATTATTAAAAATATCACACAATAGAACATTTTCTATTAATCACATTTAAAACATCAAGGTTTCCATCCTTACACTTTAGTGGGCTGATTTCCTTTTGGTTTTAGACTGCAGAAACCTCACCAAGTCCTACAATGTGAACTTCTGAACTTCATAAACCAATCTCAATAACACAGCACTAAGTCCTAACCACTATCCAGGACAACTATGACGGAAGGGATTATTACTGTTATTTTTTTGTCCGACTACTTTCATACACATATTTTATTACTGCAATGCACACATAATCCCAATCTACTCTCTTACCCGTTAGTTTGCCCAGTTTCTGGGCTTCAGGAATCTTGTTCCATTTCTGATGGTTTCTTTCCATTCCTTTCAGCTCCTACTTGTTCCACTAAAATTTTGTTTATCAAACATCTCTGTTTCCAAGGGCTTTGCTTACTTGTTTCATGTTTGACTGTCCTCAAATGCATTCAAAATTTACTTATTACCATTCACAAATTTCATTGTCTTCCTTTCTTCTTCTTTTAGATGTCTAATCAAAATCAGGCTAAAACAAGCTGCCATTTTTCCACACTTCTCCTTTGCGTTATTTATAATCACCCTTTGCTTATTATTTTCTAATGTAACAGTGTTCCCATTCAAGTATCATACAGCTCCCCACCAAGTTCTTGCAGCCACAGAAACCCCCACCACAAGAGGAGAAGCAGACAGAGCCTCAGCTTGTCAAGCCAGACATGTCAAGCCTCTGAGCTCCAGCACCAGGAGGACAGCTCCTGTTCTGCCTGCATCTCTGATCTACAGAGCAGGTCCTGAGCCCTGGCAGCACACATGGACAGCAAGCTCTCTCCAAGAAATCCTCTGAGCCATCTGTGCCTGAGTCCTGCAGCATACCCAGCAATGGATACTGGGTATGAGGAACAGCATGGGGTAAGGAACAGCAATGGGTCCCTGCTTCTCGGACAAAGACACCCCTGCTGGCCCAACGCGTCACCTGGCAAAGTATGCTGCTTGCCAGGGGCACCGGGCCTGCATAACTGCTGACTGTTACTGAGGCTGGTAGCAGTCTGGCCCTCAGTCTATTACCCTTAGCTGCTCTTCCATTCAGGCACCATGGACACAGCAGGGGAGACCAGGAGTTTACCAAGCATGACTACACAGTTAACAGGATGTGGGCCAAAGTCTAGTAGACAAGTGGTATCTCATTCATGCTGCTGATGAAGGGGAAGAACTTGAGGAGAAGCAGACAGATCCTGCAAAGGAGCAAGTGGTTGTGCAGCATTTACATCCATAGAACCTCCTATAAGGCTCAAAAACTGAGGGTGAAGGGGAACAAGATCCACCTGAAATTACATGGGTGAGAGCATCTTTGCCAAGAGGCTGGTTGATCAGCTTGGGGAATACTTAAAGAATGATGATAGAGGAAGTTGGTGGTCACATTTCACAAGCAAAGGACGCAGGATGATGGGGAAAACAGAGATCTTATAACCAACCAAACCAAGGCGAAGTGGGACTGCACCAAGTGTGCGCACACAACTGACACAGGAACACCACTTAGGTGCACTAGGATAGTGCACCTAAGGTCCTCCTAGAGCTGAATCTGGTGAGAGATATGAAATTCCAAGAGAGATTTGTACAGGTACATGAGCAGCATAAGGAAGGCTAGAGAGGAAACGCCAGCCTGCTGCCGAAAGTATCAAAATCATACAAAAATGTCAAAGCACCTTGTTTATTTTGCTCTTTCATGGTTAAGACCTGCCTTCTGGAATTCCAGGTCCCTGAGACCCATGGGAAAGTGTAGAAAACAAAACACTTAGTCTGAGTGAGGGAGGATCAGATTAACAAAATTTTAAGTGAACTGGACCTGTCACTTCCATGTGACCTACTGAGGTGCCAATTGGAGTGCTGAGAGAGCTGGTTTTGTCATTGTGAAGTCATTCTCAACTAAGTTTGGAATTTTTATGCTGATGGGTAACATTCCAGAAGACTCAAGAAAACAAGTGTCAATGAAAATCCTGTTTTCAAGGACAGGAAGGAGGAGCCAGGCAACTAAAGGCCTACTAGTCTCACTCTGGTCCCTGGGAAGGTAAAGGAAACAATCCTGGAAACTACTTTCAAACACATGAAGGACAAGAAGGGGACTGGGAGTAACCACCATGAATTTACAAAGGGAAAATCATGCAGACCAACAGAAATATAGAGGCCAAAAAAACCAAATGCAGCAAGAAACACTGCTGACCACTGAGGAATCCATCTGTTTTCCATCTTACCAGAGCAGCAGAGATCCCATGACTTCACAGCACTTCCTCAGAATAACAGCTCAACAAGCAAAACAGAGATATAATTAATGAAATACTTGCTCCTGAGTGACCAACTTGTACCATGTGTGAGCAATAAGCAGTGAGAGGGATTCAGGAGAGAACAGTAAGAATGCCTATCAGGAAAATACATCCCAAATTTTTATCCCTAAGTAACTTACTTTTGCTTGCATGACCATATTCACTTTTATAATTAGAAAACCACAACAAACCTCAGCCATGCTCAATACCATACCTTGGATGGCAAAATCCAGAATTAAGCAAGAACTACACAAATGCAGATGTCACTCTCAAGACAGGGTGATTTTTCATCTGTCTTCTCTATCTCCTGAAAGTGTGATATGCAAACAACCATTATCATTTGTTTGAAAGGCAGCATGTAACAGGTTACTTTCTATTTAGGTTTTCAAACCCCACCTTACTGAGTAGAGCTGTCTCCAAACAAACACGTTAATTCTAACTAGAATTTCTCAAATCTCTGTTCTAGGCCATTTCAAAAGTCTAATATTTTTTTAAAAGAGAAATGTCTGTGTAAAACGGCAGTAGTGCCAATGTGTTTCAGTTAAACAGATTTGTTTCCTGTTTCCTATAATCGTAAATTAAGTTTTATATTTTTCATTATACTTCAGCAGCAATAGCAAATAAATGATGTCAATATATTGACTTACTCTGGCAATATATTGATTTTTTTCCCTCTATCCCTTGGTTTATGTACCATGCATAAATATATAAAGTGTGAGGAATAAAGAAAAAGTAAGAGCTTCAAAATCTGATAACGAGGAAGGAAGTACTAGATTAAAATTTAAATCACAAACAAAGTGAATGTTTTACTCTTTCAAATACAGTGTCAAAAGAAAGAGATGACTGATCTCATATAATTTTGTTCTTCAAAATTCATAATTTCTGATCAGAAAAACTACAATATGCAAAGAAAAAACTCTATGAGAAGGTTAACAACAAATAAATGGAGAGAAACAATTAAGTGATTTATATCTGCATACATTCAGGATTCACACAAGCAATGAAATTCTCCAAGCAAAGTAATTTTCCAATTAAATAGTTTAGGAGAAAATACAGAGCACTAATGTTAGAGCTTTTGTGGTTTTCTTCCCTTGTGCCCTAACTTCTAGCTATTTCTTCTAAATAAATAACTCAAATACAAATAATTTGAAAGCCAACAGGAGCTATGCCTATGAAAAGCTTCAGCTGCACTAAAACATGACTGAGTCTTTCCTACATTATGGGGAATTTTCTTGCCTTTCCAAAAAAAATACCTTTATTACAGGATGCATGGGCAGCATTGTTCCCTAACCCTTTTCTTTCTACACAGTTCCATCAATGATATCATAAACTCAGTATTTTGTTCACTACAATCACCTGCAATATGACTCTTCATGTGACATCCACAGAATACTAAGACCACAGAATGAGTAAGGCAGGTGAAAAGTCAGTTGCAAGAAATGAGAAAGTTTTGTGCTAACCAGAAATGTTAAGGTGAAATATAAATTGCTTTAATAGACTCATTTGAATGCAACCTTAGAAAAATAAAAAGTATACCATTTTGCATCAAGAATGTCCCAAAACATTTTTAGAAACTGTATTTCATAAATACACCCAACAAGAGCAGTACTCAGTTTCTCAGCCTAAGAAGCACAACAGTCAGCTCTGGGGACATCCTGTTTCTCGCACATTCATGGGTGTTGCACTCACACACAGCTTGAAACTGTGCCTCACAGTAGCCCTGCTTCTTAAGAAAAGTATGACTTCTGAAATTTGACTTGCAGAAGTCAAGGACTTCTTTTACGGACTTTTTTCACAAGTCTTTAAACAAGTAAAGAACAACACAGATCAGTAACACTCTATTGCTTGCCATGAAAGACAATTTTAAGACTCCACACAAACTGAACAATACTATGCACCTTAATACCTATTTTGAGAGTGGAAGAAACACCACTTTCTAAAAAGGCTGTATCCTAAGCAACCCAGAAAAAAGAACAGAGAGTAGAAACACAAGAGAGCCCACTTCTCATAATATTTGTGATAACGAGGGCAAGGCAACAACAATCAACAGCCCTCCCCAATTTCTGGATCCCGCTGCATTTTTACACCAGTGACCTTACTGAAATCTAAATAATTACTGCCAAAGATTAGTGGCGCTAAAACAAAAAATACTCTTTAATGGGAATAAACAAGGTGGACTTGAACCAATCAACTGAATTTATTTTACAAACCAGATTTTAAGGATGTCACGTGTCAGAATAGAATTGCCATTAAGCTTCTAAAAACACTAACGTTTAACAAAACAGAATAGGTATCTGAATGGCCAGTTAACATAAGCAACAGCATATTTGTGCTATGACAAACCCCCACACACCTGGCATTTCTCGTGTTTATGGAATGGATGGTTGCAGCAGAGACCTTGGCACAAAGCAGTTGCTAGGTGGCTGTTGACAGGTTTGTTGAGGTAGGCAAGACATTCTCACCCAGTTAGTTTTCATTGATAGGATCTAGCAAAGTATACCTGTAAACAACTACTTCATTTATAAAAAATGTCACTTGGGCTTGGAGAGGGATGTGGCTTGACATTCACATACGCACACCTAACCCTCTTTATCAAAAGCCCATCAAATCTATCTTCACCCACTGCTGACCAAACAGCCACTTGTAGACAGATAATGCACGTTACTTTAAGACCATTACTGTTTGGATCATCAGTCTGAGGCGAAGACCTGCTGTATCGTCTCACTAACTGCGAGAGCCGGGAAAGTGCGAAACCCAGGGACGCCAAGGCCATTGCATTTCCTTGTGCCGCGCTGCTGACCACACAGCTAATCAAACCTCGTGCCTCTCCTACTACCACCTCAGTATCACCGAACACCCTCCTCCTGCTTTACAGGGCAACCAGCACCCTGGACCTGCATAAAAGCGACAGCACCATTTCCTCACTTCACAGCTGGGGAGATACCCGGTAGTTCTGCCCAGGGCTTCCCTACCCAACTCCCTGCACAGACAACAGCAACGCTGGAGGGGAGGTGCAGCGATGGAGGAAGCCCCGCAGGAGCATGCCCGCCGTGGCGGGGGCGTGCCCGAGGGGGTGCCGCTGCCGGTGCCGCGGCCGGTGCCGGCGCCCCCGCCCCTCCCGCCCGGCCCGGCCCGGCCCACCCGCGGCGCCGCTCCACCCGCGGCGCCGCTCCCGGGCCAGCGGGGGTCGCGAACAACGCCCCCCGCCCGGGCACGCGGCGGAACCAACCGTGGGCTTCCGCCGCTCCAGCCGCGCGTGCGCGCTCCGAGCGCCCCGGCGGGCGGGACCGCGCCCCTCAGGGAGGGAGCGGCGCCGGCAGAGCCGCCCTTCGAACCCGCCCGAGCCGAACCGGCTGCCCCCCTTACGGCCGCGGGGCGTGGGCGTCTGGCCTCCTGTGCGAGGGGCGGGCGCATGGCCGGCACGGCAGGGGTCTGTATGCTGAGTATGTGCAGCGCCAGAGGAGGCGCTTTGGAGGGGTGGTCTACCCTGCCCGGTGGGAAACGCGACCAGCCGCATTTCCCCAAGGCTGGAGCTCCCTGTCACTTGCTCGTTCCGAGCAAAGACTTCAGTCAGCATGAGCCTTTTCCGTTTTTCATTTTTGCACCGTCCCATTGCAATCCCTGTGAAAAATGAGCCCTGCAGACAGGGCCTCTTCTCAGTCTCCAGGCTGCTCCTAGGAGAATCTGGCAGCTGCCCCAGCTAGGCCTCATAGCTTGAAGCTAATAGTATAAAATAACACTAGCTTCATTAAGAGAGACTTGCTTTACCTTGTATAGCACATAACCATGGTTTCACGGGGAAAGTGAAAGTGAAAGGCCCCAGCCCACCGCAAGGAGGAGGACACCCCCCAAGGAGGAGGACACCCCGACCTTGCAGATAAGGACCTCTTATATTCTGTCTCATCTCTCAGAATCATAAAGCCACCCATGAAGAAGAAAAATGCCTCTGGACTATGAAGATAGCATCAGAATCCCAGTAGTTTCAACACCTCTAGCAAAACCCTGCTGTTATCTGACATTGGTGGTTGTAGCAAGACCAACTCCTGGGACACCTAAATCAAGAAAGAGTCTGCTGGATGGTGACACCATAGATTCATTTCTGTTTTCCAGAATAGCAGCATGAATGTGGGTTATATGGTGCGTGGTCAAATCATGTTGTGTATAAATGCATGAAAGTGATAAGAACCATTTGTTAAACACAACCATTTGTTAAACACAACTTCTTCTTGCTCATGAAGGAAGAACTACTCTTGTAATTCTGTGCTTTGCATCCTTGCCTCTCCCCTCAATCAGCTCAGACCAGTTGGAACACTTTTATGACATTCAGGTCGCCTGCTGTGCTGTGCCCCTTGCTCACACAGAACCCTTACCTGTCCACAGAAGCCAGTCAACATTTTAAAAAGATGATTCAGACCTGCAAGGGATTACCTTTGGGTAAGAGCCACTGACAGCTTGTAACATACAAAATTTTCAGTGCTCCCAGCTGGGAATCATGCCTCGAGCACCCATTGCTGATGAACATATATGATCTTTTGGCTATCTAAAGATACCCCATCTGTCTGAATGGCATAGTTCCCACTGTAAATTGATGGGCTCTTACCCTGGAGCAGTTTTCCTTCACAATGATGGATGAAATAGATGAAGAGTAATGTTGTGAAGACTACCAATGCCAAAAACTCACCTTTATTACTGATCAGATTCTTCCTAAAACTTAATCATAACATGATTATTCCAGGAAAAAAAAACAAACAAACAAACAAATAAAACCCAACAACAACAAGACAAATAAAAATTTTAAAAAATATTACACAGGGCAATTGTTAACATTTCAATCTAAAGTTGCTCTCTCTATTTGTAGCAGAAACCGGAGGTTGTCTGGAAGAAGGAAGAAGCATGTTCCAGGTTCAGAGAAGATCAGATCAGAAAAAATCAAATCTTTCAGAACAATCTGTATATGTCAGTAGGAGCAGGTAACACTGAAAATAATAGACTTATTAATTGGACTGTTAATATGTCTGTTATATAGGGGAAAAGAAAAACTGAAGTTGTTCTTTTATAAATATTTAAAAATAACAAAAAACAGCCTCTGGCTGTATTCCATGACAAATTTCATGTATATATATATTTATGTCTATATATAAAAGACCTAATAAGCTGTGAAAATTTTTCACTGAAGAATTCATTTCAATGGGGAAAAAAAACCAAAACAAAACAATCAAGAAATTTAAAGAAAACCATGTTCTTGGGAAGTAAAATGGAAATATAAGAAAAGAATAATAGTATGATTTCATATGGATTGAAAAAGAATCAGTCAGTAATATTATCTTCCATTTGAATACCGTGCATTTGCATTTCTGCTGTGGTACACAGATAATGGCCAGTCTTTAGACCTGTAGTCCTGCCAGGCAGGTTATATTTTTTTCTGTTCAGGAATGGGATGTAAACCTAGGTTATGGAACAAGGGCACTGGTCTTTTCTTTTAGTCATAGCACAGCATTCCCCTTTTGCTAATTTTTTTTTTTTTTGAGAAAGCACTTTGCAGGAGGAAAAGCAGGCAGTTGTGTGCTGGACTTCCCAACTGAAAAGTCTTGACCTGGAGATATTATCTGACTCTTTTGCCAGGTTATCAAATCTAGATAGATAGATAATGAGTCTTTGTGATTAACTACATTCTGTGTGGGAAAACATACCTATGGGAATCCTAGCTTTGCATAATATGGATTTAAATAAAATCCAATATAGATGCATTACAGAAAGATCATTAGAAGTCTGCAAAATTATTCACCTTCTTCAATGCTGAATATTGCACAATGGCATAGAATTCCTCTTGGATTTTCTGATGTCTGTGTTGTGTTGTTGTTGCTGTTTATAAATTACCACAGGAGCCACCAGCTGTCGTCCTATAAATTTTATTGGCACTCTGTAAATATTAAATCAGCCTGCTAAAATCAAGCCATGTGCAGTAACAGCTGAGGCTCTGTTATGGGGAACACATGTGAGAAAGAGGTGTGCACTGTGACTCTCACGATTCTTACAGCTTACAAGCCCCTTGCCTTCTTAAGGCTGTTATCCAGGATTCATTTTTAGCCCAACTGTGCCCCTTGACCACATGCAGAAAGGACATTTTTTGTGCACAGATACATACTGAGCTGAGAAGTCAGCCTTAGCAGTACTCAGTTTCCTGGGTCCTTCAAAATTTTGTTGCTACCACATTTCTGCATCAGCACTGCACTGCTCACTTGTAAACCTTGGTAACATACATGGAATACAGTTGTAAACTCTAAAATGGGAGCAGAATTCTTGAAGTCATGAAGATCTACATCATGTAGAAAAAAGTCTGTGTCAGAGAAACAGCATGTTGAAACAAAACCTGTTGTGGCCCACATAACACTATGTGACATATTGAGGGTGAGGCTGTAGATGTTAAAGGAAAATGTGTCTCAGGCTCCATTTTCTCTTTTACTTAATAGCCAGAAAAATCAAAGACAAGGTATGTTTTCTAATCTACCTGCCTCAATTGTAGACATGGTGAAATCTCCTGATCCTGCAGCCCAGATAGATTAAGGGAGCGCTAAGGTAGACAGGCACTCTGATTTAGGGGGTTAATTTTCATCTTAGGCACTTCGGTGGTATAGGAGTTCTGCTCAGATAGTGTCCATCTGCAGATGTCCTAGTATTAGTTCTTCTAATGACTCTCTTCCTCCAAGAGTTGCTGTCTAAACACCAGGCAGGGCGACAGACTGCTTGAATGTTCCACATCTCCTCAGTGAGGTGAGTTTGAAAAAGCTTCAGCAGATACTGCCTTGTTCAGAAGGCAGCTTAGGTACATGCCAGCTCAGTTTGAACACACTGACTGTGGGCTGCAGCCACCAGCAGAATGTCAGATTAAATAACTGGTAAAAGCAGTAGTTAAACAAGGAAAAATGAAAATGTCTCAGAAAAACCCTTAGAGAAGCATCGGGCTTGTCCTTTTTTATTTCTTATTGCTGTAATTATCATAATTATTTTATAATTGTTATTATTATTGTTATTATCATTACCATTATCATTGTTAAATCAGTAGTAGTGGTAGTAGTATTTACCTTCTGGTTAAATTTTAATTTTCAAGTGAAAATGCAGTTTGCTGATGCCATGGAGCCTGAGGTGCTCCAAACAGGACAATTTTGTTCTCAATAAGGATAGTTAACCTTATTTCAATATTCTTGCACTGGGGCCAGCTACAGAGTCTTTTCATCCCCATTCTTTCTCACTTGAGCAGAAGGATTGTGCACAGCTGTCAGGAAATTATTTCAGGTGAGCTGAAGTTGGTGGTTACATACCAGATATTCAAGGAGTTAGGTTTAGCACAACCAAAAATGCAAAATATTTATAATTCATTACCAGTGTTTCCTGTTTCTACTGGTAAAGTGTCTGATGGAGGACCCAAAGTAGCCCCAGTTCCACACCTCTTAGAAGTGCACCATCTGGCACAGCAGATACTTCTGAGTACATTGTGCAGGATCTGCTGCTCCAGATGGATCCCTGCAAATCTATGAGATGGGAATCATTTGAAAATCCTCACAGAGTTAGCTGATGTCATTGCAAAGCCTCTCTCAATGATTGTTGAGTGGTCTTGGGAATCCAGAGCAGTCCCAACTGACTGGAAGCTGGAGAACATTGTCTGGTTTTTAAGAAGGGCAAGACAAAGAACTTATCTTGCAGAAGACAGAAACCTCAGGGTCCTGTCCATCTCACTTCAGTGCCTGGTAAAGTTATGGTGATTTTTCTGAGGGGCATGGAAATACTCCTGAAGGACAACACAGTCATTGGTCACAGCCAGCATGGCTTCATGAGGAGACAGTCCTGCTTATCAAACCTGATTTCTTTTTGTGACAAGGTAACACACACAGGTGACCAAGGAGAGACAGTTGATGTAATCTTTTTCGGCATCCGCAAAGCTTTTGATGCTGTCTCTCACAGGATCCTTCTGGACAAAATGTCCAGCACACAGCTGGATAAACACATCATGGGATGGGTGAGCACTTGACTCACAGGCACAAGGGGTTACAGTGAATGGGGTGACATCAGGCTGGGGACCTGTCACTGGTGGGGTTCCACAGGGCTGCATCCTCAGCCCAGTGCTCTTCAGCATCTTCATAAATCACTTGGACGTAGGACTGGAAGGGATGCTAAGCAAGTTCCCAGGTGATACAAAACCAAAGGAGTTGATGCCCTTGAAGGCAGGGAGGCCCTGCAGAGAGGCCTTGACAAATCAGGGGTCTGGGCCATCACCAACCATATGAAGTTCAACAAGAGAAAGCAGTGCCGTGGAAAGGGGGCCTGGGGGTCCTGGTCAATGAAAAGCTGAACCTGAGTCAGCAGTGCCCTGGCAGCCAGGAGGGTCAACCCTGTCCTGGGGGGCACCAGGGACAGCATGGCCAGCCGGGCAAGGGAGGGGATTGTCCTGCTCTGCTCTGAGCTGGGACAGCCTCACCTCCAGTGCTGGGGGCTGGTTTGCTCGGCTGAATATGAGAAAAATACTAAGTTATTAGAGAGCATCCAAAAGAAGCCAGTGAAAATAGTGAAGGGTCTTGGAGGGAAGGAGCCGTTATGGGAAACAGCTGAGGTCACTTGTCTGTTCAGCCTGACTGAGGAGACTGACGGAGACCTCATTTTGGAAGACAACTTCCTTGTGAAGGAAGGGGGAGGGGTAGACATTCATCTCTGTGGTAACCATTGACAGGATCCAAGGGAATGGCCTGAAGCTGTGTGAGAAGAGGTTGAAGTTGGATATTAGGAAAAGTTTCTTCCCCCAGAGGGTGGATGGGCACTGGGACAGCTCCCCAGGGAAGTGGTCGCAGCAGCAGCCTGACAGTTCCAGAAGTGTTTGGACAACACTCTCAGGCACATGGTGTGACTCTTGGGGATATCCTTTGCAGGCTCAGGAGTTGGACTCAATGATCCTTGGGTGTCCCTTCCAGCTCAGCATATTATGATTCCAGACATGATTGTGCAGCTGGCAGAGAGCTTCTGCCTGAGTAAGGAGTCTTGTTTTGCTCTTGCAGCAAGGAGCGGGTGAGTAAATTTAGGAGAAAGCACTGCAAGCAATTTCACCACCTGCCAGTAAAAGCTAGTCAGCTGAGAGCCATGAGATTAGTTGTGAATGTTTCATAGGTGGTGAAAAAAGTACTAAGCACAGTGTGAAGTGCAGCTTCAGAGACTTTTCCCTAGAATATATGGTTGTGCAGAATTCAATAAAAGTCGATGTAAACCTGGTATTTGATGTATTTACAGGCATTAAAGCTAGTTGCGTTAAATTGACACTTAAAGGAATAGCATGGATTGAAGATTTCTTTTGCTAAAGGAGTAGGAAAAAAACAGCACTTCACTTACTTTCTACACAAAGCACACCCATTTGAAAAAAAGTGGGACAAATAAAAGAGCACAAGTGTAGAAACTGTGCTTGGAACTGATTAGAATTTTCAGAGAGCTCTGCAACTATGGCCCTGTTCTGTAAGTAGGTTTGCACAAGAAGTGCTGTAAAATAGATCACCTTAGCAGCACTTATCAGCATAGCTGCGTTGGAAAAGCTTTCATTACAGAATGCATGCAAGCTCTGAGAAGACACAACTAGGGTCTGTTGCTATTATGTTACTACTGAAAGCATCCATAGTGATACGGATCACACCCCTCACCTTTCTAATCCACAGTGTTCTGCTTGTAGAGGTAATCATTATGCCCAGAGGCCAAAATCTCTTTAGGCCCTCGATAAAATATATTCCTAATTTGGATTTTTTAAACGCTGAGAAATCTGATCCAATTAACACATTGATTGATTTTGCAAAATACTGTGCTAATTACATGCAACCAGTCATTGCTGAGTTAATTAAACATGCATCAAAAAAACCTACAGATCTAATCTAATTAGCAATTACTACAGCTGTCATTACCTCTTTTCACCTACTTTTAAGCTGTGCAAATTCACACTAAGAATCTCATCCTGCAAACTCCTTACATGAATAGCTTTCTTTGACTGCTGTAATGCTTCAGCACAGAGAAGAAGCTTTAAAAATTGGGATAAATACTTTGCAGTCCACAATATAGCTTCTATTCAGACATCATTATGATAAACTTATACTATATCCATCAGTTTTGTCAAAATTACAAGATTGGAAGATTTTTCTTTTTAATTGACGTGATTTTACTGGGAGTGTTTGTAGATCCTACCTTCAAGTGGTTCCTGCAAATCTAAATGCATACTTGCATTTCAGAAAACAAAAAAAAAAAAAGTGGATGAACATTCTTATATATTCAGACAGCTTTAAAACATGTGTCAAAAATTCTGAGTAAAACATCTCAGAACACAAGTTTTTTTTCAGATTAAAGAAAATCATCAATAAAGAGAAAAGGTTTGTGAACTTTAATGCTATGGGTTTCTTCCTTAGGCTTGATTAAAAATGTACACCAATTTTCACACACAATACAGGGATTATAAAACCTTGATATCTAGTTACTTGGAATGGCATCATATATAGAATATAAACGGCCATATATAGTTTTCACATCAGTCCTTCATATAAAAGAATAGAGAGAAGACTTGCTTTAGTACACAATTTTTATTATTTAAATACAGGTTTATATGTAATAATAGGTAGCTGTATACTAATCTTTAGTTCATTCACTGCAAGTGACCTGCAAAAGGAAACGGCTTCACATCCAGTATCAGAATATAATTCAGATGAAATTTTTAGTAAATATTCAATTTGGGCCTTGGACTCCAAAGCCATGCTGCACATGTTTTTTGAAAGAACATTAAGATATTTCTAATTCCATTGCAGTTCAAATACAAGGAATCATTTACCCTAGCCCTTGGGTCACAGAATTTGACCTTGAATAAGCTAAGTCAGTAGTGATTTCCAATACCCTAAAAAAGAGCTAGGACAGTTTAACAACTGCAGCCCAGATCTGAGAGCAGATTTCCAGAGGACTGAAAAAACTGGCATAGAAATATGCTGAGCTCTTCTGCTGGAAGATGATCTCTGTCTGGTGTGCCTGATCTGCAAGAGAAATCCAGGGTGAAGCAGCTGGAGAGAGCCAGAAAGCCAGTAGTTCAGCTAATAATCACTATTGCTGTGTTGCCTAGCAGTAGATTCCAGTGCTTCCTAGCAGGGCTCTCTCAGCTCTTCCTGTAAAGTTGTTAAGGTATTGCTATAATGATAAAGCCCTCCTCAGATTTTCTGTCACACAAATGCCTTTTCTGCTTTAGTCTAAGAGTTGAGAACATTATTTAAATTTTATCTTAGATTCAGTGACAATGTAAAAATTCATCAGACTGGAAAATGTGCATTGTCTTTCCACAGTGAATTTAAATAATAACAACACTGTATTTATCTGTGATGTTTTCTGTAGGAGTATGGCTTTTTTTTCTCTTTCTGCAGTTGAACATCTGAAGTAAAAATAAAGGTACAGAGTGAATGCAGGCGTGTGGAAAAGAGAGCAAGTGGTTTCTATAGCAAAATACCCCTTGCCATTATCTATTGGTGTAAATTGTGTGGTATATTAGTTCAATGAGAACTGAACTCCAACTGAGCTCAATCAGCATGACATTAACTAGTCGCAGCTTTCTATGTACCTCATGTCCATTTATGTTTTACACTCTCCAGCCATTTTCTAGCCGCAGAAGTAGACCCGTTTTTGTAGGGAATAGACTAAAATCTCATCTTTGCTACCAATAGAGCTATATTGGCACTCCTCACAAGGAAAGGCAAAGAAAACAAGTCAACATTCAGGTTTTGCACAGATAAATCATGTTAATTCAGTCTTTGTTGACTAGCATCCAACAAACAATGATAGGAAGAGTGGAAAATTTTTAGTTTTCCCTTTTTAAAGACCTTTGCACATAAGCCCAGTAATTTCACCTCATTTTCCTTAACAGCTGCAAGGAAACATTTGTTACACTTTAGGTGAAGGTATTGTTAAAACAGAAATCATGTAGAAAGTCTACATTTTTAATGTTTATATGTACTGGAGTGATGTCAACTTGTTTTTCATTGGCAAATTCTTATGATCAAGTTAAGAGGTTCTTTGAGCAAGTTAATTGTGCTCATGTATATTTTCATAAAAGTCTGACAGTAGAGTCCCAATCACAGGGTCTTTAATCTTCCGACTTTCACATTTACACTCTTCTACAATCATGATTTCTTTCACCACTGGAACAGAATCAGTGCAGTTCAGATCCAGGCGCTTCATGGAGAACTTGCTGGGCAAGCAACGTGAACAGAAGGTATAAAGATGATCTTCTGAACCAGGAACATGAAAAGAACTACATTTTCCAAAACACAGATTATTCTGCACTGTCACCTTCTCACAGTTGTTATGAGTAACACCCTGAAACAGAAAGCAGTTTAATGTTTCTGATGCAGAAATTACTCCATGGACTTTGCTAGAAGGCATGAGCAAAAAAAAAAAAAAAAAAAAAAAAGGGGACAAAAAAACCAAAAAAGCTACTGCACTTTTTCCTTCTCAGAACAAATAGTACAGGTTTCTAGGCAACATCTGTATGAATGTATGTCTGTGTGAAATAAATTTAGTTTTGGATGTGAAAAGACGTAGTCCTTGGCAGAAAGGACAGAGAATTGGTTACATGGTTACAGAAACACTGAGAATTGATGGTGATTTACAAGGAATACAGCACTTTTACCTATACTGTTTGCTTGTCCTAATGTTACAATGTGGCAGAATGGCTTCATCTATGCATGGGATAATTTACCAGTTCTCTGAAATTCTTAGCATAGAGTTAGACATAAGCATTGGTTTTCTAATTAATACAGAAGAAAACAATCCTTGCTTAGGTGTAAGAGAACAACCAGCTTTTCCTGTAAATACTTGTTCTGAGAGTTTCTATATGCACACGCGCGCGCACACACACACACACATGTATATCTATACATATATGTATATATTAAAAGAGAGAGAAGTTATAATTCAGATGTACAAATAGTTGAGATATATATTTATTGAATGGATAATTACTCGTCAATTTCCTTCCTGCTTAGACCATGTTGAATATCTGTGCATAAAAATAATAAATTACTCTATAAAAATTGAGTCTGCGGCTTTCCAGTGCTGCAGTTCAACAGTTTGCCTCATCAGACTAAACTTTTTCATCAAAGTCTTTCAGCCACTTTTGATAAAGTGTTCTGAAGACCTTTGACTAAGTTACTTAAATAACCCATGTCCCTTTAGTTGCTGATTACAAGAGATGGGGGAAAGGCATATTTGTTGATCTTGGATACGTGTTCTTACCTGGGCAAAAGGCAGGGTTCTGCAGTTTTCTTGGTGCATTTCATTGGTCTTGATTGGCAGGACAACTTCTTCAGATGCTGAATTTTTCTTTAACATGAAATGGTCCCAGAATTTCTTGGCATCTTTTCTGTAGGGAACTTCAGATTCTCTCTTGCTGGAATAATGGGGTGGAGAGAGGTTTTCCACAGGAGAGGTCTCTCTGGATGCAACCCAGGTTCTTGGGTTTTGGTCTGCATGGAGTCCTGCACTGGGAAGTATGAATCTGGACATTTTTTTCTCTTCTTTCTTCTCACTTCCAGATGCTGTCTGTGGAATTGATACAAAAAAGCTTGGTACTTTCAGGGTATCTTCAACTCCTACTGGGTTCTCACTTGTCTGCTCAGGAGAACTTTGGCTTTCAAACTGATTTTTGTTCAGGTAGAGAAAGTGCTGAAATGGCGCTCTGCTTTTCCTTTGCTGTGAATTTCTCTGTAGCTCTGTGGCTCCAAGACATGAGAGCACTAACATCTGAAGCAGAAGCAGTGACATGATCCTGGAAAGGGCAACCTTGTAGAGCTGCTGCTTTTGCAATGAATGTAGTATGCTAGCTTTATACAAGAGGTTATGGCAGAGGAGAGGAGGGCTCAGGAGAGACCCTGGTGGGGCTAATTGCATTCGTTTACTGTAGATTACAATTATGATAGTGAAGTTTGTGCTAATGAAACTCTGCTTTCAATCTGAGTTATGTGTATTAGAAGCTCCTATCTGAAATCTAGTAACCCAGGATGTTGTGGAGGACAGAAGGAGTCAACAGGGGGAAATGTTTGGATAAGGTGTCTAGTTTAGGCTGAGGAATTAAGTAAACATTTGAGGTTGTGTATTAGAATGTTCAGTGTGGTCTCCATTGTTTATTTTGACTTTCTATTCCATACAGCCAGAGGCTGTCAAAACAGGGAGTGTTATTTCATTATGATAGGAAAAGGCAAAACATTTGCTGAAACAGTAAGCTCAATCTGGAGACTGTGTTTTCAAAAGTTAAGTCTAACTTTGGACTTTCAGGTTTAGGATATGACCCAAGGTCTGCATGACTAACAGACTGTTGCTCAGACAGTCAGAGGAATCTGTCAGGAAGCACTAGTCCTCACTTCATCTTCCTCACAGCAGGTTTGCAGCTGCTGGAGTACAGACATGTCACTAGCACAGAGCAAAAGATCTTAAGGTGAAGAAACTCTGCTTCCTGGGTTTTCAAAGATTCTCTTACATCCTGTTCAGGCACCAAAGCCACTCCAGACATCCTGTCAAGTGATAATGATAAATGAATATTTAAATAAAATGTGTTAAAAATAGGTATTTATGATTCTAGCTATCAAAGTCTCAACAGAATTACCTAAAAACTATTAGAGGCATCTTTTGCATAATTACCATGTTATGCAACATGTAAGAAAAAATAATCTACTAGAACAGCATATAGAGAAAAGCTTTGGGAGAAAGAAAAGTTATTTTCGATAAACATTGCAAACATTGATGCCAATATTAAAGTACAAAAAAGAAATTCTGCTTCAGATAATTTGCTATTTAGGTATGCTAATCTTCACAGCTCCTGTTTCTACAAAGCTCTATCAGAAGACTCGAAAGTTTGTATTATTCTTGAAAAATTGTGTGTACTAGATGTATGATGTTACTTTACTTTGATTTTCAGGGAATTAATTTCTTGCCTAGAACTGCATTTTGATTCCACACATCATATTTGTGTTCTCCAACAATTTGAACTGAAGCAGTTGATTTTTGTAGCTAAAATAACTTTTATCTGATGTGTATTGGTAACAGTCACTCAAAACTATCCAGCAATGTCTTTCAAACATGAAATTTTTGAGGCAAGATACGGATTTGCAGGTCATCTAAGGATGTCTCTGATGATGCACAGATAAAAATTAAGTAAATTGTAGAACTGGAATGATTTGGCTTCCCAGACTATCTAAACTAAACTGGCCTGGGTGCAGTGTAACTGTTAACAAAGAATGTATAAAAATCTTAGTATTGACATATATATAGAAATGTTTTGCTGCTAATGTTACATTATAGTACAATGGCAATGAAAAAAGCCTCTTCAAGATCAGAATCCACTCCTGTCCTGTAACATACAGCAAGAAGAGAAGTCTTTGAGACCTTCAGATGTAAATGTAAAAATTATTATTTACAGAAGGGTAGGGAAGAAGACTGAAGCAAAGTGGTGTCAGCAAGTCACTCTGCAAGCTGGTCTGCAACCCAAAGGCTGATAAAAGAGCTCTCTTCACTACTAGGTCAGGCCAGTTCTAGTTCCTGGGGTTGGGATGGTGTTACTTAAGATCTGATGAGACCAAAAAGCAGCATGCCAGCTCTAGTTCTTCTAAGACAGTCTAACACTGCTCCTTCATGCCTATATTATCTATGGCTGCTTTCTACGAGGCAAAAGTGGTAAGATATGGGATGTGGTACATCTGGGCGTGGTTTTCAATATCTAAGTACTACCATAATCTGTTTTGAAGTTGACTGCCTATATAACTGTGTAGAGGCAGCAGGTCTCTCCTTAGCCTCTCTGCTTAGGCTCTCAGGAAGGCATCCCAATTCAGACAGCAAGCTCAGATAGTCATTCTGAAGTTAAAAATAGCAAGCATTTGCAAGTCTCTTTGTGGTGACATTGACTGCATAGACCAGTAATTGACTACTGGCATTTGACTGGGTACATAGTCATTATGTTCCAAATAGACCTAATCTCAGCTTTCTACAAAAAAAAATGCTGTTTCTTTTCTAAAACTTGTTTTCCTGCCTGATTGCCCTTTCATATAAGCATAACATGTTTTCACTGTTTTCTAGTTATTAAATCTTATATATATGCAGCAGTGTCTTTCAAGCAGGCTTTAGTTTACCTTCATAGTAGCAATTTATTCAGGACATTCTGTTTTCACTAGAAATAGTCATTGTGAATGTTTGCCCATCCTTTTAAAATTGTCAGGTCTATAGATGATGAGTGCTATGCAAATGCAAAATGGTATTATTCATTTGTTTCAAAGCTGAAGTTTGTTCTTCATTAATGGACATTATCTGTGCTGCTAGTTGATGCCTAAAAATAATTCTTGGGCAGTGCTTGAATTACTTGCCTTCTGTTGAGCTAAATAGTCTCATCATACCATGATTGATGATAAAATCATTAAAATGGATTATATGTATACAGTCCAATTCAATATCTTGTAATTTTGGAAGCACATCTGATGTAGACAAACTTGTCTTTCACAGACCCCATATGAAGACCTCAGAACTAATGAATTATCACTATGCAGTTTATTCTCCAATAATTGTACTTATCAAAGAAGGCCATCTGTGGTCTTTGTTTTACTGAGTTTCAGGGAAGCAGATCACATACAGGCCGCATGGGAAATTTTTAATTATGAAAGCAAGAGTCTCTTAACAAGGTATGAGATGAAAGAACAGGCAATAGGTTTGTTTAGTTTTGTACTTCCAGCCTTAGTTACTCTACATCATGAACTCCCCTATGTTTCAAGTCCTCTGTTGCACTGTTTCTTTCTCCACTCATTTATGTTTCCTTGTTAACATTTCTCTGTTTCTTTTCTGTGTTCTGGCAACAGAACTAAGAACAGCATTAAGTTTTCATACGGCAGCCAAAATGAAGGTGCTCTTACTTTAGAACATTTTTTTATGGCTTCAGTGGGACTTGTCCTTTCACATGTATTGGACCATGGTCCCCTGGCTGTAGGTACATACAGAGGACACAATGGGTGATTCTGTCTCTGAATGGTACAGGCACTTATGTGCTGCCAAACTGACAGTGTATCCAGTTCCAGACCCAGCCTGATCAGTTCTCCTGGGTCTGTAATTGATTGCAGCAGATTGCTAAGGCATGGGACAGGGAGAAAGACACTGGGAAAACCTGTGGGACAGGGAAAAAGAGTTTGGGCAAAGACAGTCAGTGTCAGGAAGATGCAACTTCCTAGATTGTTGTGTATCATTTGAGAGACGCAGGTTATTCACTGAAGAATTTGACACCACCACCAAAATTTTTGTAATATAGTCCAAGGACGATGCACACAAGATTTTTTTTAGTAAATACAAAAATAGATACAAACTTATCTTAAAATTTCTTCTATATGCATTAAAGGATATTCTTTTGTTCACTCTGATTATATGCAATTCTTCAGATACCAGATTCTTAATCCCAGAATCACCCTTTCAGTCATTAGGGTTGAAAGGAACGTCTAAAGATCATCCAGCCCAAACCTCCTGCCAAAGCAGGGTCACCTAGAGCAGGTGACAAAAGAGTGCATCCAGGTGGATTTGGAGTGTCACCAGAGAGGGAGACTCTGCAGCCTCCCCAGGCAGCTGTTCCAGTGTTCTGCCACCCTCAGTGTAAAGTTCTGCCTCATGTTGAGATAGAATGTCTTATGCTTTCGTTTATGGTCACTGTACTTAAACCAGTTTCTGGGCACCATTGAAAAGAGTCTGGCACCATCCTCCTGACACCCACTTATGAGATATTTCTGTGTATTGGTGAGATCAGTCTCTCTTCTCTCTCTCAGTCTTCTCTTCTCCAGACCAAACAATCCCAGTTCCCAGAGTGTCTCCTCATGAGAGAGAAGCTCCAGACCCCTGATTATCCTTGTGGCTCTCCACTGGACCCTCTCCAGTAGCTCCTTGTCTCCTTTGTGCTGAGGAGCCCAGAACTGGACACGGCACTCCAGGAATGGCCTCACCAGGGCTGAGTGGAGGGGGAGGATCACCTCCCTGACCTGCTGGCCACACTCTTGCCAATGCAGCCCAGGATGGCATTGGCCCTCCTGGCCACAGGGGCACTGGTGGCTCATGGGCAGCTTGTGATGCACCAGGAGTGCCAGGTCCTTTTCCACAGAGCTGCTCTGTAGGAGGTCAGCCCCAGGCTGTGCTGGCCCTTGGGGCTGTTCCTCCCCAGGTGCAGGACCTGGTACTTGCCCTTGTTGAGCCTCACCAGGTTTCTCTGTGCCCAACCCTCCAGCTGATCAAGGTGCCATTGAATGGCAGTGGAGCTTTCAGGTGGATCAGCCACTGCCCCAGTTTGGAGTCACCAGCAAACCTGCTGAGGGTGCCTTTGATCCCTTCCTCCAGGTCACTGACAAGTAAGTTGAATAAGTTTGCTCCCAATATTGATCCCTTGGGAATATCACTATCTGCAAGCCTCTTGTTGGACTCTGCTGCACTGATCATGACTCTCTGAGGTCTGCCATCAGCCAGTTCCTGATCCACCTCACTGCCCATTCCTCTAACCCACAATTTCCTGAGCTTACCTATGAGGATTTTATGGAAGACAGTGTCAAAAGCCTTGCTGAAGCTCAGGTAGGCAACACCCACTGCTCTCCCCTCATCAACCATCCTGCCATGCTATCACAGAAGGCCATCATATTGCTCAAACATGATTTGCCTTTGGTGAGTCCATCTTGACTACTCCTGATGACCTTCTCTTCTTTTATGTGCTGGATCACTGTCACCGAGAAATGAGGGCCTTTGTCAGGGATGAGCCATTTGTCGGTGAGGGGAGACTCAGACACTCAATATGAGTGATAAGCAAATTCCGTTTATTGAAGAGAGCATCAGACACTTATACAGCGAGTAATAAGCTTACGAATATTCTGTAAGCCAAGCAATCTATTGGTTAAACTATACTATCAACTCTTCCTCATTCCTTAGGGGTTACATCTCTCTTTTCTCATGTCTCTTTCACTGTTTGTTATCCTACCACAGCTAGGCCCAAGGACACTGCTATCTGTGCAGGTGCAGGACTTGGAATTAGCCATGGTTTTGTACTTTTCCATTTTCTAGCAGCTAAATTCCCAACAAATCACAGCTTCCAGAGTGATCTGTGCCAACACCTTTCCAGGGATGGAGGTGGGGCTGACTGGCCAGTAGCTTCTCAGGTCCTCTTTGTTGCCTTTTCTGAAGATGGAAGTGACACTGGCTTTACTCTAGTCATCAGGCACCTCTCCTCCATTATTTTTCAAAGAAGATGCAGAGTGGGCTTAGCAACAACATCCACCAGCTCCCTCAGCACCTGTGTGTGCAACCCATCAGGCCCATGGATTTGTGGTTTTGTCTGCCTGGCCAATCTCTAAACAAACCTTCAGTGGCCAAGGGCAAGTATTCTTTTCTCCAACGTTCTTCTCTTGCCTCCAGGGTCTGGGATTCCTGAAGGATGGCCGCAGCAGTGAAGTCTGAGGCAAAAAAGGAATTAAATTACTCTGCCTTCTCTATATCTTCTATCACCACAATGCCCACAATACTCCTATAGGTCTCCCATATAGCCTCTCCCTTTTTCCATGTTCCATAAATTTCCTGTTTGAGATTTGCTAGAAGCTTTCTGCTCATCCCTGTAGGTCACCTGCCACCATTATTTGATTTCTTGCTCATGGGGATCCATTTGTCTTGAGCTGGGAGGAATGCTGAATTCTGACCAGCTATCCTGGACTTGCTTGTACCTCTAAACCATGGGATTGCTCCTATTAGATCCTGTTGGTTCGGACTATTTCTGATTGAAAAAAAGACATTACCTCAATGCAAAAAAAAAAAAAAAAGGCTTGGGAAAGAGCTATTTTGTTCATATAATTTAAGTGTACTGACGCTGAGAACAGTATTTAAGTAACACAGAGTTGTCCATACTACAGTTAGGGTAGCTTCTTAAAGGCCAACGAGGGAGGAGAACTTCCTCTGAAGAAGACTGAGGTTTCTGGGGGACAAGGACTGTTTCACATCCTTATTTAAATCAAGAATCATATTTAAATAATTCTTATAGACTGGCAGTCTTGCTTGAATTCATTCTTCCTCTTGTATATCTGCTTGCAGACCTATATCTTTTCTTAGATTTATTTCTCAAAATAAGCAGCATTTTGTCTTTTATGTGGGGTTAACTTATCGTACAAATGTCCTTATAGCATCCACTCAATTATCGGCCCAAAGAGAAGAAAAAACTGATCAGAAGCTGATCAGAGTAAATAGTAGCTATATTATGCTTAACTATAAGGGCATTTATATTATGAATTTATATTATTTATATATAAAATATAATATATATCATATATAAAATAAAATTTATTTATTTAAGTCTATATATGATATATAAAAATATAAATAAATATAAATAAATATAAATAAATATAAATAAATATAAATTATAAAATCTTATATGATGTATAAATATCTATAATTATATATTTATATTATACATTTATATTATTTCTATTAATAACTAAAGTCATTATCGCTAGAAAGTAAGTTTTTGTGCAATTTTGAAATTAAGAAATTCATATTCAATAAAGTATGGTTTTGGGTTTTTATTAACACACATTACAGAGTTAAACATGACAATATATATAGTGTTTTGAATAGAAAAATTACCATAGCACCAATCCTGTGATGTAAATAATGCAGAATCACCAGTAGTCACTGAATCTTATGCATAATTCTCTCAAAGTTATTCTGATAATTTGAGTGAATAAAGGCTTGAAGTATCCATATGTAGGAAGAAGATCTGGAAAACTTTTCTGATATTTTTAATACTAAATACTTGATATTATATATAAAGTTAGTAAAAACTCAAATGTTTTAGAATACTTTGGTTCAGAGCAAGTGCTCCTGTGACCTGTTGCCTATCCATTTTTTCCACAATCATTGGTTTTGAGTTAACTATCTCCCTGTAAAATTTGTTTGAAATATTGACATATTTAAAAGATACTTGACAGGGAGTGAAAGTAGTTAAAAGTGACAAGCACACACAGTGCTCACACAGCCCATCCCTGTATATAAATCTAATATAACGGCTAGATTCTTTTCACTTAGCAACTTGGTTCTGTTGCTCTTGGGTATGTATTTATGGATAGCTCTGGTGAAATAAATCCTTTGTTTATCCAGAAAGTGTGGCATCCGTATGTGAACACCAGAATTTCATGCTCCTTTTTCTTATTTTCAGCCTTTTGAAATACTCCTCATATCACTCCTCATAGTGCTGATCCCCTAAATACTGATTTTTCCTGGAGTTTACTCAGCATCTAATTCAAAAATGCTGAAGATTAAAAAATCCCCAAAGCTCCTCAGAACTGTAGGCCCATCCATTTCTAAACTTCTTAGAAGCCATAATTTCCTATGTCAACAGAAAAAAAATATTTGTGCTTTCCCTGATTTGAGTGTGTTTTGTTCTTTGAACTCTAGTATCTAACAATGACAATAAAAGATGTAAAGATCTGTGAAAAAATACCTATTTAAGGACAGGAAAAATGAAATTTATTAATTAAATGTTTGGAGCAGTTAATTGTATTGGAAAAAAAATCAGCCGCCCTCTCAGGGCAGAAATATACTTGCTGTGCAATATAAGAATTTTAGTTTCATTAGTGTATTGTTTCAGACAAAACTGAGCCAGTAAACTCATGCAGTTTGCACAACTAAAAATCTGTTGTGTAGTAAAATCTTCATGTGCAGAAGTCACTATAAAGTAGTTCAAATGAAGTACAGAAAACAGAAAACTTCCCCTACTCTCAAAAGCAAACCTGAGATCACTGTTGTGTCAGATGGCATGGGTCATTTATTAGTTACTGATCAAGTAGCAAGCACCTTTGTCAAAATCCCCACTCTGTTGATATCATTAATTTATTAAATAATTGGGAGAGGTATTTGAATAATCTCAATAGGTTTTATCAAATTAGCACCAATAAATTCTACATCTTTTATTTTTAAAAGGCCCTAAAAAATAAAAGTTTATGTTAGTCAATTTTCCCTGCAATTCCAGAATACACCACTAAAAGATACAGAGAGTGCTTTTTTAGATGCTTTGTTTTTTTCTGTAATGAAAAATTTCAGGAATAAAATCAGGTCTAAAACCAGATATTCAGGAGTACTTGGTTTGGAGACAAGTAGCATGTCTATGTTGACCTAGAAAACTCCTTAAACAAAAGAGTTTCTGTCTAGCAAAAGTGTCTAAAAACTTCTCATAATTATTACCTTAAAAAACAAATTTAAAAAGAATAAAAAAAAAAAAAGAAAAAATTTAAGAAAAAAATTAAGAAAAATTTAAAAAAATTAAAAGTCCTGGAAATATTTTTGTCTGCATCTGTTGATAGCAAGAGAAAAGGTGAGGAGGTTCTGTCCCCAGTATGTTTTTTCTCTGATTCTGCAATGCACCCATATTTATTGGCAGCAGTCCTTTCAGGGAGGCTCTTTCCTGTATACAAAGACTGTTCAGCTGCTCTCGTGTTGATATAGCTTGTTACAGGCAAGGAGGAAGGATGAGTAACCCATGCATGACAAAGGCAAAGAGGAGGAAGATATAACCCCTGAAAGTGTCCTTTAGCTCAGAGAACAGAGGTGATTCTACTCTGTCTGTCTCTTGCAGGACTGAGAAATTGCTATGAACAGCTCAAGAAGGAGGTTTTGCAGCTCTGTTGCAAAACTGATCCAGAGGCTGGCTGAACAGATGAGCAAGGGGGATCAAGTGCCAGCAGCAGGCAGGCAGATGGGAAGGATGAGGGTTCATAGGTGCAGGGCAAATTCACCCTACTCACTTCCAAACCAGCTGCCACACACTGGCTCCTATTGAGAGGAGCTTTAATTTTATTTTTTTTTTAGGAAGCCTATGCTTGGATCCTAATTTCATTTTTGTTTGGGTTTTTCATTGTTTTTGTTTGGTTGGTTGGTTTTGTTTGGTTTTGTTTGGTTTTGTTGTTTTGGTTTGGTTTGGGTTTTTTTTTTCATTTGTTTGGTCGGTTTTTTTGGTGTTGGTTGGTTGGTCCGTTGGTTGATTGGGTTTTTTTTTTTTTTTGTAATTTTAAGGCTGGCAGTAAAAATTTCAAAAAGCAAGCTTTTGACGGGTAAAATATAAATCTACTATATTGTTACAAAATGGTTATAGTGCAACCATATTTTTCTAAAATAATAAGTTCTGGCCAGCTGGTTTTTTCCTATTAATTGCTGATTTTTAAGCCATTCTTAGAAATAAATCTGGATTTTTAAAAATTATTTTTAAAAGCCTCAAAATCCCTAATAAGGACTTAGATTAATACTTTTCAAAAGCCATAGCTGCTTTACTACAAAATATGTCTCATTATTACATTGGTTTATACACACATATAAATCCTATTGATGTTCATGTATCAGTGACTATCCCCAAATAAAATCCTAGGATTAAGTTGTGGGTTTTTTTAATAAATCATCATTTGCTGTAAGATTTGATTTAGAGATGTCCTATTATTTAATTACACTAAAAATTACAGCACCATCCTGCAGTTCCAGGAAAAAAAAAAGAAAATTTTTGCTTAGGGATGTGAAACAGATGCAACTCGGTGTGGGCAGATCCATTAGGTTCTGAAGCTGGCCTGGGGAGGTAGAAGAAATACAAGGCCTTGCTCCTGTTAGTACTCTGTCACCAGGCAGTGTCCAGCCATTGGTACTTTTGTAAGATGTACTTAGGTATTCACCAAACAAACTCCAGTACTTACATGACATTACTCAAATCATCACCCAAAAGATCTGGTTTTAGGCAACTGTCTACCCTTATTTCCAGCCCCAGCAGCATTCCTCTTAGTGTGACTGCAGAGTAAAACTGCAGTTCACAACTCTTCCTTGAAGAGGCAAGCAAATCAATTGACATGGTACTTTCTTTAAAGAAAAAGTACTTTTGCACAGAAGTGTGATGAAAGCCTTGAGACCCAGCTCTTTGGTATAAAAATACTCATAGGTAAGTGACAGATCAAAGTCTTTGGGGAGATTTCAAAACCTTAACCTGGGCTTAGTTTTTGCATCTGATCTCTATACCTTCATTAGTTGCCAGTGCATCTGCACCTCTGGCAGCATATAAAATAAGCCCTGCTAATGATTAGAATGGTTTTCTAACACAGCTAACATACTGAAATAGCATGAATGTCCATATTCTTTCAGAGGCATCCTCCATCCATTACAACTTTCTTGAACATATATAGCTGTTTGGTTTGACCTTCTTGCAGTCAGTTGCTTGCCATTTTCCTCGCTTCTGCACAAATACACAATTTCTTCCTCTCACTGAAAAGTGGTAGGAGCCTCTTCTCCAGTTTATGTAGGTTACAGGCTCTCCTCCATTCCACTCCCAGTGTCCAGGATTGACTTGGTCATTCAAACCTGTGTGAAATCAGTAAGAAAAATCAGTGGTGTTTTTATTGTCACTGGAGCCAGATGCCAAGAGAGTTATGCTGTTCTATAAGTTGTTCTTCATTAAAAAATGCATACAGTTGCATGCTGAGAGAAAACATCTGATAGAACACAAGCAAAACACAATTTATGATTTAATTAGTTCACTTCAATCACAGTTAGTTCCATATGAATAAAGGAAAGCGCACTTCTCTGCAATAGTGCGTCTCTGAAATGTTTTTTTCTCCTTTCATCTATTGCACGTCTATGACCTCATAGGCTTCTCTTTCGATACTTGAAATAGCAAGGAGTCTGGGCAGCATCAGATGCCTTCAGATTTCTTCTGAATATAAAATTCTGGAGATCTTTATGGACATGATTTACACTGTTTAAATTAAAAGTTGTAAAACTAGTTTGTGTTAATTAGTACAATAGACAACATATCTTTTCACCTAGCCTCTGAGTTACTAAGACCAATAGGAATGGCATAATTTCAGATATGACTTGTCTTCTTGTGAGAGACCATAATTGGCATAACAATCTTGTACTCTTAATCTTTGTCAAATAAATTTATTTCTTTCAAGTTAGCAGAATTATGATACCATTAAACATGATCCAAAACTAACTGTATTTTTCTAAGTTAATTTAGTATACCTAGTAGGTCCATCTCAGCAAATTACTAAGAGCTGATAATCACAGTCCAGAATCAGAGAGAAAGGGCAACACTGAGGACAGTGTAGCAGAAACAAGGTTAGAAAAAAGCAGTACCACTAGTATATGAGCTGAGGCAGTCGTTCACAGAAGGGATGTACTAAGACCCATGCAAATTATTTCAATTTCTCATTAAATATTAAGTGCCTAATAAGAAGTAGCTAAATCTGAAATGATATGATGAAATGTTCTTTAGCTTATCATCTAATTAATTAATAAGATTTCTAACACAAGATAACACCATTAAATTAGGAGAAACACAAATAATTATCTAAGCTAAAACAAAATGAAAGAAAAAGCTAAATTAGGGATAAATAAAATAACAGTTGAAAGAAAGACAAGTTAAACAAAATTGTAGGAGCTGGAACTATTTTCTTCAGCTTGTGTCAAAATAGGAAAGGTTTCGAGGCAAAAACAGTCCAGCAACAGACATCATGATAAACACATCTTTTTGATAAAGACTTATAGAAGTAGCCAGGTAAATTATGACTTTTTGGTTTATGCCTTGCACTGAAATAATAAAACAGCAGAAACATGAGAACAATACAGTGTTTGAAATCTGGGCTTGAACTGCTACAGCAGTTTCTGCTTTTCAACATGCACAGTAACTACAGTCTGCAGAGGGAACTTGCAGCCAATATACTTGCCTATCCAAAAGGGCATCTTCCCACTGAAGTCCCACAGCCACTGCATGTGTTGTTCATTAGCTACGCTTGTTAGACTCCCCAGGTACCTAAGCTCAACGAGAGAGGGCAGAGTAATTAGCATTCCACAGAGTGACAGACAGCTCCCATCAACTTATCAACAATGGGTGTTGATTCTATTATAACGCATATAAATAACGAGTCACAGGAAAACCGCTATTTACTGGCATGAAGGAATAATTACATGAAGACGAAGTCTTAAAATTGTGGATTACCTGGGGAGGAACCAAAGTCCTAATCTGGTTTCTCTAACAAAAAAATTAAATCAGTTTGGCAACTGAAGGAAATGTATACAGGAAATATGTGCCTCATACTCACAAACTGTGTTTTAAACTATTGGCACAATTATTGGTACCTGATTTTCCATAAAATAATAAACTTCCTATACTGAAATCCAAGCCACTGAAAGGTACAACTTCATCTATCTGGTAGTAGAGCAGGAGATAGCTCTTTAAAATCATATTTTGACAATACTGAAGCCTTGAATAATACATTTAAGTGGTAATGTGGTTCTGTGAAGTAATGATAGAGTCAGAAAATCATAGAATGTCCTGAGTAGGAAAAGACTGAAAAGACCATCAAAATATAGCTATTGGCCCTGCACATGACACCCCAAGAACCACAAAATAAGCCTGAGAGCATTCTTGAACTCTGTCAGGTTGGTGCTGTGACCACCTCCCCAGGGAGGCTGTTCCTATGCCCAAGCACCCTCTGATTGAAGAACCTTCTCACTATATCTAATCTAAATCTCCCCTGTCAAAGTTACACACACATCCTCTAAAATCAACATTTGGATTGTTGCATCATCCCCCCCCCTCCATTTCCTTCCTCTGCCTCTATCCCAACCCTTTATTTTTTGCATTTTCATCCTTTTCAAACAGAACATCCTCAACAAGCTGAGATGTTCTGTTTCTCCATCCTCCTGTGAACCTGCACTCAGTAAATGCAGGTATCCCATGGGTTCCCCCAGTTGTTCGTCACAAGAAATTTGGTATCTGGAAAGCAACGCATTCTTCAGAGGATTATCTGCAGTGGCTATGCATTTAGTTCAAATTGGTTTGTATTAAGCAGACTAATTTCTGAATTAAGTCAACACATAAGCTCTGTTCTGCATTTGTACTTATAGTCTGCCAGCTCCAAAGGAGGATTTGCCAACTTTAGCCACTGAGTGGCCGTGCAATCAGTACCAAACATACAAGCACCAGCAGGCTATTCTTAAGCCATTTAGAGATCAAGCTAAATCTTTAGGCATTAAGAGACAAATGTCATTCTTCACATTTGCTGGGAACTGTCAGCCATCAGTGGCTCCACTTTCTTATTTATCCATCTTTGTGTCTGCATTGGTATATCCCCTTTTTACATGTCACACCTGGTGTTGCCATCCCTCTGATGCTGAACATCTGGTGCTGACGTTTATTTTGTCCCATATTTCTGACTGCTGCTCAGTCTAAAAGTGATGCCAACCCCTTCAGCCTCCCAGAATATCCTGGGTGACAGTTGATAGGGCCAGAGCAAACAACACTGTTCATAAAAACATTTTAACAGAGGAAAAAAACTTTTCTAACATTAGAATAAGTAAATGGTATTGTAAGAATTTTACTAATTTCATTACTTTTGCCAGATAACAGAGACAGAAGATCACTATTGCTCCAGATGAAGTGATAACTCTCTTCTTTAGGAGCTGGGGCAGCAACCAGGCCTGAAGAATGGCATGGCAGACTTGAGCTCACTATGGAGACCATGAGCAGATGTTAGAGTGAAAGCCCACCATTAAGCATGCTGCCTAGTTAAAGATCCATGCCTGGAGCTCCATTCCCATTATTGCCCTGTATGTCTTCTAAGAGTACTGATCCCATAGATTTCATATGATGCCACACAAAGGGAACAGGAAAAATTTACATGAGAAGAATTCAAAGTAGTAGTCCACAATATTCTGCACAGTCCATACCACACAAAATCTGGACCATTCCTGAATCTGGGCCCACAGGGCCAGGATATGAAATAAATTCATTGTTTTTTCTGAGGGGGGATGCTCCTGCTGCAAAGTCCTCCTCCATTATCCCTGCAGGCCAACCAAAGCAGGAGGGGATGGAGCTGCCCGCTGCTCCATGCTGCACAGTGGATCTGCTAAGGTCAGCAGGTCAGCTGGGTGTTAGCCCTTGCCTGTGCAATCACAGCTGCCCTGGGGCAGGCACTGTGCAGTAATAGGCCCATCAGGGGCACTCTGAGTTCCTGGGCCACCAGAGAACAGCATGTAAAGGTTCACACTGACACCTGTGTACCTCTCCTCAACTAAAGGTGTGGCAGAACAGCCTCAAAACTGTCTGGTAGCAGTCAGGATTGTACACCCACTGTGGTAGAGGCCCCCAAAACTGCACCCAGTGAAGGTATCAGCCGAGCTTAGCTCTGCCACACATCAGAGTGAGATGTGCCTGTTCCACCCTTGGGACAGGCTTCCATCCTTCTGGGCCAGTCTGCCAGGCATAGAATCTCTGGTGAGCTAGGAACAAAGCTGTTACTCTGACAAACACTGTCGGGAACTTTCATACTCCATCTTCTCCTACAGACAGAGTCCTGGAAAGCAGGCATAGCTAATTCAGGTTGTCCTCTCAGGCTAACTGCTTCAGCAGCAGGATTCTATTCTGCCTGCCGGGGGCTGTGGTTGCGCTGACCAAATGGACGTGAGAAGAGGTTTGCACAGCAGTTTCTGTGGTATCACTACTAGGTGAACAAGAACAAAAATAGAGCATTTTATCTGGGTTCTGCTTAAGGGCACTCAAAACCCAGGAACAAAGTAATTTACTTTAGGTGAGCATAAAGCATTATGCACCAAAAAGCATCAATATGTGTCAGTAACTGCTGTATCATTTATGACATACAGGCGTAGTCTGAGCAATAACAGTTTCAGACTTCAATTCACGTACCGGGGAGAGACTTCATCACTTTGAAAGGAAAGCACTACAATAATTATAATTTAACCTAATATTTTCTCTATAGGAGTGCTTACTAAGTACAGCTTCACAAACACATTACTGAAGAGAGAACAACTGTTCTAATTGTTATACCTGTTTAGGGGGGTTGTGTATTTTAGGTAAATGCAAACCATCCTGAAAGAACATAGCACTTCCATAATGTTACTCACTGAACCTTGAGGCATAGGATCAGACACCGGAAATTACAAGATAATGTTATTTGTGGAGTGTGCATCTAACACTTCCTAATGTAAATTAGTCAAGATAAGGAGTTATTATGCCTTATTAGGGAAAGAACCCAAACAAAACAAAAAACAAACACCTACCAAAAGAAGCCACAACAAACCCACACACACGTCACTTTTTTCTGTGCTAAACTATCTATTTAAAATTGTTCCTGCATGCTTCATAACTTTTGTTATTGAGTCAAGAGCATCCTTTATCTTAGAGCAGTTGCACAAGTTAAGGAAACATTTTGGGTAGCTATTGACCTTGAAATATTATATGGAAATACTTAGCACAAAGACTTTACTGATTTTCTATTAAATTGCCTGATGCATTTAAGAGTCTTGTACCATTTTGGTAAATTTAACAATGGCAAAAGCATACTTGACTAAGTGTGAAGGTCTCCATGGGACACAAAATTTTATTTGAACTGCTGTAGTAAATCTGCGTCCTATACTGATATTGAAGGGTGTGGGGGGTAACTGAAAGACTCTGCTTATCTCAGTCTTTTGTTTGGTCACCTAGGGAGTTATCCTGATGCCTTGAAATAGGTGTCTAGTGTTGTTTACAACACCTCCTATCATTCAGAACATTCAGATGAGAGTGGCAGACATGCTGCAGAGCTTGCAGAAGCCCTGCACTTCCAGACTGGCAGTTGAAAGCCAGACAGCATACACAAGGCCTTTAAAATTACTCTAGGTACCTGGATTCCTCTGCTGGAGTCACACACATATGAGTTAACCACTTAGAAAACCAGTACTAAAAGAGGACTGATGTTCCTATGGAACACTGAGCCATCATGAAGTAACTAATGTATTACTTTAGATGTGGTTCTGCCTGTAATTCCGAAGGACTGGGGCCACATGTAGCTGTTCAAACAAAATAACATGTTCTGCCTTACACAGCTAGCAGTACAGGATCTGAAACCTAATAATATTTGAGCTTTAATTAAATGTTCAACTTCAAAAAAGATGAAAGTATAATATGACTAACAAGGCAAAAGACACAACTGTGGGTTCTATCTATGCAGTTCTCCCATCCCTTCAGTGGCAGCAGTGAAACCATCTCACACACAAGTGAGTCCTGCTGTACTGACCCTTGGGGAGGACATGTTCCTATTGGATAAACAAGAGCTGTGGCATAAATCATCAAAATTGCTTCTAAATCAGACTGCTGTGGGATCACTCAGCCATAATATCCCCCAGATGCTTCTCTTCACGTTGCCAAGAGTCTCTTCATGCATACAAACAAAGCTAGAGAAATGAGTTCTTAAACCACCTTTCTCTCCATTGAATTGGAGAAGGGTTAGAAATAGTGCAAGATTTTCACAGCAATTAACTGAGATTTCCCTGTCCCCCCATCCCATTTAACACTGATATATAGAAACTTGCATCAAGACAAGCACTTATTTTTGTCTGCTTCTACCCTTGAACATGAAAACTAAAGAAAAGGGTTGTATACCACCTGCAACAAATGCATACAATGTATATCAATATAAACTCAAACAGGCCTGCATTAGCCCATGCATATGTACTTATGTCTAGACAACAACTGCTTCCACAACAAATACATTACTGTGATGGAATAGAATCATAAACTATCATGTTGAAAGGAACTCTAAGGATCATCTGGCAAAAGGACAGTCCAGACAAGATGGGCCAGCACTCAGTCTAGCTAAACCTTGAAAGTGTCTGATGTTGGGGAATCTGCTCTCTCCCTGGGGAGAGTCTTCTAACGGCTGATCTCACAGTAAAAAAAAAAATTCCCTTGTGTGTACTTGGAATCTTCCCAGGAATAACTTGTTCTCCTAGCTCATCTTTTCTATGTGATTTCTTGTAAAAAGGGAGTCGCTATCCTCTTCTTAGCCACCCTCTAAATATTGAAATACAGTGAAAAGGGTTCACCTATGTCTTCTTTCTTCACATGGCAGGCTTTATTGTCCTTTGATCAACTTCGTGGCCCTTGTCCAGACACTTTTTAGCCTGCCTACTTCTGTATACTTTTTGTATAGCCTATTCCCAACTCCATCATCTCAAAATTGCAAGATTGTCTCAAAAAGGGTAGGGCAGGAGACTGTTAGTGAATCAACTTCAACAATGCTTGGGTTCTTTTTCCTGCATAATAGAAAAATTCTAGCAAGACAAATGAATAGGAGCTTAAAATTGTGCCATTTTTTGTAGTAGTCAAAAAATTATTCTTTTTTTCATGAAAGTTGGCTGATTTACTAGAAGTCAATTCTAATATTTTCATTTAATATCTAGTTTGTTGATCTGTTGGAAATTGAGGGCTGACCTCCATGGTAGTTTTATTTCCCTGTTGGAAACATTTAAATGTCAATAGAATCCGTATTAATAACAGAAACACCACAATTAGTGATGGTGATGATTGCTGGAGGAGCTGGGGAAAAGCACAAAATAAAATTTAATAAGTTATGTTCTTTTACCACATTTTAGCATGTTCCTGGAGCTGTACTCTTGTAAATTAGTTCCAGATGGAGGCAAGGAGTACTCCATTTACTAGGATAAATCTTCCTTAGTCTATGCTAGTATGACATTAATTGAATTAGCACTGCCGTAGGATTCATTTCCTTGTGGATTCAGTGATATGCCTTGATTTTCTGTGTAGCTTTTTTAACACTGTCCTTTAGTTACTGTTGTTTACATTTATTTAGTTTTATTCAGTTTAGTATCTACATTGCACTATCAAGAAGCTCCCACCTACAAAAAATATGGGTCACAAAGACTACACTCTTTTAGAAGATAGGATACACCTCCCAGAAGAGTGGCATATGGTTCCAAGAGATCAATTCACTGTTGAAGCCTTCAGAAAAAAAAAAAAATCACAATTTATAGCATTGTTTGTTAACAAGTAGCATAATAAAAGCAGATAATAACAAAAAAAAATTCAGGAGCTGAAATAGTAAGTAAACCAAGTGTTAACACAAAATTTAGGGTCGGCTCACAAGAGGACATGACATTTACACTTTAGTAAAGAATATCTTCCATCAGCTAGGAGGTAGTAGTATCAAGACTTTTCTTTTGCATGTTCCCAAGACAACATAATCTGGCATAACTAAGTGGAATGAATCAATGCTTGTTCTGCATGCTTGGCCATGATTCACTGTTCAGCATGTCCTTCCATTACTTTAGGAACATAAGTTGTTTCTATCATTTCCCACTCTTCCCTGTTTCAATTTTCCTTTGGAGTAATGGAGAGACCTGGAGTAATGGAGAGGTCTGTTTAAGCCCTTCCTATTTTTCAGATTGGTTTTCAACCTGGTGCTCACAATTCAGGACAAGGTACAGAGCATGCCTATCCTTGGACAAGCTTCATGATATCATGGCTAACATTTTTTTCCAGTACTAACCTAATACCTCTAAAGCCAAAATCTCAAACGTATCCAGAAAACAAGACTGACAGGTTTTTTGTCTCCTACTTTAAGACAGCTATTATTATTATTACTATTGTTGTCATTACTGTTGTTGTTGTTATATCCCTAAAAAGTCAGAAATGCACTGTTAAATTGAATGTAAAAGTTTTCAAATAGTTACAGAATCTTCAAAGCTGCATCTTCAGAAGCATACAGCAAGGCACACAGGAACTGGCAATATTTTACCATTGCTATATCAAGAGGAGGTAGTGCCAAGGAAGTGGTGGGTAAGAGAGGATTAAATTCTGAGTCTCTACTGACTCCGAGTTTCTCTTCTCCCGAACTAACTCTCCCATTAGAAAAATATCCTCACTGCAGATGGACAGCTTTGAGAAACAACCACCTGAAGCGTTATGAGACTAATATTTCTATCGTCCACTGTGTTTGAATCCCAGGATTTGTGCAGTTTTGGGGGGAGCTGTGCAGAGCAGCCAAAGCTCGGCTTATCCAAATAAATTTGGTCTCAAGAGCAGCATTTGTCTCAGGGCAACAGCGCTGTACAGCAAATGCATGATGGTCTCTTACTGATCTCTGCAAGCCTGAGCAGCGATGTTCCAGGTGACCCTGTGATTCAGCACCAGGAAGTAGCAGCTGCCCTCATGATAAGTCCATCCAGAGGGGCATTTCTTCATAGTTACCTCCTAAAGTAAAAGAGGAAGAGGTAAAGCAGACTTCTGTCTATGCACAGATAGTCTGTGCACTAGTGTCCAGAATTAAACCAAGCATGAACTTTGGTGTCTATAAATAAACATAGAGCATTGCTTAAAACATTTAAACAAATAATGCCTGACAGAGGATCCTACAGTTTATAATTAGTAGTTTTGATGGTGACAGTAGGATTCACTTCCAAAAATCTTCTAAAGGCTTTTTATTAGTTTGGACACCATTTTCTGTCTCCTGTACTCTGTACAGGGAAAGCAGTGCAACAAAATTCATCGTGACATCTTAAGTGGTGGGGGGAAAGTATGTTTACAGAATACCTAATTAAGCTTATTTTACTAAATTCCACCTATTCTCCCACAGACTTCATTCACTGACTGTGTTATGTCTCCATTGTCCCAAGCACCACAACACTAGTGCTCATGTGGTTTGTCCAGGAGCACCTGTGGATGACAGAGAGAAAAGGCAACCCCAGCAGTCAAGTCCTCATCATATTCCTGGGAAACTTTTGTTTCTGCTGAAAGCAAACCTGAATCTGGTTAACATTTATGCCCTGTTCAAGTAAATAACAGGTCCTCTGCTATAGGGTATCACCAATCGTAGACTCCATGCTCTGATGTAGATACCTACACATTGCTACTTTTTTACCTTGCCTTGGGAATTCCAGAATTTCCATGATATCCCATCACACTGAAATAATTTCTGTGTTCTTTCTTCATAATGCAAGAGACCCTTTAAATCTGGTGTACAAGGCTTTTGAAAAGTGTTCAAGTCCTGGAAAGAGAAAATGTCATTTTTATATTTGAAGGAAAATAATTACACAAAACAAGTGAAATGAAACAGATTAATTAGGTCTTATATTAAAATTGTATGCCATGAAAACTCTTCTAGGTGTTAAATCATTTTGGAAAACAACACGACTGAAAACAGATGGTGAAAATGCCCATGAAAGAAGGATTTCATACCCTATGTCTTGATCTTGGTTCAGCTGCAAGTTCTGCCTTATCAGCCAGTGGGATTTCTGTCTTTCTAGAGGAGATTACATTTATCTGTGTTTGTGCTTTCTTGTTGGTTTCAGCTGAGGAGGTGTCATCCTCTATTTTGAGTGATACAATCCCATGATACTTCATTTTACAGTATCACACAAGAACAGGAGAGAAAAAGGGTTAGTACATACAGGCAGCTCTTTAATTTAGTTTGTTTAAACTAAATTAAAAATAATAAAAATTAATTATTATAAAAATTATCACAAATAAAGGGAAATTACACCAAAGAAAAAGAAAGATAGAAAAATAAAGTATTAGACATAACAAATTATTAGGAGTGATAAAGCCTAGAAAGAGCAGAATCAGAAAGAAATCATGGAAATATCCAACCAACACCCATAATACTCTTACTTTGAAAATCACATCTGTTTCATTTCTAAATACGGATGAAGGAGGAACCTGAAAAACGTAGAACAGCAGAATGAGATGGGATTATAGAAACAAGATGACTTTATGCAACATTTATCACTAGCTTATACATTGTGGAGAGCATGTCTTGATTTAGTTCTTTCTCTTTTAGTGTAGAAGCATACCATTTCTGAAAGGAGCCATTTAAAAGCACAAATTACAAGTGTAATGCTCAGTGTTCATAAAAATAGATTCCAGAAATCTTTAAGGTCACAATAGCAGAAAGTTACTGAATACCTAACTAAATTAATATAGCTTAAGCAGGAGAATCAGTGGAAAGGGTTTAAATAACTATTCTGTGTTTAAACCAACAGTATTTTCAGCTTTATAACTTCAGTACCAGATGCACAGCTTTGCCTGGTTCCACCAACTTCTAACTTACCCATAATTTTTATAAGATTGGGAGTTTCATAATTGCTGAAGTTGCTTCATGCCCGTTTCCTCCCCCAGGTCTTGATTTTATTCCTCTCTTGCATACATGGATCCTCAAAACGTTTGGTTTGTTTTTTGGCTTTTTCCTTACAGTTTTTTTTTTAATAGCCCCAGGTCTGATTCAGTGCAAACTCATGTAGTTTATAGTTATTGTGTGATCAGATAGAATTGCTACAAAAATGACAGTTAAATGAAGATGTCACATCACAATAAATTCACAAATCAGTTCATCACTAAACTACAGAAGTGTCTTACTATTCTGCCATTTCCAGTTACTCTCAGCCTGGTCCTTGACCGATTCGCCGAGCTGTGCTCCTGCCACAGATCCCCTCCATGCCCTCTCATCCCTTTGGAAGGAGGCAGTGGGATCCTTTCCAAGGAAACATTGCCAGGCCTGGAAGGTGATGAGGAGCCTGAGGAAACTGGAAATAGCGTGCCTCTCCCCCAGAAGTCATGCTTGCTTTGCCCAGAAGAATGGGAATAGCTGCACTGACCTGAAAGCATAGAAAATGGCAGATGGTCAGCTTTAACTGCATGAGCAAATAACTGGTCATGTTCACATGGGCACATAAACTGCTTTTCCTTAAAAGTTGGATGATTCTTTCACTTGAAGTAGTTGATTTGCTGTTTGTTCAGTCACCCTCATTTTTGGGGTTATCTATGACTATAACTGCAACTACTATCTCTATAAGATTTTATATGTGATGCATCTGTCTACCCACAGGTCAGAATTCAACCAAGCATCTGCTGAAAACACCTGCTTTCATTCTTATACTGGGCATTGAAGTGCTGGGGTTTTTGGCCATGAATATACAGGTATCTTTAACTACCATTGATGATATTTCCATCATCTCCAGAGAAGCTTCTTCTTGGAAATCCAGGATACTGTTGTTTCAAAGTCACTGCATCGATTAAGTCCTGATTTACCCTAGGAATATTTAGAAGACAAATCTGAAATTTTAAAGGGGCTTTTTGTAACATGAAGCCTAATTCATTGCAATATGGATATTTTAAATATTGTTTCACTAAACACCAGAAGAAGAGACACTCTTCAGCAGTCAGAGGCTGCAACTGCTTTTCTAGTTATTTCTATTTTTCTACCATTTTCCTATGATTCTCTTTCTACAATTGCCTCCTTTTGGGTCTGATTTCAGATACTCCACATTTGATTGCTGAAAAACATAATGATAATGCAGTCTTCAAAGACTAAACTATTTGCCGTGATGTTATGGACTGTGCTTTTTAAGTATTGGAAAATATATTGCTAAGAGATGGATTAATTTTCTACATTTCTTTTTGAGAGAAAAGTAAATCTCTTTTAGAGGGTGTGTAACAACTTAATAATAACTGGGGGGGAAAAAACGAATGGATCTAAACCCAATTTTCCCCACTTTAGAAAATGCAAACTGAACTCATGTTGTTATGAAAAGTGGTTTCTTTCCTGGCATTTTTCTCATTTTGTACTCGTTGCTTTTCTCATCCTGTGAGGATGCGTATGATTTTGTGAGAGAATAAAGGGCCTGCAAGTGTCAAGCCTGTTTTCGCTAAAAATAAATTAGGCAGTTTGGTCTAATGGTGAATGTTAGGAACAACTCATGGTTGAAAATAGATAGTTATTCAGCCAAGATTGTCCCACCTTTTTAGTCACAAAGATCAAAAGAGAATACCTCCTTTTGAGTCCAAAATTTTCACTACAGCTTTTGTCCGTGTGCCAAGAACAGCATTCACAGGGGAGTTCAGAGCTACTTCAAAGACTTCATCATCTTCCTCTAATCCGTCATAGGTAATTGCTATATTCCACATCTTGGTTGACACTCCTAACACAAATAAACATTTTAATTACTCTTTAAGTGCTATTTCAATCAATCAGGGTGTCAAAGAAATAGATTAATTAACATGTCTGCAGCTAGAGTGGAGTAGATTGTGTATGCTATTGTGCTCCTACTGACTGACTGGACTCCTGCTGTTCTTCCAAATAACATTAAGTTTGAATTTGTTCCTGAGCAATGATGATTCAGTTGAAGTGCATACACTGTAACAAAGTGCTGCTGTAGATGTGCAAAATTGCACTGTAATACATTGATTTAGGACTTCCACTGATTTTCAAGAGAAAATGTATCATACAGTTTGTATCTGAAAAGTTTGACTTTAAAGATGGAGCACTTATTTAAAATACCTGCAAATGGATCAAAAACCATGTTAGACTGAAGTGCAACCATTTAGGCAAATCTTACCATTGTTTTTTCTTGTTTCCTTGTCTTTACTGGGTAACTTCGGTATTGTATGTTAATGAAATAGGGCCATGGACATCTTGAATACCCTAAGTTGTTCTCAGTTTTGTCTAAATTTGACCTGTGTCCGGGGCTTTACCTATAATGACTGAAGTCCTTAAAGCATCCCATAGATCAGCTCAGGGTGAGTCCTATCCAGCCTAGTTGTTGGGAGATCAGGAGACAACATATCAGCACTTTTGATATTTTAAAAAAGTAAAAGACTGTTGGCAATCTCATGCCAAATAATTAGGATACCAATTCACTAAAGAAGCCCAAAGCACTTCCAAAAAATAAGCTCAAGTCTTAAATACTATTCAGCTTCTCTAGCTGTAGATATGTAATAGATTTCATTCTCCAAAGCAAGAGGTTGCTCTTCTAAAATCAGTGAATTAATTTTAGAATTACTCAGTACACTATTTCATACCTGGATCAAACTGAACAAGCTTGGATGGAGTCACTGTGAAGTCCTTTCCCAGCCTAGCAGATATTTCATTGACCTGAGAAGAAATCAAACAGTAAATACTACACTGTGACTCTTTTCACCAAACCACTGCACTCTGATGCACCCAGAACGTACTTTGGATGTCTCAAATAGACAGGCCAACTCATACATATACTTAGGCTGGGGAAAAAGATAAAGAACTGAAGAATAAACCTTCTTATGTGCAACTGTCATTCTGTTCTTGCTTATGGCTTAAAAAATTAATAATAATAAAAAAAAATCCCTATCTTAAAGTTTTGCTAATTCCCCTCTGAGATTGCTATTTGACAACACCAGGTAACACTGCTGTTCACCATGCCTGGGGACCCTGCCATATCTGGCTCCTGGAAAAGCACATTCTGTCATCTAAGAAGAGCAGCAACAACTTGGCCATGTTTTCCTATTTGGCCCTTTGTGATATCTTGAAATAAGCTTTTTTGCACAGAGCCTTCTATCACTCCCAAAGACTCATTAGGATAGATGTGAACCCTACATATGTAAATATAGGGATTCCAGCAACTCCCTGAAATTTTACAGGAGGCACCAGAGGACGCCAGTTTCCATACCATGTATGTTTCCAGCTCTTGATGCTGGAATCAGTTTCACTGTTTCAAATGACTGCTGGAGTAGAATCACCAAGATCTGTGAAGGGTAGGACAAGATGTTCCCCGAGGGCATCATTAGCAAAATTCCCACTCATTTCAGTAGAAGAAAAATTAAAATTATGTTTCTTATAAGGGCTATAATCCTGAGAAGCTCTGAGGGGGAAAAATTGTATTTCTCCAGCAAGGGGAGCTGATAAAATACTGGAATTTCCATTTTATGAGGAAAGATAAAATTTGTGAAGGCAAGTTGCACAAAACCTGCTCTACAAAATTATAGCCTTCAGCTTTCAGTCTAGTCTTTTTGACATTAGACAGAGGCAGTCATTGAAGGTACAGGGGAATTTCCCTTGGCTGTGGGCAGTAGGGGGTGAAATGGAGAAGGCTGCCATGGCTGTGTAGTTGAAGTACCTATACTTCCTGGGCTCCTGCAGCCTGAGAAGGCAAAACAAAAGCCCCAAGGCCCGAGATTGCCCAAAACCTGAATTTTAAAGTGGCAGATCCTGGAAACCAAGCTTCTGAGCACAGTGCCAGAGGAAAGTGCCTTCTCTGCTTTTCCATCAAAACTGAAACGCTGCTCCAAAACATTCCAGGTTTGGTTAATCAGCATTTCTACTTAAGACTCAAGAAATTTTGTCAGAAGTATTTCAGCCATCTGTAGTAGCAGGGACAATGTCCCAGTAAGTATGGATTGAATCACATGGCCTCTTTGATGATTATTGAATTATATTTACATCTGAGGAATAAAATAACAGGCAGCACTTATTATTATTAAATTAGGTTGTTGGCTTTTGGCTTTACCTTCACGGTTATAAAGGCAGACTCCCCCAGGTGTCCTGCCCTGGTGATTTTCAGAGACACCACTCCTGTGTTTTCACACACCTCATATTCAGTCTGTAGCATTTCAATTCGAGACCACCATAGCTCCAGCCTGTGGGAGAGAAAGGAATGTGAGTTTAGAGCAAAGCCACCTGGCCAGCTGCCCCCAGCCCCTGCTGCTCAAGGGCTGTGTGAGGAGTCTTCTCTCCCGACTGCTGATTTAGCCAATACACATACTGAGTCTTTGTCTCCAAATTAACATATTTGTGTGATTTAACTGATTAGGAAGAGGCAGTAATAAATCTTGCAGACTAGCCCTGATGTACCCTAAGCCAAACTTGAGCCCTATTTTACAGCCAGAGGGATTCTGTAGTAACTTTGAGAAGAGCAGTTTGTCCATTACAACAATAGGCCTAGACAAGTTATCACTGTTTATCCTGGTTCCCTTTAGCCTTTCAGTTTATTATACTCACACTCCCCAGTCTTTCCTCAGCAATATCCTCCTTTCCGCCCATCTGCCTTCATGTATCCTCTATCTCTCGTCCTGAAGCACACAGAGTATGCTCTAGGACTTTTCTGCCTCTGTGCAAGGGACTTCTCTTCTTCTCGGCACACTTCACTCTTCAACCTTTACCCTATCTGATTCCAGGTGTCTTATGCACTGAATTTTAGAATTTTTTATGGAGGATGGGGGCAGTGAACCTCAGAAGACTGTGTGCTGCACAGGATCGCCAATAAAGATCTTTCCTTGTTTAGAGCTGTAATAAAAATTAGTAAGACTCAGAGAAGGATGAATGACATTGCAAAGAAGGAAAATAAGCTGAGCTATTTACAATTTGTACTTTACTAATACAAAATTCTAGGCCTTTCACAGCTGACTAGCTCTATCACCAGTGGAAGTTCTCTCCTGTTCTCCTCTACCCTCTGATTCTGATTTTGTGGGAAACCCGTTTGGAAGCTGATTTGCTTTAGTTTTGCTAAAGAGGATGGATGTGCCAGATGTAGTCCAGCAGCATTCAAATAAAAGCTGGGACATGAACAATAAATTGTGTATTTTGAAACCGTTATCATTAGGTGATAACTTACTTTAAATTGAAAAAATACCTCATAACCTTTTAAATCCAATATTAAAATGCTATTTTTTCACCAAACTTCCCCTTTGATCTACTGGCAGATAACTTCACTGAAACACTTATTTTCTGCAAAAGAGTTTTTTCTTTGCTCTTCTCCTAAAGCTGAGCTATGCACTGTCATTTGTTTAAAAGGAGTTGCATTTTCCGTGAAGTGGCATCACATAATGGTGATTTTTCATCTGCAAGCCAGCACAGAGCAACTTGGCTATCCATGCTCAGATGTGTTTGTTTATGGGGACATCTTTTGGCACAGTACATAACTGCCTAAATGCTGCCTCCAGCTCAGCTGAGTCCCTGTCCTCTCTCCAGTGTGCAGAGAAGTGCTCTGCCCCTGGGTTTAGCTCTCTGCTTCTCTTTCTTCACCATGAGTCCTGGTTTGTGAGTAGCCGTTTTAGCCCAGAAAAAGCATATTGGGTTTTTGGTGGTATTTTTTGTTTGTTTGTTGGGGTTTTTTTGTTTGTTTGTTTGCTTTGTTTGTTTTGTTTGGTTGTTTTTTTTTCAATTTTTTCTGATTAAATAAGTTGGTTGAACACTTAGCCCTATTTTCAGGAATAAAAAGAAGCATTGCCTCTACTGAAGAGCTACTTGCACTTCTGGCTTTTATCATCAAAGCCCAGTTCAGATGATATTCTAATTTTTCTACATGAGGCTTATGGTATGTCACAAGGATATATTGGATGGTGTGCCTAATACATGCAGTGGATGACAAAGGTGTTGTGTGTTCTCCACCTTCTTTCAGTGCTCTTTTGCAGAAATATGGCACTGAGCTTTGTCATTTGAGAGCATCCTGTCCACTGTAATGTCAAGCTTGTGAAAAATGCACTGCCATCAGCTAAGGGCAAGAGTGACCTGCAGCTGCAGGACCACGTTCATGAAGCGGTAGTCCCATCCTTCAGCATGCAGCATCTCAGATATGCAAATGCCGAACCCCACTAAATGCATTATGTTTCCTGGTGAAGATCTGAAGGCCCTTGAGAACTGTGACACAGTCTAACCTGCAGCTCTACCCTTGTTGAGCTTCAAGAAGGCTTCAAGAAGGCTTCACCTTCTTGAGGAGGAGAAATCTTCTCTACTCTTACAAAAGCAATGGCAGGTTGAGTTGTAGCTATGTCCGTGTCTGCGTGGCTTCAAGCCCAGCACCTGTTCATTTTTCCCAAGGGGTGGCAAGCACAGTGCAGCACAGCCCATGTCACCAAGGACTGGAGCTACCTTTGAGGTGCTGCAGAGTTTCCACTGGCATCTGTCACTTGAAACTCCAAGTTGTCTGAATTCACTTCTCGTGATTTGTTGATGACATAAAGTATGATTTTGCTGTTTAAATCCTTTTGGCTAAATCCATCCTGAATGAATCCACCTAGGAAAGACAAATGGTATGCAGGTGAACGAAAATCCTGCTAATAAGAACCATGTAGATCATACAGACTCTTTTCAACTTTTTTTTTAGTTGAGTATCTGAACTTTGAGACATGTATGCTTACAGCTAAACAGCAATATCTGTTCATTATAAGCCCCTGCCAATTTCTTTATGTGTAACCTGTTTATCAAAAGGCCAAGTTCAATATTAATCTTTTTTTTCTTGATAGAAATAAAAAAGTTTCTCAATAGTTATTAAAAATTATCTCAAACTCTTTAAGGATTCATAACAAACTTAAGACTCAGGTTACATTGTCAAAGTTTTGTTATTACAGTCAAACTTTGCCCAAAGTTTGCTAAGAAATTTTGATTCTATCAAGCAAACATTAACAGGGTAGGGTTTGAAGTCTGGTCTGGTATGGCAAATCATAGAGATTATAGAAGAAATCACCTGTCATTATATTTTCCAGGTAGCCATAATGAGGACCTTGCAAAATCTTAAAAATTATTTTGTCATCTTCTGTATTGGGGTCAGATGCCCTCAGGGACCTGGCAGTGATATAGATCCCATAATTGCCATTCTTCAGCAGTTCCACGTCAGAAAAACAATGGAGATGAGTAATTTTTGGTGCCATTTTGTCCAAATGATCCACCTAAATCAAAGTTAGACATTCATATTATAACATCAGGGTATTCTCTGTCCTGCTTTTGCTAAAAGAGCAGTAGCCAGATCAGGATGGCAATAGCCACTTTGGCTCACAGTCTGCTGCAGACCCCTGAGTTCTAGCTAAGTTGTACTTCACATGAAAAGTTTCCAGGTCCAGATTACCCATCACTTGCCACATGTAGCAGGGTATAGTACACTCTGGGGAGTGAAACACAAATTCTATATACCTCTGCCCTTATGTCCCACATTCTCCATAGCCCTCATTTTTTATGATTTTCTTCACAGCAAAAGATAACTGCGACAAAGGTTTGTCACCTCTATTTTATAATAACAATTCCATCTTTCACAAATTCTGGTGAACCTTCTAGCAGTCCACAATGGTTGTTGCTGTTCCCATATATCACCCTCTGCTGAAATAGTATGCCTCACTGGTTGTATAACTTGAAACTTTGTCATCAGGAAATATTAACAGTCTTTCATTAGCATCAGGGTTTTGAAACACAGAATTCTGACATGCAGTGCAACCAGACATACTTTGTGTACTGAACCATGCCACATAAATAGATAGATACAAAAAATCACAGCAAACAAATCTGAGCCTATGACAAAGTATGAAGGACTTGAAAACACAGGAAACGGGAAGTGAACAGAAAGATTCTAGCAAAGAAAGAAGAATCAGAGCATCTTACATAGAGAGGAAAGCTCAGAGAGGACAGGATGTCTAGGTGGGGAAGCAAAGTGGCTGTAATTCAGGATTCCTGTGACATGAAGATCAGCAATCATACTCACACCCCCATATGTGCAAATCACAGGATCAGGCACCAAGTGGGAAAGCAGAGCAGCAGAAAGTTCTATCCTTCCCATAGTAGAGGTTCCTATGTAAAAATTTTAGCATGCAAGTATTAAGTATTTACTTGCTTATCTTTATGCATTTTGGTAAGTAGTTAGTTCCCCAGGTTAATTATTTGTGGAACACAGGAAGCAAACATACAAGCTGCACGGTTAAATCAGAGACTGCAGCAAGTACCAGCTGTCATCAAAACTGCTACATTTTTGGCTTTATCGTCCTATTTATCTCTCTTAAGTAGGTCTGTGATCACACTTGCCTGAATGGTGAATGTCACCGGCTCTCTCTGCACCCTCCCATTCACGATGAAGCCTTGGTTAGTCCTATCCGAGGCAACAAATGTAAATCTGTCTGTCTGGGAATTCCCACCTCGGTGCTTGTATGCAACATCCCTGTTGTCCACATCTTGCTGTGTGAAATTGTACTGCAGTAGCACAGTCCCATTATAATAGAGATGACCATACTGGGGGAGCTGAGCCAAGAGGAAGGTAAGGTTTTCTTTCGCAGTATCTGGGTCTGAAAGCTGCAGTACATCAGGAGTAAGAAGTGCCGTAGCTCCTTCACTTAATCTTAACCCCATGTTCCTAGATAGAGTGGGCAAAGCCTGGTCAGCTGCCTCCAAGGCAATCTTGAATGTCCCATGCTTAGTCCTCAGTCCATTGCTGATGATGAATCTGGCAAAGAGAGGCAAGGCAGTCTTCAGCATCTGTTCTTGATTCAGCATGTACTGAAATGAAATGATAATGCAGACCTTTACTACAGGACTTGCCTGTGTTGATACTGCAAAAGTAGAAGAGCTGGGTGGAGCACAAACCCAGACACTGGGTGGAGTGGATGTAAAACATAAAAAGATGAAAGCAGACAGCCAGGTATTATGACAGGAGTTACAATGCGCTGGCAGGGTTTGAGCAGATGCCAGAGGAAAGGCCTTGAACATCAACAGTCACAGCAGAGCTGATCTCAGCTGGAAGCTGAGGTACAGGTGGAACAGATCTAAGAGGAAAGGCTGTCTGGGGGGCTTATTGTAGTTTCTGGTGTACATATTTTATAAATCCTTAAAATTTATCTTCACTTGGTTACCTGGCAGTAGCACCTACAGCTTACAGAAAGATGTATGTTAAGTGCATGACCTGCCAGGTTTTGTTTAGTTTGGGTGTCTTTCTGTTCACTGTTACAAATCTTTTCTACCCAATGCCCCCAAAGCTATCTGAAAAACCAAACTGGAGAAAGATTCAGCCTTATCTCACTTCATGGGTTTGTTTAGGCACTAACTCTATCTTTAAATTTTCATCCATTCAGTAGAATATGATTTATGTTTCTTTACAGAAGTCAAGCAAAATTTCACTGAAATGCTAAGATATTGGGCAGAACTGTACAAGTTGATAGGATAATTTTAATAACATAGATATCCATAGCATAAATTTATCAAATGGTCATATCTGTACAGCTCTTCTTCCATGCTGGGAATTTCTATCAATAGCCACATAATTTCTTGTAGTTCTCTCTCAAGTAGTGATGTCAAGTAGTGATGTTTCTTTAGATACACTAAAGATTTGAATATTCACTACAGATAGTTTTCCTTTCAAAACTAAGAGAAAAACTGTAGGGAAAATCTGTTGGAAGCTCTGCTAGTTTTGACTGGGGTATAGTTAATTTTTTTCATAGTCATTTGTATGGAACTATGGTTTTGATTTGTGCTAAATACAGTAAAATAGTGTTGATAATATAAGGATGGTTTGGTTACTGCTGAGCAGTGCTCATACAGCATCAGGGCTTTTTCTGCCTCTTACGCTGCACAGCTAGTGATAGGGCTGGGAGTGCATAAGGAGTTGGGAAGGGGCACAGCCAGGACAGCTGACCCAAAGGATATCCCAGAAAATCTGGTGGCATGCTCAGTGTATAGAGCTAGGGGAAGAAGAGGGAGGGAGACAGGGAGGGAGGGAGGAGGAGATGTTTGGAATGGTGACATTTGTCTTCCCAAGTCACCCAGTGTGTGATGGAACTCTGCTTTCCTGGGGATGGCTGAACACCTGCCTGCCCACAGGAAGCAGTGAATGAATTCTTTGTTTTGCTTTGCTTGTGTGCACAGCTTTCAATTTACCTATTAAACTGTCTGTATCTAAAGCCATGAGTTTTTTCACTTTCACCTTTCCAATTCTCTCCCCAGTGCTACCAGGTGGGGAGGGAGCAAGCAGCTGCCTGGTGCTTAGTTGCCGGCTGCAGTTAAACCATGACAGAAGCCTACCAGCTGGGTATGGGCTTTTGCCATACGTGTGACAGCATGGTCTGCAGAAATTTATTACTAAATTTAGTTGTGGAGAAAAACAAGGAGAAAGCCAATCTTTTAGCCTTTAAAATTCATCTTTGATTTCACAGGCAAGATAATTATTTATGTATTTTCTTCTGAAAATAATTACATGGAACATTTTCATGCCTGTAACAAAAACTTTTGAGGGTACATGAAACTAAAAAATGCTCTGAAAATGTTTCACAATCCTTCATGTCCCATCAACTTACAGCATGTATGTGCTATCTTTCTACATAAATTTCAGTGGTTATGCTGCACAGTACATGCAAAAATATTTTGTAAGGTGATTTTTCACCCAGGTTGGTTCTGAGTCAGAACAGAGTCTAGTGTGCAAAGAAATTTGTCTCTACTAGAATGGGACAGTTGTTTCAGCCAGTATGAGGGTCAGTCTAGCTGGCTGCTTTCCATGTAACACTCTTCTACCATACTTAAGTGAAATGGGGAGTGGCTGACATTTAGTGGGTTATCTATTTCCCCTTGGCCTCTTGACTGCAGACCTTGAAGATGCACTTTTAAAATTACAGGGTCAACACCTAGTGTATTGCTGCATGACTTGAATGGGAGTGACTTTCAGTAGGTCATGGAGCAGCTTACCGTGTCACAGAGACTGTCCATCTAAAACTCCTCATTGCCTTCACCAACACTGGATGATTAGAGCTTGATCACTTGTAAACTGGCACTGTGCCATGAAACAGATGGGAATGAGCATAGGCAGACCAGGGACTATGTAGCAGTTTGAAATATGTTTACTGAGGATGGTATTCCCAGCTGGGAACCCAGAGACATCTGCCTACACTGACCAAATGCTATTGTGCCAATGGTAAAAGGGTTGTGCTATTTGTAAACTATCTGAAATCAAATATAGAACTAAAATAATGATGATGAATACTGTGATAGGAGAAAAAGGGTAAAACACCTTCAGTCAAAACCTTAACCTTCTCTCAAAACACCAGAAGCATTGCAGCAGAAGTGAATTTTCTTTCATTCTTTTGATGGTGTAAAAAACATTTGGATGATGTCTCAAACAATATTTAGTGAAAGACTTAAATAATTCAGTTAATTAATCTGAATATTCATCCAGCCTTCTCCAGAATGCCAGATAGGAACAAAGCTCCTGCATGGATACATCAGACTGAAATTTACCATGAATTTCATTCACTGCTCAGTTTCACAGGTGATGAAACTGCCTGTGTCCAAGATTTCCTTCTGCACTTTGGGATATTTTGGTTATTTGTTTATTTCTAGTTTACCTCTGCTTTGTAATTTCCTAGGGAATAGAGAGCAGCCAATATTCTCACTCTGATAAAATTTAGGATACAATTCTCAGACAAAGTTTGGAGGACATGTTGCATGGTTTGATTTCACAACTACCAACATTTCATGCTTTCTGCAGTTTGATGGCAATAGAGTTGGCTACAGGATCTACCATCTGTCATGGCATTTAAAGGATAAAAATGGAATCATAAATAGTGCCAACTCATTACAAAATCGAGCCAGCATGTCAAAATGGAGGACATTAGCATGTTCCTTTAGCATTCTGCTGCCAGCATCTGATGTCAGGTTGCTAATCACTTGAAGTCATCTGTCCAAACAAGCACTGCCAAATCTTTCTTCCAGGCCAACAGCACCAAACAATATAGGTAAATTTATGTCTGAAGGAAGTACTTTAGTGGGAAGTAAAAATCTGGTCAGTTAATTCCTCCTCCTCCCACAATCACCCATTTAATTAATTCCTTGTTGAAATAATAATACTGTTCTGCCAGAATATTTATATGTGTAGACAAAACCAAATTATTTTCCAAATTATAACATCAAGGAACTTAATTATTGGGATTAAAATAGTTATCAAATATCAATATTTATTAAAGCATCATAACCTCACTTTAATAAGACTGACTTTTTGGTTTGTTTCTTAGCCATTGGCCTAAACAGAAAACATTTGGTTTATTCACACTTGAAATTTGCCTAGAATTGCTCGATCTGTTTTTAATAGTGTGATATGGGAGCCATACTGACACAAGGCACTATACTACACTGCCCAAACTAGGGCTTGCATGACTGTGACCTTACTTGAATAATCTAATTCTAGTTTGGGTGAACATGTTTCACAGTTAAAAAACATAAAACCAGGGAATATTTTCTCACTTTTTCTGTAGTGAGTACAAATGAATCAGACAAATCTCCTAACAAGAAATTCCAGCACACTGAATGCAGTGGAAGGGATGGTTAAAAATGTTTAATCTGAGGAAAGTTTGAGAATTACTTTTGGGCTAAGTCTGGACAATGCTACCTGACCCAGTATCACAGGGAGATTTATTTGATGTCTCCATGCCCAACTTGCTTGACTTGTCTGCAAAAAAATTCTCAAATTGGATGATGCAACATCTTGTTCTTGTAATTCATCATGCCTCACAGAAAAAGCCATTCAGATCAGAAGTCTATTCTAGGAGAGTTTAAAAAGGAGTCTTTTCTGAATTTCAGCTCTTAGGAGTCAATTCTTCAATTTTTAGTAGTCACAAATGAAAAATAATAATCTCTTAATTTTGAATTTTACAGTAAGTCCATCTTCTGTCAAAAGCTGTTTTCAGAGAAAATTACCAATATTAGCAAAAAGTAAGCATTCTTCTTTTAGAAACATTTTCCTTTTTTTTGAGCTTTTTCTTTTCCCTGTTTTTGACCTTTTTTACAAAACTGTCCACAGAACATCTGCTCTTTATCTGATGATAATTCATTGCATCATTCTACTTTATAACCAAGAGAGCTTCATTTAAGAACAGAATGAATGCACCTAGTCGAAACTGTTCTAAGTGGAAAATTTCAGAAATAGGTGAAAATAATTATCATTAGGCTACTGAACTGGGCCTGTAGGTAAACCTACGGATTTACCTCAAAATTTCAAGAATCTATATGAATTTCCATGTCAAAATGGCATGCCAATGATAATGTCAAAATAGATTAAGTGCACTGGTTTTCATTATATTCCAGAATACTTAGGGATTCAAAAACCCATAATCAAATTAATATGATGAATTATAACCTCACAGATAAGAAAGCTTTTATTTAATACCTGAATGGACCAGCTTTACCACATCCAGCTGTAGCAAGAAACCAAAGGAAAATTCCACCAACTATGTTCTCAATCCTTCTCTCTCGCTCAAATCTTAACAGCTGTGTATGTCCGGGTGCTGTAATAATGTTGAAGCTGGTATTGAGTAAATGTGTCTCTGATTATGTTTTCAGGGTCAATGAGAAAATTCATTTATTTCCAAAGCATTCCCAACTATATTTATTGCTGTAGAAATAGATGTGCTGTATAAACATTGGGAATTCACACAGAGCCTCCAGCTCTTTTAATAAATTATTTTGGGGCCTTTTGGGTGTTTTTTTGGGAGTTGCGTAGTGCAAGTTTTTTAAATACCTCAAAAATTCAAGGGGAAGAGCTTAGGGGGTGGGGTACTACCCCTTACCTGAATGTATCTTCACGAACAACTGCCTTGGCTCTGTGAACATAGCAGACAATTTGTCTTGCTACATCCATTTGACTGAAGCTCGTAATGGGAATGCCAGGATAGCTGACATACTCTATTTGTCCATACTGGGGTGGGGAGGTTATCACATAAAGGAGCTCCTCTGGCCTGCCAGTACCATCCAATGCAAGGAGGACATCAGTTGTAATGCAGCTGTGGTCTCCTTTTGGCACTCTAAGGAGTTTTGTAAAAACAGCAATGTCTCCTGCAGAATAGACAAAATACCACTAAAATAGTCATGTTGAACTGGATGATCTCTTCTGCATTTTTAAGCCACAGGAAAGCCATCACTGGTAAGAAAAACTAAAAGACTTTAAGATTATAGAGAAATTCAGCATGGAAGGGACTTCAGGATATCTTTATTTGACCTTCTGCTCAAAGCAGGGTCAGCCATGAGATCAGCCATTGCCACAATGCTTGGGGTTTTATCCTGTTGGAACCTAAAAACTATTACCCTTTTGAGGCCAAGGATGAAGAGACCACAGACTCTTTTGACACGTCTTCCAATCTTAACATTGTCAGGTAAACCTTTATGTTTCTAATAGAGAGGAAATAAAAAAAAAGAGAGACCCTAAGACTGTAGAATAAGCTGGAAGACCAAGCGTTTCTGAACAGTCTTTTGCCTACTTTTTATATTCTTGCCATTTTTCTCTGCTGCTTTACTCAGACATAAAGCTAGTTTCAGAAAGATATGTTTAGCTCTATTTGCAAAGCAGTTGGTAGTCCTGGGAGGCAAGGTGGAACACATTGTATTCAGTGGAGCCTTTTCAGATCCCAGGACCTGGCCAACAGTGAAATCCGAGCAGTTAAATTTACAGGATCTGCAGGAACACTGGCTATATAAGGAGCCTATATAAGGAAAGGAGCAGGACACATACTCAAATATCTTGGTTTCAGAAACAGGCACTGTAAAACATCAAGTTTAGTGGATCTTTACCCTTTTCCAAGTCCTTGATGTTTATGTAGAAGTCCACAGCTGGAGATCTGTTGTACCCATCCCAGAGGTAAAATGTGAAGCTGTCTTTTTTCTTGGACCCTGCAGTTCCTGTGTGGACATATCTCACAAGGTTCATATCCAGCTCTTCCTGAGTGCACTTCATTCCAGTTAGGAGAGTAACCCATCCTTGTCCTACCTGGAAAACACAAGCATCCTTCATTAACTGATAATCACCCATGCATCTTTCTCAGTTAATTGTATTTCTTGGTAGTTATATAGGCTGTTAGTGGCAGCTACCTGGCTTTCCTTCTATAGGCTCTTTCCTCATAGTATGTTTTGAAGGGCAGCAAATAACTGGAGTTTTTTTCCAGCAGATATAAGGCTGGAGAAGATACAATGATCATTAATAATATAGGAATATGGAGTTTAGCCACTTTTACTCTGGGAAATCATTTTATGCACACTTCTCAGTCAGACACCAAGATGAAAATTAGTTCCTGACCCAGCTTATGTTTTCTATTTCCTAATTTCACAAATCTGCTCTTGATCCTACCTGAAATCATAGCTAAAACAGTATGAGAAATAGCTTCAGGGAGCATGGGAGTTTTAAGCCCCAGAGGTCCTCAGCTGCAAAAAGAAAAACCTTTTGGGGTTGATTTTTGGACCAACCAGCCAACCAACCAACCAACAAAAAAAACCCAACAAAAAATCAACCAAACAAAAAACCCCCACAAAACAAAACAAAACAAAAAAACCTAAAAAACCCCGACTTACACCATAAAATTCTGTGCCTTTCTGAAGATAGCCTAGTACTCTAAATTAAACTGATCCATGAAGTTCGTCTCATGTGATCCACAGATTGATGTTGAGATCCAGCATCAAAATGCTTTCCAAGTTCAAAAGATTTAGAAACAGAATTTTATTTCTATCACATAGGCACACTATTTAAAAGCGGCATTTTTTTCAATCTTTCTTCCTTTTTCTTATTTTAGGTCAACAGATTATCATCTCGCCTTCCATTTCTAATCTTAATTTTTGTGATTCCTCTTGACACATCCTTTCTATCATCTTCCTTTTCCCTTCTTTCCCCCTGTGCTTTTCTTCTAGTTGGTGGGGTATTACTCACTCTTTAACATGCAACTCCTTCCATGCCTTCTGAACCCTGAAGTAACTGAAGTAAGGGTTGGATTTTTTAACCAGAGACTTTCCCCCATTCCCCCCAGCTTGATTTTCCCCCTTTGTGGGATTATTATTCCAGAATCTCTCTCAATTTTCACCTCAGTTGGTCTGCCATGTTTTTTACCTTCCATCTTCTCCTGTTCAGGATCTGGGTTTTAATGCCAAAGCCTCTGGGACAGCACCATTGTTGTTGCTCCTTCAACAATTAAGCTGGCCAAGCTGTCTACTTCAGAAAATGACAGGCATTTGGGAGAAAAGGAAAATGAACTTCATTTTGCCCTAAAAAGAGAGAGTTCTTTGCATGCCTGCTTTTTGTTGAAGTACAAAGACTAACCTTGAGTTGAAGCTGACCATTTTCTGGAAGTCTTTCAAATAAGTAGTAAATTCTCTCCCTGGGGGTATCTTTATCTTCTGCTGACAGAACAGCACTAGAAATTATATGAGTTTCACCTATGTTCACCTCTATATCGTTCTTCCTGAAAAAATTAAAAGTCATGTATTGATGCAATAAAGGAACCTTTTCAACATGTAATTTCTCTGCCAGAAATATGGATTAACCAAATGCTGAGAGAAATTACGATTTCAGAGAGAATAGGAGGTAGCCTTTTTCAGTTCAAAAGAGTAAAAAAAGCAAGCAGTGCAGACAAGCTTCTCCTTACAATGGTAAGAAACAACAAAGATACCTAAAACACTGATTTAACATATCTCTTATTCCCCTGTACCCTATTCTGCTCACCTCTATACAATTTATAGGAATAAGACAATGTAAACCAGTAGACTGCATTATTACTGCCAATATAGAGCACAGCAATAGTGGTTCTAATGGACTGATTGCTCATTTAGGAAATGACTGTCTTTCAAACAACTAGTCTTCAAGGCTCACCTTTATCTGTAGGAGACACAACCATATCTAAGTGGCTTCTTCTCTGTACTCCTTCTAGCACCCACATCTCATTTTGGGAAGAAGCTCTCAAGAGGAATGTGTGAAGGCTTTACATTCCCCAAGGGCACTGTCTGTTACAGGATGCAATCCAAGAGGTGACAGATTGAGGTTTTGGCAATCCCTCTGAATAAGAGGCACTGTTTGCCAGGCAAAAACATCCCATCACAGGTTCTTCAGTCTGTTGACCATAACTAATGGAGATGAGAGCTGAAAATCCCTGGGGTGGACAGTGCCCCAAGATCAAAAGGTTAAGAAAAGCTTTCAAGTACTGCCCAATATTCAGCTGTAAAACTGCACTAGTATAAGGAACTCTGTACCCTATAGAGAACATGTAGTGACTGAATGTGGCAGGCTAAATCACCTCAGTGTCAAATTGAACATTTTCCTAAAGCATACTGCTTAAATACTGGCCACACATCTCATCTAAGTGGAGGGGTAACAGCTATTCCTTCTTATAAAGGAATAGCTATTTTGGGAGTAAATTTTTCAATCTATGAAATTGTTCACCACAGGAATGGCAAGTGGTGAGACCTAATATTGCTAGACAAGGAAGCAACAGTTTCTGGATATAGCTGGGCAAAGCTAAAAACACTTGACTTCTTGCACTTCATTATCTTATTTCACAGAGAGGGGCTGGAAAATGGCATATCATTAGCTATAGCATGTGAGGAACAAATAGGTAATTATCAATAATTACCTGTATATAATATATGCATACATAAATTATACTCTTTATTCTAACTGAAAATTCTCAAATGTTAGCATTATGTGGTCATTGAAAATCTTTTAACTAAGAAACTGATATTTGTTATTGCAGGAAGTTCTACCTGGTAAAAAAATAATAATCACTCTGATCTGAAAGTAGGCAAATACCCTGACGGATCAGAAATTCCCTTCTTAGAGGCAGTTGTGAGTCTGATATGCAAACTTTAGAGTTTCAGAGCTATTCCCAAAAACCTTTGAACTCTTAGCTTCCTGTCTGTCAGTCTGGGGCTGGAAAACAGTCACAAGTATGGAGGTCCTGATGCTCTATGACAAGTCATCAGCTGGAGATCCCAAGGGATAAACTCCTTTTTAAAATGCCCAGGAGGTTTGGCTCTCTTGCAGCCAGCTGCCTATCTATCTATATGGTCTGCCAGGCAATTTCTTATCATGTCTAATTCATTTATGACTCCTAGCTTTGAAGTGTAAAGGAAGTCAGCGTGTACTTTTGCAGCAGTTGAATTATGGCAGAGAAAAGTTTTAGAATATAAAAGAAGAGAATTATATTCAGAAAGCCCTTCCCCTGCTTCAGCCTTGTGGATCCTCCCATTCCAAAATCCAGAGCTGCTTTCAAAGAGGTATTTTAGGCAGGTCTTTGTCTTAGGGAAGAGAAAAGCAGTACCATGGTGGTCAGTGTTCAGCAGAAATACAACAGCTGGCAAACACTTTGAAGAAACTTATGAAAGAAACAACCAAAATTTTTCCCCCCAAATTTTTATTTTTCCTCTATTTGCTTAATGTAGAGCAACACTAAGCAACACTAAAGCTCTCCTTTCAGTAAAAATTTTTTTGTTAAATAGGCTGATAGAAAGAGACCTATACAGAAACATTTTTATTGACATTATTCTGTTGATTGTTATGGCTTCCTCTTTGCGTCAGACACCAGATATTGTTTAATGGTAAACATGGTGGGATGCTAGACTGGTGGCTGGATTTGATTCTCTTCAAGGCTTTTTCCAACCTTAACAATGGCACGATTCTATGATTTGGTGTTTTGTTCTATTTTCCATCATTTTGTCTAAACATCCCACTGTCAGGAACAGAAACGTGACTTACTTGCTCAGTGCTGGTTTCTCATCATTAACTGGAATGATGTTTACTGAAATGGTTCTGAGGACTTTATGTTTTCCATCTGATAGTTGAATTTTAAAACTGTCAGTGAGATTTTCAGAGTTGTCATGCATGTACATCAGCTTCATTCCTATGTGAGACAGGAAGAGGATAAAAACGGGAGAAAGAGAGGAAGAGGGACAATGGGTGAGATAAATGGAAAGATTTATTTTTCCTGCAAAATCCCTCTCATCACTTCACTCTGCTTCAGCCACTTTTCTTCCATCTCCTCTCTCCATATGCTAGGGTATCAACAAACTTGCCTTAGCTATCAGAAGATGAGTTTGATGAGCCATTGCTGATCAGTGATCTAGCAACATACTATTGACTCAGGATCACCAGCCTGACCTAAGTAAGGAGTGACTGTCCAAAAAAGGAGTCTCTGACAATCTGAAAAAGGTACATTTCTTCTTCTCTCCTTATTCTATGGGAACTATATAGAGGGTGAAACTGCCAGGCAACACTTTCCTGTGTTTCAAATAATCCTCAGGGAACTTTGAAGACACCTTTGGAAGGACAGCTGGCTTTGTATCTATGACCATGGACAATCAGATGTTATAGGCTAAAGATGGCTCAATCACCATTGTGGATAACAGGCAAAAGCCAAAAAAGAAAGTCAAAACCAAGACTTGGGAAGGCAGAAGAAATTGGGGTGGACTCCTGATATTTCTGGAGGCTCATGTTAGACAGAGAGACAAAAAAATCTTTCCTTGGTTTTTGAGGGCTGAACTGAAATTTGAGTGACGGTATTGAATTCATGCTTCTCTATAGTGATAGATTCCATCTTTTACTAAATAGCCACAGTCAGGAGGGATCCACCATATTCCTTGCACTGTTAAATACACTTTTTCATTACATGTACTTGAAACAGATTTGCTGCTTTAAAGCAGGCTGACTGCTCATGCTAAACTGTGGAATCCCAATTTGTATGTTTATTGCTAGACATATGGTATATTGCAGCCTTTCAATGTCTAAAGAAGGCTTATAGGAGAGATAGAGAGACTTATTACCAATGCCTGTAGACATAATAAGGGGCAGGAGTAGGTTTAGGTTGGACATAAGGACAAAAAGTTTTACAGTGAGAGTGGTGAGACGCTGGAACAGTTTGTCCAGAGAGGTTGTGAAACACTGGAAGTGTTCAAGGTAGGTTGAATGGGGCTTTAGGCAACTTGGTCCAGTGCAATTTGTGCCTGGCCATGGGAGGGGAGGTGGACTAGTTGACCCCTAAAGGTCCCTTCCAACCTAAAATATTTTACAATTCTGTGATCATTTGAAGAAACCTCATGAGCAGTTAATGTGTCTTTAAATCAGTCTTGCTGTCTCTCTATTCCAGGTACTGTAAAACATTTACAAATCTATTTGATGATGTTAAATTATGTTGCATTATTCCTTTTATTTCTTTTCAGAACAGGTGATTTTCCTACTCATATTACTACCCTTTTCAATACAGAGGTCTCTCAGGATGATTTTATAGACAGTTTCTAAAATCAATAGATAAGGACAGCATTAAATATGGACAACTTCCATTCCTAAATATTGTCTTGAAAATAAACATAAGGCAAGCGAATAAATAAATTATGAACATTTCTTTGGTGTGCAGCTTGCCTCATCAAAATAATGAAAGACTATTGTAAGAAGAATGCTGCACCTACCATTCCTCAGTAGTTCCATGGAAAAGGCATGAACAAGCAACCCATGGCTGTGGTGATCATGGTTAATTAACTCTTTATAGTGCAGAACATCACTGCCATGAACACCGTTAATAAGAAACCCATATGAGGGCATCTGCACAACCCCAAACACCAGAGGGTCTTGAGGCACATCCAGATCAACTGCATTGATAACAGACAGATCCAGCTCTTTCATCTCCCCTTCTTGAACCTGAACATGAGAGAAAAAACATCCAATTCTTTTACATAAAAAAAATCATACAATTCTAGCATGGTTTCATGAGTATTTTTGTGCATAAGTGTATCTCTTGATTCATCCACCCTTTCCAAGATTTTTAACCAACCTCTTATTTCAACCGGTTTAGGAGACAGAGAAAGTGGTTATAGTGACAAAGAGAGAAGTTGCAATAAGGAGATCATTTTGCCCAGATTAATAGAAAATGCATTAAATCAGTGCCAAATCTAGTGCTCAAAAAGGGGAATGCCTTTCAATATATCAAGGTATCTAAAAATGTCGATGCGTATGGATTTATACATCCACTTTTTACTTTGCAGTAAGTTTACATTCTGTTCATGAAATTATTTATATTAATGACAGTCTACAGAGAGGGGAGAAGCTATGCAAGAAATATTTTAAAATACTCTAGTAAAAATGTGAAAGCTCTTAGGAATGCAGAAGGAGATGGAAGATCTCACTGTTTTCTAGATCACATATTTGTTTAAAGATTTGATCACTTCTTTTTACATAAGTGCAAGTTTCCAAGATCTATGCACTGCTCCTATCCACCGAAGTTCTGTCTTATAGGTTTACATGGGATTTCACTGGACTGTTTCCTGAAGTAGGCTGAACAACAAAAAATAAGGGAAATATGCAGAGGAACAGAAGGACAATGTTCTTATTTATATTAAAGAGTGGTTTCTGGTTAAAGTAGTTCTATGACAGACATATTGCTTATTTCCTTACAGTAATATTCCTGGCTATGAATTCTGGAACTTCATCATTGGTTGGACTGATTAGTACAAAAAATGGAGTCTCTGCTGAGCGATGCAGCCCATCAGTGACATAAAGTACAAATTTGTCTTCTGTTGGCTCCATTCGCACGTGCCTGGCTTGAACGTAGTTTATATTCATGGCTTTCAGATGCTTCAGCTGAAATGAACCTACAGATGTTAAAAAGAAAATGAGTTAGCACAATACTTTCATGTCTCCTAGTCTTATCCAGCATCAAAATAATTGAAACTATGTCTTTTTTCAAAAAATGAGTAACTTGAATTTTTAAGTTCTTTGTCATTTTTTGATGGTAAGAGTTACGTTGCGCATGTTACTCCAGGAAACAAGCCCTTTACCCCCCAAAATGCATAATTTTCCTTCAGGTGGGATTCTGAAGCTTGTCACTTTTCAGTTAAGACTGTAAAACTGAGCCCACATTAAACCAACTCAAAAAACAGGTAGGAAAATATCTGAGGTCCAAGGTCCAAGATTCCTTGATAGTGCTAGGTTAATCGCTGGACTAGATGCTTTTTCCAAGCTTAACGTTTCTATGATTACATTATTCTAATTAGATTTTGACTGACAGACCACAAAAATGAGAACTTAAAGACTCAGTGATTACAGGTTTCCAGCTGAGGATGCCTGGTAAAAGCTGATAGCATTACAAATCATGTTACAATGTGTTCTGCTGAGGGTGAAACTGCCTTTCACAGTTTGAAAGTGGACAAGGGAAGTCATCATCTAAGTCAAACACCACCTCTAGCACTTCTGCAACTTTGCCTTGGAAACAAATGTGGGACTCAGGCTACTGCATTTAATTGGCAGAGGTGTAGGTGATGGGACACTGGAGTCTTTCATGGGGGACTGAAGAGGAAGGCAGGGAGAGCAGATTTGTATCTCGTATCATGACTTCTAATAGATCTCAGCAGGATGCATAAAACAACTGTTGCCTTGTTTGCTTCAAGGGTCGATTCTTCACATTTGCATTGCTTTAGCCTCCCTTTGAACTCCTCCACAAAGTCCCACTGCTCTTCATTTGTCAGCACCTGCGTTCCTCATAAGTCTGTATGAGTGCCCACACCTGCATCTGCACCACCAGAGCCCACTGCAGAGCTTTCCACAAGCCCTCCAGATCTAATCTGCTTGATTATCCTAAATTGCTAAGACTTACCTATGCTTATCCCAATGTTGCTCTTCTCAAAGCCAGGAGAAGGCAGTATGTTTTCAATGTAACCAAACTGGGGAGGAGAAACCAGCACAAACTGTAAGTCATCTGCAGCGGTGTCAGGGTCAGTGGCAAACAAATGTTTGGTAGTAAGGGCTGCTGAGGAGCCCTCTTCCACCACAAAGCTTGCACCTGCACACAAAAAACATGTTAAGCATTATTGGTCATGAGCTGATTTTACTGTTGTTTTTGGTAATAAGAATGGAAATAATAACAAAGGGTGGAAATACAACAAATACTGAATTACTGAGGGGTTTTGTTTTAATGTTTTCTTCTCTGCTTTCACTGACATCTCTGCTTTTGCCATCACAGAAGTAGAGAAGAGGATCATGAAATTATTTTACTGCTTAAGTTATTAGCTATGGTTTATATACTGCTCAAGAACAATTGTTACTTCTCTTTGTCAGAGCATTAATTACATGAGAGCTGTTAAGAATTGCTCGTAATGAACAATTTTTGATGCATCACTGCTTAATTTCCCTGCTGGGACAATGCTTCATTTCCAGAACATTACTTGGGTGAGCGCCTGCAAATTACAAAACTACTCATACATATGCTTAAATAGTCTCTGAGATACATAAAATATACCTGATATTTACAAACAAATGACATTGAAAGACACAAGCATATAGAAAACATACTTTTAATATGTACACCACAGACCACACTAAAAAGCCCAGGAAATTGATGGAAATTTCACATAAAGGGCTGCAGTTGGACTAGATGTACATTATGAACTCTATTTCCATTATAACTGAATTTCTTAGATTTTGAAGTGTAGTTGTGAAAATGTCGCTTCATATCTATTAATGTATAGTTTTTGTCTTTATTTGCTAAAATAATTAAATATAATGATTCTGTCCGAAATTTCTGTTTTGTGCTCTAGACACAAAGGTAAATAAATATCTCTATTTATGGTTATTTATGGTTATGCTTTTGCCCTGTATAAACCTAATAATTGTTGAGCCATGAGTTCAGTTCAAGGACAAGATATAGATCACTTTTACCTAGACATAGCTTACATATGCAGCAGTTAGCATGTAGACATGGTTGGGAGCAGATCTGAATGTTCTTATCTCTAACTGCATGCTTTAAGCATGCAGCTGAAGAGCAGCCAGCTCAGACTTCCACTGGCAGCTGGATTGGGTGTTTGGACTGTACAAGGAAATGAAAATGAAATTGATGAAAAGTCTGATACAAAACTTTTGTATGCTGATCTCAACTATTTCTAATGCTAAAAATCAAAACCAAAAACAGCCACTCTGAGTCTTTAGCCATTACAGCGCTGGGTAGCCCCCTTTGTTCTGCTGTATTGAGAAGAAGTTTTCACCGGTTAAAATTGATGGAGGCTGGTTGTCCACTGGAAGCACAGTGATGTTAAGGTCATAGACAGGAAAGGGATCATCACGTGAAACTGGGGGGGAAGCAAGTCCATCATAACAGCAGTCTGTCACATCTAGGCCGGCCTCGCCATCAGAGACAATCAAGGTTAGGATCTCAATGCAAGGAGCCAGGCCAATCTCACCGCCTGTGAAAAAATATTCACCAAAACTTAGAAGAAATTATTTACCAAAACTTCCTGAAGACTAATTTTTATCCTGCAAGGACAGTCTTCAATATCAAGTCAGAAGAAAAAGAAAGCAAGAACAAAATTACTGGAATCCTTTATTTTGAGTGGTGAGATGCTGCTTGGTTAGAGATTTGGTTTGTTGTTAATAATTAATTTTAACCAGCTCACTTTTATGATATAATGAGAGGGTGTAGAAAAGAGTCTTAGCATTGTTATAGTAATTATAATGTTATAATTGTAATGTTATGATATTATGTTATGTTGTAATAACACAGCTAATAGTCCTCAAGATTCTGTTCTTTGTGCACTAATGTACGTACAAAATTTATATTGTGTGGGGAAAGTGTTTTTTCTGCACTTCTTATCAAGGAATGTAGGAAAATCTTTCTTTTATATATGTTTTCCTCTATGACAAATGGTAATATCCACGCTCTTCAAAAAGAAAAATATTAATATAGCGAGTAATGTATATATTCTTATGTGCTTCTTATCCTTACAAAATGGACTATAACAAGGGCTGTACTTTATTGCTGTACTTTATTACGGTACTGTATATTATGCCTATATGCAATCACATTTGAAATGTGGGCTGATACAGCACTGGGAACTGCCACCCCTTGCAAGAAGCATCTGTGGGCTCAGAGCATTCCAGCTGTCAGCACTTCTGGCAGCCTGTGTCTTGCATTGCTGCAAGATATCATTAATAAGCAGCCTGAAAGGAAAGTGACTCCCAGACTTCTCTTGTAATACTTACTGACAGCACATTTAATATTAGAAATTTGGAAATGAAAGCCACAAACGCTACATCCTACGCTACAATGAAGTAAAACTTCATTGCCCCTGAAAAATATTGTCATTGAAATACAGTTTGTGATGTCTTTGGAATGCAGAAGAAAAGTTTGTTGGTGGTGGCCACAATTATGTACTTCCTTTTCAAATACCAGCTGCTCATTTTACACAGTGCCAAGCTTGAAAATACCACATCTATTCTCCATGCTAACACAGAATTACAGAATCATTAAAGAGAAAACCAGAGTGTTTCAGGGGAAAAAACCACTAAAGCTGCTATTCCGAGACATAGAAAGGATAAATCAATCACAATGAAAGGATAAAATTAAGTAAGAAAGGAAGTTTGCCAGCCCTTGATTTCTGCCAGTAACTAAAAAAAAAAAAAAAAAAGGTACTAACAATAAAACCACAAAATAAAGCATTTTAAACATTTTTTTGTCTTTATGAAACTCAGAACTTATCTTGTGGTATGGAAAGACTATGAGCTGTCCAAAGTAGATAGCCTTCTAGATTGGAGAGGCAAGGAAGAAGTAAAAATGGGGGGTTTTACTGTCATAAAGCACATCAAAATACTGTAGTTTTTACTTAATAATAATTTTGTCAAAAAAGTCCAAGACATTTTGTCAGCAACAGTGAAAGTGTTCCTCCTGGATTATGGTGCTTTCATATACTTGTTCCAATATAATTTTCAGTTCAAGCAGGGATTTGGATAACATATTAAAACATTTGTTGGTTGTCTATCAGACAGCTCTTTTTTAAAGCCAGTTTATTTTTTTCCCTAGTCACAACGCACGGTTTCTAAGTTCCTACTGGAATTCTGCAAAAGCGTTAAGATATTTTTTACTAATACTTGTCTGACCACCTTTCATTCTAATTGTGTCCTTAGCTCACTTACTGGTGTGCTTGTAGGTGACTAAACCAGCAACAACATCAGCCTGGGAGAAACGATCCACGGCAGCGCCCGCTCTCCTCACTAGCCCGTGGTGCGGCTGGCGGGCCAGCAGGAACACCAGCTCCATGTCGTTGCTGTCCACATCTGTGGCATAAATGTACTCCGAGGAGAGCACAACTTCTTCACCCTCCAGGCAGGGGAGCACGGGAGCAAGGCCTGTTTGCATAACAGGTAGCTCATCATTCACAGGCAACACCTAATCAGAAAAATAATTTAAGGTTTTCTTACTGTTCATTTCAGTGGAAGCCAGTTGTTTCAGTACACTGCTTTGCAGCCCAAGCTAACAGTTTGATGCCACTGTCAGAGTACACTGAGCTTTCTCTATGAGCAAAAAGAAGCCAGCTGAAGTAAAAAAAACCCAGTTAAAGTACAAAGTGCAAGTCAAAGCTACTCTTAATTTTGCCACATTAACCTGAAACCTATGGTTGAAATGGAAGCCTAACATATCCATTATCTTCCAGTTTCCAAGGTAATGCAAGGACTTTCAAAAATCAACCATTTGCCTCCACACAGACAACCGCTCTCAGAAACACACCACACACTGACCTTGACCTGCAGGATGAACTCTACAAAATGGGTGCCATCTGAGGCTGCAAAGAAAATTTCATCAGTGAGAGTCTCAGAGCTGTCATGACGATATCTGTGGAAAAAAGATTACAGAGCTACACAAATTTTTCACAGATAAAAAGAATCCATGCTTTCTGGTCATGCCTTACAATGTGTATCCCTCTCTGTGTAAGGGTGTACACCTAACCCTGTGATTCTGAATCAGAGTTTCTCCAAAGGGTTTTTGGGGTCTCTTACAAGAAGAAAACTCCCAAAATAAACCATCCATCAGTCAGGAAAAAGATTTCCCTAAGGATTTGTCATCTATGTCCTGGCTACTTGTGAGGTGTTTAGTAAAACATGTATTTCAGGACTGTGGTGAGTCCCTACTTTCTAAGAGATGGAAATAGAGCCAGGGAGCTCTAACTCTGCATGCATGTGTCATGTCTTCTTTTTGTCACAAATAAAGAAGCAAAATTTTCTTCTCTACATTAATTAATGTTAAAAAAAGTTTTCTTGTAAACAAACCCAGCTTAATAAACACACAACTTTCTTAAAAGAAAAAAGCTGGCACCAGTGTCTTCTTCACAGGAACTTCATGGCTGAGTACAGAATTTGTCTCCTCACCTGCATGAAGCAGTGCTTTTATAGAGAAATCTATTTACAGCAGACATGCTGACTTCCATTTCCTGGCCACTCAATGCTCATTTCATGGTGACATTGCAATCCCAAGGTTCAGCCAGCATTCTTCTGGAGCAGCTCTGCCAGAGCCATGGTGAGCACTGCTATGGTGAGCTCTGCACCACTTCAGGCTCATTCAACCGAGAGCCTCAGCTACCACAAAAGACAGCCACCACTCTTCTAACCTCACTGCCAGGGTACGCAGGTCCTCACAGGAAAGCCTGTCACCTCCATTCATGGGAATGTTATCCAGCTCCACCACCCCATGCTGCGGCTGCCTCTGCAGGAGCAGGAAGAGATGCTCTCCTTTCGTGTCAGAATCAGAGATGAGAACGTGTCCCTCTGTAATAGGGGTCGTGCCACCCTCTTGCACTCTCAAAGGGGTTGCTAAAACCTGCAGGGAGGAGAAATGCTGAGCTTTCCGTGCTGCTGCACCTCTAAACGCACACCAAACAGGGTTATTCTCATTTGCTGTGCTATAAAGATGTGTGACACAATAAAAAAAAATATGCCACAGGATATCTCTTTTTCTGCTGTGTTAGAAAAAGCTAACGAAATTACCAACAGTGGGCTATGATATGTGCCTCCTAGTTCTCATCCCATTTCTGGAGGCTTCTGACCTCCTAAGGCAATAAGCAACACAAAATACAGGGATGCAGTTTTGCTAACCAAGATGCAAAACATATATGTTTTTGTACAGATACATAGATGCCAAAGGTAGTCCTCTGCTTATCAAGGAAAATGACATTTTGCACACTCGCTAGACTTCACTAGAGAAGCACTCACCTGGTGCTCCTATCCCAATGCAAGCTGTGTGCAAGACTGAAACCCTGATACCATGGAAAATTCTTTTTTAAACTCAGTAAAATCAGAACATTTTATTTTGTTTGTACCCAAAGCAATTTCCAAGTCCTTCCTTCTCACTTTCCTACCCTACACCCTACCCTACCTCTGGGGCTTGATTGTCCACAGGAAGAATTGTAATATTGAAGCAAATCCCATACAAAGTGCCTCCATGCTGATTGCTGACAGAAAAAACAAACTGGACTTGCTGAGGTTCGGGTCCAATGTCCTGCAGGGGTGGCATGTAAGCAACTTTCATATAGTTCACAGCATGCTACAAAAAGAGAAGAAGGGTACATGTAAGAGAAGATGATGGGGGGGATATTCATAATCCATGACATTAGGGATCTTTATCATCCCCTGTTTAGGTGCTATCCAGCCATCAAAATAAACTTTAGAAATTTTGTATGCTTTAGCTACTAGCCATACCTTGATTAAATGCATCTTTAAATACAAATTAGGTGAGTACACGTTCAAGTACTCAAACTTCTAGCAAAGAAATACTGATATGGTTTAGAAGTGATAGCAGAGGTCATGGCCTAAACTTCTTTACGGGTCCCTGTCAAAATGCTGGTCCAAGGACCTTTTCTAACTGTGACTTTAAAATAAACAATTCATAAAACCTAACATCTCCCATAGCAGCTGAATTTGCCCTCATTAGTATGAATAGTAAGTGCATGCCCTCTCTTTCATGGCAAGGACAGGCCAGTGATAGGAACATTAAAATCTTGCATCCAGATACCCATATTAGGCACCCTCTGTAGGGTCAGAGCTCTCATTTTGGTTCTGCAATGATCATTATGCCACTTTAACCATACAGCAGGATATAAAACAGGTCACTTTAGTAATACTTATTTGTCAAACTACAAATGCATGAAAACTGAATTACAAAATCCTGAGAAAGTCTGTTCTAGCCTGTTCTATCCAGCACTACTGGTATCTACTGGAGGAGATACTGAGATGAAGCAAGAAAGTGTTCAAGATCTCATTTCCACATTTTTCATACTTTTTCATTTCTCTTTCATCATTGAAGCCAAATTCAGCCTACCCAAGCAATTGTAGCCCCTGCTGCTTTTAGGATATTTGTGTTTACATATTGAAAAACTGAAACACGATAGAAATTTGTTTTAAAATCTGGTACTGGAATAGTAGCGTTTTGAGCTTCTTAAGCAAAGATTGTGATAGTACTGCTCCTCAGTTTTCACCTCTCATTTTCCTGTCAAATAAAAGCTATACACTTGTAACTTTTAAAAATTGTTTAGAACTCATTACGGTATCAGGTAGCATAACAAACCTGAGTAAATGACCGCAGTGCAAGAGCAGTAGGATCCTTGACCAGTTTGGGGATGGTGTCCACCATAAACAGCTTCCCAGCATCTGAGTAGCTACACAAAAATATGTATGTCACATCTTGGCTAGCAGTACCAAAGAACAAGGAAAATAGCCATGTAGCTCAATCTTGCATTTCAAATTAGCTTCAAACTTCCACCTGCATTGAAAGGAAAAATATTTTCCTTTCTTCCATCCTCGTTATCCATTTTAACATTACCACAGAAAACTGACCAAAAGAAATACTTTTCATGATGATCATGAAAAATCATCTCATAAGCACGAATTACTGTGAGTGTGTCTCTACACACCCCAGATAATATTTACACCACCTGCAAGTCTAGTCTATCACAGTATTATCATTATTACTCGCACACCTGCATTTATCTTTAAGTGGAAAAATTAATTATGTCTAGTTTCATGCATCTTATAAACTCTGAAATTAACTGGTTTCCAGCAACCCAGCTTTCCAACAGCTGTAACCAGCAAACTGGATAACCATGTGGCTATTTGACTGATTAGGAAAATAGCCTGCTCTCCCAGCTACGTAATTATCCTTTGCTGCTTGAGATCAAAATTGAAAGTGTTAATCTTCAGCTTAAACCATGCAATTTCTGGATTTGAAACTTTTCGTTTAGCAAATTGTTGCTGATGTTCTAACAAGATTACATCACCAGTGATGTAAACTGCTACTGCACCCATTCATTCCATACGTCCCTTGCTCCCATAGTGTGTTTTGCCTGTTTTCTGCTCCACATCTTCCTAGTCCACAATCAAGAGTGTCTGATACGTATTTTTGAAAAAGCTGCAGCACCTCCTGGTCTCAGTCTGGGGCAGGCACAGGTCAGCCCCATTCTAACTGTTAGAAGAGGTGCTGTGACTTGTGCTTGAGGCTGTACAAAATCCCAAAGGTCAGTGTAAAATTCATATCAAGCAAAAGGAAAGTATTTCACAAGGTTTACTCCTTCTTGTTTCTAGGTCAACTATGAATTACCTATTTTTTATTACTCTGAGTATTAGTCTCTTCCTTCAGGCTCTAGCTTACCCTTAATCATCAGCAGGAGAACTGCATCCAGCTATTGTCACCTGCACTTTCAACAAACAAAGGAAGAACTTGAGGCACCAGTATGTTACTGTCACTGAGGCCACTGCTCTTACATGGGTTATTCCCCAGTCCCATCTGAAAGGTTTGTCAGGTTGCACCTACCCATAGGTGCAAGAGAAAAATGGGGAAGTGGTTATGGTGTATGTGAGCTCCCTGTCTTGCTCCTCCACATCTATGAAGTGGAGATGTTTCTTAGTTAGGTGAGAAATCTCAGTCTCCTTAACAACCAGGTGGCGGGTCACTCCTGGAGCTTCTCTGGGCAGCTGGTCATCCACAGGGATAATGTGAACCATCATCACCTGCAGTTGGGGAGATAGTAGAATCATCAGCCATTGCTCTCAGTAAGAGTGTCCCAAGCAGCTGTTAACCAACAAGCACACAGAATTGGATCACTGGACTGTGAGATACAGAATGTGGCTGTCATGTCATATCATCAACACATGATTAATGGAGGTGTTCAACAGTTAAAGGCAAAGCTTTTGAATCTTAGAGGTTTCCCTTTAAATTAAATGCAAAGTTAAATTTAGTATGTTGGGCTTTTGCATAAAAAAATAGTCTATTCTCAGTTGACTTCAGGATGGTTGTTTAATTTGCTTGTACTATCCCCAAATATGATTTGTTTTCAACATTTTGTTTTATAGCATAGGAAGAAAACTTTTTGAAGAACTTTAATCAGCCAGGGAGAATTACCCCATTGAAAGCAAGAACAAGAAATAGCCCTAAAGAACACGGGTTTTGGTGATGACTGTCATCAGAAAAAATCTATACAAGTCTTATTTGAAAGCCTGTCAGAACATGTAAGATATTAGCCATTTGAAGAAAAAATTCAGGAGACTGCAAAGATGCTTCCTTTCCATACCTGTGGCTCTGAGAGATTTGGAGGGTCATGACTATCACATAGCACAAACTCAAGGGAATCTTCAAATACTTCTCCTCCCAAATGATGATAATAAATCATTCCATTAAATAGATCCCTCTGAAGAAAACTGTTAACAGAATACCCTGTTGAAATGAAAAATTCATCTTCTATTTAACAGTCCATGACTTTAATACTACATTAAAGTTATGCAGTTAGTTGTCCAAGTAACTGGAGAGGTGTAATGTCCTCTTTTTCACCCTAACTGGAGCAAGTCCTTCAAAATGTTCTCTCATTGTCTTCCACATTCTCTGAAGATCACCATCAAGTTCTTTTCTGTGTCAGTTAAAGATCATTCAAAAATGAAGCAAACAGGCCAAAAGCCCTGTTAAAAAGTCAGAACAGAATTTGCAGGACTAGCAGCCTCTACAGCCTAGCACAGGAATTTCTGGGTTATTACATGGAAGAAGAGTTTTCTCATCATTTAGCATAATTAGGATCATGTCTTAGCTCTGACTTTGTCACAGATCCTTGCATGCAAACAAACTCACACCAATACTTTTTCTGGAGTAAAGAACTGCAGGAAAATGGACTCAAAATGGAAAAATTACAGGATAAATTGTGTACATAGGAACAGTTATGCTAGTGCAGAGATCAACATTAATTAGTGCTGGGGTTTTACACTACAATTGAATAAGTCCAAAATTGCCACTATTTGTCCTGAGCCAAAATAAGGTCTCTGACTGTAACATGTACTGTATTTTTAAAAGGAGGGGACAAAGAAAAATTTGTACATGTGCTTCATTACCTAGCAAGTTTGGTCCTGGTTTCTTCAAGACTTCTCCTGCTTGTGGTGGCTTGGTAATATTGAATAGTATGTAGTGATCACTGGAATCCATGTCCGAAGCATGGAGCATGGAGCGCTGAATCAGGATTGTCTGTCCCTCGTGAACTTCAATGACCACATTGCTGATCAGAAATGGAGGGCTGTCATCTTTAGGGAGGATATTTATTGGAAACTTATGGCGAATACTGTGGGAACCATCAAAAATTCTAAACACCACAAAGTCCTTAGTAGAATCACTGTCATCATGATGGTAGCGGACAACTCCAGCCTGAATGTCAGAGACAGTGAACATGAATCCTTTCCCTCCTGTTAAAACAGTGGAAGAAAGCGCATCAAAAATATGTGGTTCAGCCCAAAAAAGTATCTTTCCACTAATATGAAGATTATTGAGGGAGAGATATGAATAGCATGTTGCTAACTAGAAAAATCAAATGCAATTTCACCTATCAAAATAAAAGGTTGTAGGAGTTGGAATAGCTAATAAGAATGCAAAATTTGTAACTGTGACAGCAGAGAAAATCCTCCAAATGTCACTAAAGGTATGTGGAGATTTCAAGGATTTTTAACTGTGATTGTTTCCACTTTAATTTCTACTTTCTCATCAGAGCATTTTACAGGCATTTTAAGCATCAAAGAATATATCAAATATATATATTTATACTTAAAGATCAGTACTTCATTTTAAGTAAAATACAATGATGTAGGGATTTTGGTATTTTGAGGTTATGGTCTGTCATAAGACAGTTTTATACCTCTGCTTCACTAGAAATGTTATGCATACAGACAAATATTAAGGCAAGCTAAAGGATTCATGAACTGCAAGCTGGCTCTAAAAGGTATGATCTCCCCAGGGCCACCAAGAAAACAAGCCAGGCTTTCCTCTAAGGTTTTACCTACAAAAAGACAATTCCCAGAATAGGTGGAGATGTTTTCCTTGTCATGAGGAGTGCCAAAAGAGAATAAGGCACAGTCACTGGAGATAAAATACCCACCTCTGGCTGTATGGTAGCCTGAGAAGCCCTCAAGCTCAGTATGCACAGGCAGGATTGCCGCAGGAGATGGGCCCTGGTTGGCTGCACTGCCTCCCTAGCACTGTCTCTGGGGAGAGACAGCGCTGCTAGCTCTGCTGCAACCCACCCAGCACTGCTGCCAGCACACGGTTCCTGCCTGCAGATCTGCAGGAGGATGATCTTGCAGACACTGTCTTTTTACTGCCTTCTTAAAACTTCCTGATTTTTATAGATTCGCACAGTGGACTACTTGTCCGGAGTTCCCTGGAGTTAAGTTTACTTCTGAATAGTTCTGTATCTGCTATATTCAAAACACCACCCTTCTTTTTCTTTAAATAGCTTCTTTACATCTTTAGGTTATGCAATTTACATGAACACATTCAACTACCAAAAAAACTCAGCATTGATCATGGCTAGGTATTCCCACCCTGCCAAGCCCAGAGTGATTTCCATTACATAACCTTTTCCCCAAGCACTGTGATGACTGATATGCTGGAGAGTAGAACTAGTGATATTGATAATGCAGAAGGCTAATGACTTAGAAATCTAATTTATTTTCAACTTTTTGAAATAAACCTTAAAGCTGCCAGTAACAACTATATCCAAATGCTGTCTCTATTTGCCAACAAAACAAAATCACTTGGCATTCCTTAACATCTGCAAGCAAAAAAGTAAGAACTGAAAATGTATTGACTGTGTTTCTCCAAAATCATGTTTCTTAATGAAAGCATAGCTGATTTCTTTAAAATTTTCCCTTTGGAGTGTAAACATGCATTAAGAAAATGAAGGTTTAAATATTGAATTTTTTGAACATTCCTGTTTTAATACACATGAATAGCGTGGTTGTAGCAGGGGAAGGTGGTCAGCAGAGGGAGCAGAGCTCTTGTTTTATCACCGAGGAGATTTTTCCAGTCTCTGCAGTTGAAATTACCTACCTCTGACTGAGAGCTGCCCGTGCTGTAAGCCATCAACTGTGACCAAGCGAACATTTTGGATGTCATCGTTGTCTACAATTTGGAAGTGCTGCCATGTGATGGGTCGGGATTGCCCCTCTAGCAGGTTGAGTCCTACAAAGAGCAGAGAGTTACGTTACTGTCAGCATCTAACACTTCTAAAAGTGTTTCCAACCAGAGGAAAAAACTCAGAATATTTAATTCTATCTGCACATCTATGTGTGAAAGGCATTCCAGTGAAGCTTTAGATATTAGGAAAAATTTCTACTCTGAAAGAGTTATTTAGCTTTTCAACAAGCTCCCCAGGGCAGTAGTGGAGTCACCATCACTGGAAGTGTTCAGAAAATAAGCAGACAAGGCACTTCATGATATAATTTAGTGGGCGTGGTGATATTCAAATGAAGATAATTTTGGAGGTTCTTTTCAACCTTAATACTTCTATAATGCTATGATTTTAAGGCCACCTAAAAGTCTGACAACAGCTTCTGACATACTTGAATTTTTTCATTGTCCTTAAGGAATCTTTTTTAGAGAAATAACCAATTCTGATGTTGCAAAATGCACCTACTGCAGGTAGCCTCACGTGTAAGTTGCACATTGTGTCCTGGGGGGAGGGAAACATCTGGAGCCCCAGGCCAAGAACCATCAATGGGCATGGGTGTGTCTGGTCTAAAAGAGGGCATGGGGTCTGTCTGGTCACCCAGAGACTGCAACAAGAACAAATATCACCACTGGAACAAGAACACACAGACTGTGGGGGTATAAAAGACAGGGATTCCTGTGTTTGGGGTCCCTCCCTGCAGACCCCCAGTTTGAGGTAATTTTGTGGTGCTGCACCACAGTTAAATTACATAAAGGAAACAGACAGCAAGGATTCCAATATGGGAAACCCAGGCTGAGCCAGCAGCAGAAACTTGTCTGTTTGTGTGTGTGTGGTGAGTGTGGGAAGTCAAGCAGGACATCCATCAGGTCACTGGAGCCACCTGCTGTGGATGGCTTCAGTCCCAGCAGTGCAACGGCTTCAGTCTTGGCTAGTGCAATTGTGGCTCACAGGGAGGGGTATCTGAAAGGTAAGGCAGGAAATTTCCTTGACATCTGGTTTCTAATTATCTGATAATCTAATGAGGCACATTTCTGGACATTCGCACTGACAGGAGCATTGCACTTGAAATCTCACAATGTCTGAAACTGGGCATTTAGATTTTTTAGTGAGTTAAAAACATATGTTTATCTTCCTGAGAGAGGACAGGTGCTCCTTCTTAACTAGACAGTCATTTCAGGTGAGGTTTCTCTGGAAGACATGAGGCGCCTTCTTCTCAGATCCTTTCCTTTTCTACCATAGGAAAACTGTGCTTTCCCTGGTGTTAACTTCTAGACGTGTTTGATCTTATATTTTTTCCTTTTGATGATTAAATATCAATGCAGTCTAGATGAGAGACTCTGTTCCCTTTCCAGTGCAGGCATTATAAATCTGTTTGAATTAGACCTAACCCTGTAAGGTTTCCAGGCTTTAAGTGATGGTGGTATATCATGCCCTTTTTCCTATTTGTTAATTTTTCCACACTTCCACTTTAAACAACACCAACAAGCCTTGGTCTTTCCTACGTGCTACCCCATTCTTCCTATTCCATAGTAGTAGCCCTTAATATTCATAACTTTTTATGTACAGTCCATTCTTCAAGAAAATGCTATATAAATAAATCACAGTTTTCCTGTAACTCTATTTTTTCTTTATTTTTCATTCCAGTTAAGTCATTAGATCTTTTTGAAGTTGTTGTAACATGTTCCCTCCAAAATGGATATAGGGGAAAATAGATTTCTGCTCCTTCACTTTAATGATCCTTAGACTCCAGGCGTAAATCTGATTTTTAGAGCTTTGTCAAATATTTGTGCCAAAATGTTATTGATTCTGAAGCAAAATTAACTTAGCATAAGAGATCTCACCTGTATTCCACGAAACCCGTGGGGCATTTGTATCTGTTGTTCTGATAGACAGATGCACAGTGATTGGTGAACTCCTTTCAAAGTAGAAGTCATGCACCTCAAACTCCACCTGTTGTGAAAACAGATAAACTGCTTATTGAAGACTGGAAACAAAAACACATATACTCCAAAACACATATAGTGCATTCTCTTCAGAGAGACCTTACAGGCTATTATCTGATAATATCTTAATAAACAAAACTTGATTTGGCTTCTAAAAAGAGCCACGGAAGTTCTGCACAAAACTGAACCTTCTTTGCTCTTTGCAGTGAATTCTGTGAAACTTGGTTTATAGTGCATGTAATTTTCATTTTATATGGAGTAGTTAAATCATCAATTAATATGGAGCTTTTTTAAACTACTAGTAATAAAAAGTGAGGGAGACATTTCCTGCTTTTTTAAGATGTGTAGGACCAAAATAGGTATGACAGAAAATATATGCACTAGTACAGAAAAAATAATTTAAAAAAAAATCAAACTCTTGAGCTTTCAGATTCCAGAACTGTCAAATTCTTGAACCTGCAATCAGACAATGTTGAAAGCAGAACAGAGATGAGGCACTTAAGGAGAAGATGTTTTGGTAGGACGTCTGGTCCTCACTTTAAGGAAACAGGGAAATGGGGCTCCTGTGAGAGCCAAGAAAAAAAAAGGTGAGACAAGACTTGTCAGCATCAATTGCCAGTTACGGTTGCTGTTGCTCTGCTTTCCAGGCAACCATTTCCTCATCTTATCTTGCTCTGATTTCTTGTTTGTTCAGTTTTATTGCTTTAGTACCAACCATTTTGCTTTGATTGGATAATTCCTTAAGTAACTTATCAGACAGTATTTCATAACTCACTCAAGAACCTGCAGACAGAAGTCTGACCTCATTCATCATTTCCATCATGCTCTCTGTGTTAGTGACATGCTTTTACTACTCCCAGCAGGAACTGTTGGGAACCCCTTTTTGTTATCCCTAAACCCTCATTATCACAGCCGGTAGGCTGTAAAGCCAAAGAGCAATCCTGGCCTTTACCTGGTCTATCTTTCACGACTTTAAATATGTCACCTCTGCACAGGTCACAGAGATCAGTAACATCATGCAGGGATAAAAGCTGTGTGGAAAAGGCACCACTGATCTTTCCAAAGCCTCTTGGGTAGAAGTAAAAGCACTGTTATTTCACTATTCCTCTTACTAAAAAAAAAAATCCTGTTTACGTATTTCTCAGTCAGAGTGGATAAAAGGTTTTCAGTGCAAAAAAAATTCTTATGGAATGAGCAATAAGCATGTATTTTGTGTTAGTTAAGATGATGTGTCATAGGAGAAAGTGGTAAAAGATTTTGCCTCTGCTCCTGTATTACATATAGTTTTAAAAACGTTTTTCCCCTGAAAAATGTTCATTACATGTGATTACATTTATTTCCATATTACGTAATCTTAAGGAGGTGGAAGCCAGTAAATGTTCACACATCCCCCTGTTACCTCATAATTCCTCCTCTCTGTGTGGCTGTTATTTGGAGGCTGATAAGCAATGAGCATGTCGCTGAGGTCCTTCCGCGTGAAGGAGCCAATAGGTTTGGTGTGGTCGGAGAGGTGAGTGATAAAGCCTCGTGGAGGTGGCTTGGTGATGTTGAATATAAGCAGAGACTTTGGAGTTTCATTGTCTTCAGCATCAATGGTTGTGGTTGTAATAGGGGTTAAAATAAATTGATCTACTTCCAGGATGAACTTTGCCATTGGGGCAGCTTTGGGTCTTCGGTTGGGAACAGCACCTCTAATCCGAACAGGGAGCCATGCATACTCCGTCTACAACAGAAAAAAATGAGACAACTGAAAAGGCAAAGAAAAGTGAAAAAATAAATCAAATTTCTTCTAGCTTCACATAGCAAATCCGGGTACATGTTAAAGCAATAATTATTTTGAAAAGAAAAATTAAAATATTTTAATTAGAAAATGCCTAGAGTAAATATTGAGACATCAAGAATATGACTTTCAGGTTCACTAGTCTTATTTGTGTCCTTAATTTGAGGCTGAAATGACTTACTTAATTTGATGTGAGTTTAATGAATAACTTTATCTGACAGAAACATGCACAAGCTATTAATTATTATTAACTGAATATGTTCACAGAGCTCTTAACTTATAATTACTGTGTATGCTGAAGTCAGTGCAGATCACGCTGTACAGAAGTTGTGGAATTATGCCAGAATTAATTTTTCTCTCAGGATAAACTACTTATGTCTGACAGTAATCAATCAGAGGTGTTTCTCTCTAGCCATAGTGGTCTAATCATAGAGGCATGGAGATAATGCCTTTCGTTAACTTAGCTGGCAAATTTCTAAGAACTGAAAAGATTTAAAGGCTCCCTATCTCTCTTCAAATGTGACAAGGAGCAAAAAATTATTAAAAAAGAAACAACAACAGAAACCACAGGATGACAGTCAGACATTATAAACTTGCATAAACACCTACCTTGTGCAGAGTTTTGCTTCTGCTGTCTGAGAGATCCAACCTCACAGGAATATAATCAGTGTCAGGTGAGGGGGGATCAAGGTGTCGATACTGAATTCCCATCCTCAGAAATTCTTCACAGCTCATCTTTTTGTTGGTAATGTCTCCTAGTCCCTGTGCACAGCTCCTGTTTCTGCACTGTTGGCCCAGGTTGTGCTCTGTAACCCAGAAGCAATAGTGAAATTTACCAGAGCAGAAACCACCATGGGGAACCTGCCCATGTAGCTAAAGCAACCCTGAGAGAGACAGTGTGATGAGAAGTAGGGCTCCTTTCCCTAATTTCTCCTACAGGATTTTGTTTTCCTCTGATGTCTTCCAACTCCATCCTATCCTGGTGTTTTGGTTAGGTGCTGCCTCCAGCAACGACCTGTGCTCTTTCTACTGAGTCTTGGCACACACAAAGCTGTCACATTGGTCCTACATACATCTATGGACCAGAAACATGGCCAGAATCCAATCAAGGAATTATTGACCCAGATCTGTGTTCTGCATGGTGCCTCACAAAAACTTCATGTGCCTTTCATGCCCACAATAGCTCAAGCTGTTCATTAAGTTTCACACAACCCACTGTTACACAGCACGTCTGAAACAGCCCACTGCTCCAGACTTAATCTGCTGCACCTCTCTGGAGGTGCTAATGCAAACAACAAAAGCACATCATACTAGTGCCAGGAAAGAAGCTCCATGGCTGATCTCCACCAAACTGCCCTTGCTGCACTTTCCCGGCAATAAGCAGGCCATGAGCAGGCAGGTGAGTTTCCGAAGAGATTATGGAAATGGTGCAGTCCAAGTTTATCTTCCTGTCGTAATCAAAGGTGAGGATGTTCTTGTCAATCACCCTGGACAGACCGTAGTATTCAGGGACCTCCAACGCATGGGACCGAATTTTTATGATGTTGCAGTCTGGCTCAAGTAACTGCACATGAAGGGTGAATGTTTCTACAAACGTTTCTGTTTCTGTAAACCTGCAAGGGACAGAAGAAAATCAGTTATGTTTCATGCCATCTGCTGCTGCTTTGTGATCTGGGCATTGTCCTCATCTTTGAAACGGAATTAATTGAACTGATTTCTCTCTTGTGTGCTCAAGCCTTGAATCACCATAACATAGATCCTGCTGCCCAAATTCCCCTTCTTGTAAGGGGGTGTGTGTGAAGATGTTACTCTCTGTGTGTATATGAGAGTATCTTTCCCTGTACGCAGGACAACAGAGAACAAACACGCAGTATTCTGAAAGTGCTATTGCCCCTTTCCACAGCATAATGAAAAATCACCCGTTGTGTGTAATAAGCCAGCAATACATAATACACGTTAAATGAGCATATCTGCCATGCATGGTGAGAAATGTTTCTGTAAACAGACAGTCACTTCTTGACTAATGATGCAGCTAGTGGATCTAAGTGGTTACATCATGTACAGCAGAACATGCTTTAACTGTAAAAAATGGACTGCTTGTTCTTCCTAAGGTCAGCTGGGCTCCTGGTAACAGTGAAGTGTGACCTGCTGCTGCTGCTTACCTGTACAGCCTAAGCATGACCACGTCTTCATCTAAAATCGGACATCCATTGTGGGTATATTTGACTTCATTAGGAAGGAAGTGGCAGTCAAAAACCTATGAAGGAGAAAGAATATTCTGGCACCACACTGCTGAAGAAGTTAACTTCACAGCCCCTGTTCCACTTCTCTCTGAGTGCCTGGAACCAGACTAGCAGAATGTTGAATATGTAGTTTATTTCTGTGAATGGGTATTCACCTGTACTGTGATCCCTTAGTGAGAGCCAGAGCAACCACTTGACCTGCGGCTGCCTGCACGCCACAATTAGAAGGGCGCAGGTTGTATGTGATTGTTTCAGGCCACCAAGTCCCTCCCCAGTACAATAAATAGTTTGACCTCACCTTCTTTACCACTGCAGCCTGTGGAGTTAAGGCTGTAGATATATCCAGCAGTATATACAACTGCAGTGGAGCTGAAAAGCCAGCAGTTCCAACATTATAATTTGAGACTTATTGACTTTTAAAGTTGCTCATGACAATAGCTTGATTATATAGTAAATCTAGCTTTATGTCCACCACAATTATACCAAAAAAATACGACATAGCTAACTTAGAATTGTTCCTAGTTTTTGTGATACTGACTTTGTACCAGTGGCTCTTTTCTAGATCAGACATCATCTCTGTGCCATACAAACATCCATCCCCAAAATCAATGTAATCCACAGCACAAAAGCAAGCAGATACCTATGCTTTCCTACCAGCTAATTCAAAACGGACTAATTCTGACAACATACCTGATATAAGCAAAATTTGGGAGTCTGTCTGGCCACAGTTTAACCATCTAAGGCAGACACTTCTTTCAGGCAGATTGATTTATTTAATGGTTGGTTAGTTTGTGAAAGCAAGGCAATGAGGAAATATGCCTGATGCAAATAGAAAAAAAGATTGCTTTGATACACCCGTTCTTTGGAAAAGGGATTTGGATTCTGAGGAATACAATTTCCATGTTCTCAAATACTGCAATTGGCAAGACTGGCAATTTAAAATTCCCTTGCAGTATTGTGTCTTTACTGAATCACCAGCTGAAAGCTCCTAGCATTGATAGACTGTGATAACCTTGTGATAAAAGGGAATCCCTACACAGTCCATGGAGGATGGGACATGCTCATGTTTCTTATCTACAGAGAGAAAAGGCATATTCTAGCCAGCAAGAAACCAAAATCACTGCATTTCTTAAGTGAATCTTCACTGTGAATCTAAACATAGTTTTCATTGCATTATTTGGGGCAGTATTCACAAATGGGTATATGGACTTCCACAGACTAAAGTGAAATTTGTTCAAAACTTACTAACAGACACAATAAGGCCATAACTAATAGCAGTTAATATATGTATATGGCTGACTGACTAGCCACCTTTATTTTTTCAAAAAAGAAGAGGCAATTTCTTAATGACAGTAATTTTTTTAAAATATGACAAAAGAATCATGAAAATTATTCTTTGAGCCAATTCGTGCAAATGCCTTGCATGAATTGTGTTCATTCCCTAACCACTTTAGACGATGGTGAAATGGCTGAGAGACCTTAGTAAGGTTCTAAAATTTTGATGGAAAGTGTAACTCATAGAGAAAATCTTTGGATGCTCTGACTTTAAGTGTAAAATTTATGTAATAATTTAATTCTAAATTAATTGTTAATATATGCTTAACTGAAGCACCTCATGACATTTATATTAAAGAATTTAAGAATTATTGAACTTTGTTTCTTTCTAACCATTACAGAGAAATATAACTTACATCCTTCTCTAACAGAAGAATAGTTGGAGTTTCTCAGCTTTTATTATTAGTGAAACGGTCTACTTCCACTAAAGTCATTCTCAGGTGCTCAAGCAATGTGATAATTTTTCTATGCTCCAAGCAATTTTAAAATTTATTGCCTGCTTTTAACTTTCATCAAGAAGTTCATTGTACAAAGTCTTTATTTTTTTTAGTTGCTTTTTGGGGTTTTTTTTAAGTGATGAAGTAGTTGCTTTTCAGACATATATATATGTGGATTAACCTCTTGGAATAATCTGTGGTTTTATGGAAAGTACACTTGATTTTATTTGTTGGGTCTGCTTAGAAAGGAAGGACAAGAACAATATGTGGAAAACAAAATTACTGTCATATGATTAAAATTTTGACTATGTTGTGGCTGTTCTGTTGTGCATTATTTTCAAATTCTGTAGAAATATGTACTCTGCTTTATTTTTCAAACAAAACTAAAATATATTCCTTTTTCTTACTTAATGTCCTTTCTTTCTTAGTACAAACTAATATAAAGGAACATGATATTTAAGTAATAAAATGGATAGTCTTATGTGATAGTCTACAAAAATGGAAAATAAAATTAAGAAGTAGTTATGTGGTATGCTATTTTGAAGAAAGAAAAAAATGTATATTATATACAAAACCCACTCATATGGTAGATTCAGAAGCTTAATGTTGTACACTGAAAGTAAGATTCTTCACTGACATAAATCAGTGTAGACCCCTCAAAGTCAGTAGGATTTTGGTTTCATAAGGGTGTTGTGGGGGACAAGGCCAAAGGGATTACAGAATTCCAGATAAAAGACACCCGAGCCCTTCCCTTGCCCCTGATGGAGTCACTCCATCACAGAAAGCCAAGGGGGGGTCAGGCAGGACCTGCCCTTGGTGAAGCCATGCTGGCTGGCTTGAATCACGTCCTTGTCCTCCATGTGCCCTAGCACAGCTTCTAGTAGCATCTGTTCCATGATTTCCCTAGGAACAGAGCAGAGGCAGACAGGTCAATAATTCCCAGGAAAGATCTGCCTTTTCATAGGAGGGTTACTGTAGCCATCCTCACCTGGCTGCCATGACTTTTCAAAGATTGTGGAACATGGCTTCACAGCTACATCAACCAGTTCCCTCAGGACTCAGGGATGCATCTTACTCGGTCAAATCACATCAAAGAATTAATGTCCCTATTTTTAAGACATCATTAGTTGCACATCTTATTTGGTAACAAGAGATTGGAAAATTTAGAACCTTTCTACAAAGATTTGTTACCACTGACTGACAGTCAGTTTATATGTGTATTTAGACATAATATGCTTTGCAAAAAAGAAACATCTGGTTTATGTTTCCTGATGTTTTCCTTTTGTATGAACAGGCAACTCTGTCTATAAACTCACTGGGTAAGACAAAGGAAATCTAAATATTTTCCTAATTACTGTTGGGCTTTGGATTTTTCCACTTCAACTGCTTTTCAATTACAATTTATAATTAAATTGTCATACATTCCTAGAACATTACCCAATCTAATGGAAGCAAACCAAATCATACCAGAGACATTTTCTGGCTCCAGAATTTCCTGCAGAAAGACCATGAGTGGCACAAGGAGATCTGGTCTCTGGCACCTTTTTTCAGGAACGGTGAAGGCTCAAGCACCACTAGCAGGCACAGTCCTTGTCCAGCCTGGTGCCCTGGGGCCACCAGCCCAGCAGAGCTCTTCCCTCTACGTGTGTGCCTCCAGCTGCCACACTCAGCTGCCTGGGCAGATATGCAGGGCCATGAAAGAGCAGGTGCTTAACAGATGTGGGGCTGGGAGAGGGGAGGTTGTTTGGAAAATAAGGTGCAGTGAATGCACATCTCCTGGGACCTCTTGAAAAGCTATGCGCTTGGAAGGTGTCGGGTTACACAGGACAAAGTGGCTGTTTCAAAATGCCTGGGTCCTGCTGCACATAGAAGCTGAGGCAGAAGTTAAAAGCAAAATTACTCCTCAGCCAGACAGATTGCCTACAGAAGAGTTCACTATGTAAGTCCCTCTTTTCTTCCTCTCCTTTAGGTTGTATATTATGAAAAATTTCTTTACTGAAGAAATTAAAACAGGCATTAAAACAGGTTCCCCAAGAAAATGGTGGAATCACCATACTTGGAAACATTATTAACATTAACATTAAAAAATTATATATAAGTAGGTCTTAGGAACTTGGTTTGTAGTGCACCTGGCAGTGTTGGGTTAATGGTTGGACTCATTGCTCTCCAAGGTCTTTCCAGCCTCAATGATTCTATGTTTGTAGGAGCCAAGGACCAAACTGGGCTGGGGAAGTAGAGAGGTGGGTTACTAAGGTCAGTGTTCCTGGCTGGCAGAAAACAAGCCCTGGGTAGTTTCTGCAGATGCACTACACGACTTAAGGCAGTCTCTAGAGAAGATCACACATTGTCTTCCTGGTTTCCCTGGTACGCCTCTGCTCCTTAGGAGGGCTGATTCAGCTGAAATACTTGTCAGTGGTTTGCAAAAATAATACTGAGGACCAAGCCAGAAGTTTTGAAAAATCTATTGAGATTGGTGCTTCTTCACCTATCTTCACAGAAGACACCAAAAACCCTGGAAAGGAGGTTAAAAACTATATTCATATACAAGCACATGAAAATGTATGCTGTGGCACAAACCAGAACTTTTCAAACTCCAAAATCCCCTTAGTTATGACATTAAAACCATTTATCTCCTGTCTATAGCATTACATCTTCATGACAACTGTGTTCAGCTCCTTCCTGCTATAACTCAGGTAGGCAATTTGTAAAGCAGATGAGTAGCAGAAAAGTCGAATGTGAAATATATTTCAGTATTTCTACAAGCTCAACATTTGAAAAGAAAACGGGAGTTTTAATGTATTTGCCATCTGCTAACAATTTGGCTGTTGCAGAGCAGAACAAACAATGCTGCACACAATGTGCTTATTGTATGTGATTGTTTTTTCTTAATTGGTCCTTAAGTAGTGGCTCCGTGACTAAAATTCAAAATGCTGTAGTGGGATGTGCATTATTCAAGGGGCACTGGCTACCCTCATGGGAGAAAAATAAGCAGCTGAGAGACTGGAGGGTATCTCCTAACTGGAAGTTTTGAAATACCCATTCTTCACTTGTGAAAGGAGACTCTGACCAGACTCACTTCTGTGCACTCATGCTACTGATCTCAGCTTTTGGATTTCAGGGTTGCAGTTCTCTGCCTGCTGTCCCCTTAAGCAAAAGGCTGAATCCCACACACCATTCAGATTCATGCCTTTTAGTCGCTACCCAAAAGAAGAACAAAAATCAATCAAGCAGCCTCTTTTAGTTTCTCCCAGACCTGCACACACCGATACTCAAGGCAGAAAAACAGAGCCCAATTACCTGTGGAGTAAGTTTCCCAACCCTCTGTGTTATTGGCTCATTGATCACTTCTACTTTGCAGACATCTTTCTCTCTGGGGATGGAAAAGTTGAGGTCTTCTTCTGACAGGAAGACAGACTGTCCCTTCATCACTTTCACCCCAAGGTTCACACTAATAAAGGAGGAGCACACAACTCTTAACACAACAGGCAACAGTAGAAGCAGCCAGCCTTTCTCAGAGGGCTTCATATTATAGGGGAGTGCCAGCCTTCTTCAGTGAAAAAATTTCTTAACAAAAGGAGTCTTCTTCCTCCACCAGCAGACTTTCACCATGTAATTAAGGCATTATTGGTCACAGATTAAAAATGTATGGCACGTTTTCTATTAATAGGCTCTCCTTGACTGAAATTTGGGCAGTTATTGGGCAGATATTTTCAAAATATCCTTAGGTTTTTATAAAATTGATTGGTCAAGCCTGACAAAATGATGAATGTGTTCTCAAGGTTTGTTAATCCTGAAAAAAAAAACAAGAGAAAGAAATTGCTATAAGGAATCAGGCAACTATAGGGATAAAACCAAAGCAACTAACATAAAAAATGCTTCCACCATTTCTGACAAATGCAGTTCATTTCAATACTGTTCAGTGCACACATGATCAGAAAATAGCAGACAACCCCTAAGTCTGAGAAAAAATCAGCGGAGATAAAGAAGACAAGATAACATAGAAAATAAATTATACAAGTTTCTCGTGCCCCTAATTACAGTGAATCTTCATCTTTCATGTTTATAACCTCATAAGAAAATATTTTTTTTTTCTGGCATTAAACAAGCGCTATTGAAATCCTTTTAAAAGCCTAATTTCTACAATCCTCCAAAGTAACTGAAGCTACAGCACAAAGAACAGGAAGTGATATTGATTTAATTAAATTTGAGAAGACCATAAGAATTCCAAGACAGAAAAGTGTCAACATTCCTTTTTGTAAAATTTTAATGCCCTGACTAATTGTTTGCCACAACCTTACAACCAACAGGGAAGTTTCCTGAAAGTGAATTAAAAACCAAGTTCTTGTATGTCTTTATTTTCTTTGTTGTTTTTAATAGGTAAATGTTCACTCTACTGTTTCTGGCAGAATTAATTTCTGAGTAGCCTGTAACTGAATATAGTTATCCACCCAGATTTAAATTTCACTTAAAAATAACTGCAGTTCAGAAGTTCTGTAAAATTATTCACTTTCAAAAGTTAAACAAGACAGATCAACTCACTTCATCACATGTTTAAGATTGAAGATAATGAGTCTCACATACATATGAAGTTAGATGTATGTTGACTGTGTAGTCTGGAATGCAAATTTTTACTCTAGTTTTCTACGTATTTATCTGAAAGTCTTTCCATTTTGGTTTAAAATGTTGAAACCATACCAGTCTGAAGTAAATCTGAGAGACAATGTAGAATTCTAGCCAGTGGAAGAGGAATGAAATCTATTGTAGATATTTCCGATAAGAAAACAATGAGAAATTTTAGTTTCAGACTAGAACCTGGCAAAGTGCTAACAGACAGTTAATGACTCTGATACATAGACCTGGTGGTTTGCATTTCATGACAATGCCACTTATTCTCTGCTCCATAATAGCAGGCTGAGGCAAAGAAATATGGTGCAAAATAGCTTTATTCACAGGCGTTTTCTTACACAGTGCCTCATCAGAAATTATAAAATTAAAGCCTGGATAATTTTGACTTTCTCCACTCCAATGTGGATAGCTATCATAAAATGATGTCAAAGTTGAGAAATAGCTTCATCACCAGTTTAAAAATGACACTCATGCAGAGACATCTGTATCTTGACTCTGCTTCATCTGTTTCTGGTGCTGCCCCATAAATCCCAGCATGGAATACAGCTCTAAACCTTGCGTGCAGGCAGTGGCTTCTATGCTGCCCTTTCCTGCATCAAAAACAGAACAGAAAGTGTTCAAGAGGAATCAGGAGCATTTTGATCAATTTCATGGTGGATGTATGAGATATTCTCTGCTGTAAATTTGGCCCTTTTGTCACTGTGTATTACAGTCTTGCTTTGACTACTTTAAGGTGCAGACAGAGCTCCTGTATCACTATTTGTTTGCCCCATATGTTGCAGCCACTGGCCTCTACTTGGATGCTGTAGGACTGTCTCCTAAGGTGACCAAGGGAAGACCTTGGGAAGTACAACCTCACTTTCTCAATTACTTACACAAAAAATCATAGCAAGATGAAATGGCAAGAGATTCTTTCGACACATAATAACAATAAAAATGAGAAGGCTTTTGGGGTGAAAGCCAAGGCATTAACATCCTCCCTATCTGTAAAGGAGGGCATTGCTTCAATGAAGTTATGTGTGTGCTACATGGTACTTACACTGATTGACAGTCTTCTGCTCTTCAGCAGATACACAGCTGCTGGTGATGCCACTGTCACATTTTGTGACTGCTTTGAACTTCCTTACAATCTCTTACTTATCTCTTTACATGTCTTACTTATCTCTTAATTATCTCTTACAATCTCTTACTTCTCTGCCCTTAATATCACAGCTGAACCTGATTCTCCTCTGCTACTCATTGCCACGTCACCTGTGTCTCCAGAAGGGACATACAACTAAGGGACTGTTAAATTCAAAGTGCACCAAAATATTTCATATTACGTAGTGGCGTAATGAAATAATGGTATTCACAAACAACATAGAAGGAAATTAAACTGAAATAAGTCTGTTTTCTCGTCGGCTTTCTAAGGGTCAGTCTATATGCTAAAACAACTGAAACAACTGAGCAACTCCAGGTGCACTGTGTGAGTACAAGCTCACAGAAAGCTACCAGCTTTGGTCCCAGAAGCAAAACAGTCAGTTCTATGATATATCATGTATAGCTGTTATTCTTCAGTGGGGATGGAAGGTTTAATTTATGAGGAGGGGCCAACACAGCTGGATTTGTTCAGCCTGAAGAAGAGAAGCGTTATTGCTTATTTTTAGGCTTCTGACAGAAGAGTGCCTGGAGCACAAGGAAGAGACATACAAACACACTAAAACAGCAAGATTTATTTAATTAACAACTAATCAAGGCCCAAGCTGCTTGATGTAACTTTGGAGCAAAATTTTCCATAAAACTGGCTTTTCTTGGGAAAAGAGGTAGGCACAGTTACCTGCAGAAGTCCTTTTCACCCTAAATCATACGCTGACTCTAGGCTGAAAAAGCAGAGCCATCTGACTGCTAAGATCTAAGATGGTTCATTACAAACATAACAAGTGAGCCTGATTGTGAGCAGAGCTACATTGATGTAAGTAAAAGATTAATACAAAATTATTTAGATAGCTATCTACCAACACAAAAGAACTGAAAGTAAAATCTGACACAGCACCAGTAAGTCTCAGCTTTAATAACTAAAACTTGACAAAAATACCTGTAATCACAAGTTGGCTTTGAGCCAAGTCTCAATGACACCCAAACCTGTCATTGGGATTTGGATGAGACTTCAAGAGTTTCTCTGCATGTGACAAAATCTCTGGTTTCCTGGAGTATTTCCCTCAGCACGTGGATCAAAATTGCCCTAATCTTTCGCAAAGCTGGAAGGGGATAATGGAGAATGATTGCTGTAGGTTGGAAGTTGGATTGATTTGTTTTAATTAATACCAGAAAAAGTTTGCAAGAAACAGAAAGAACATACAAAAATTTTTGAGGACACATTTAAAGAAAACAAGAGCTTTCCATGATTTCTAGGAAACAAGATTAATATTATTATAGTAATTAAAATCTGGCACGGGGTAATGAAAGGATCATGAGGTATTAAATTAGAAGAATGTGCACTTAACACATGCACCCCTTGGACTGTTTGCTATTTAATGGTTCTGTTCCATGCACACAAACAAGAATTACAGGTCACCAAGAAGCTAAGTATCTGGCAAGGTATTTGCTGAGTTAAGGAATGGCAGATAACACCCTGTAAGTAGTTACACCTTGGACCCATGCCAATGGCAGAGATGCATTTTGCCTAAGGTAAAGTGCAATCCTCAGTTAGCTGAGATTGTGACTAGTAGAATTCTCTAACTAGAAAATACATTACTTTAAAAATACCCTTCTAATAACCATTTGAAGAAACAGTGTATAATTATCTGCAGAATTTGCTGGAATATCTCAGCAAAACACAGTAAAAGCAACTTGTTTTTAAAAGGTGATGATTCCAGACAAATACATAGAAATCAGCAGGAAATGTAAAATCTTTGTAAGCACATACATTAAGGGACACATGTAAACTTTTATGCATGCATATGACTAATAAACCTCTTCCTATTTTAGATTAATCGGTTGTCTGAATGAAGATGAAAATGTAGAAATGCTGACAGTTCCCTATTGCAAAATAAGTGTACGATTTTAAAACATGCATTTAAAAAATAAGTTATCCCAACTAAATGAAATATATCCTTTTTAATGACTTACTAGTATCAAAAGGTTTTAGCATATGTTTCAGAGCTTTTTATCACATTTGTGTCTCTCATTAATAAGACAATTCTAAGCAAATAAATCTTATTTAGGTCTTCAAAGCTTTTAAAGCCACAAAGTTTCATTATGTCTGATGAAAAAAAGACAGCATGGTTAAGAAATTTATATCAACTTAAATATTAGGATAAAGTAAGCTGTTTGGAATCCCAGCTTTCAAGTTAGCTTCTACTAAACCACTGGCAAAACCCAGTGCCTGCTTTCCTCAAAGTTAGAACTGAGCTTTCATCCATCTCGAGCTCAAAAATTACTGTCTGGCTGCTCTGCTGCAGCATTCAGCAACAAAGTGAACTCTGCAAGCTGCTAAGCGCTATTACAACCACAAACACCACAGCATTCAGTTTGTACAACAAACTTGAATAAGATACTTACAGGTACAGTGTTTCTGCCGGAGGCTGAACATGAGATCATTCTAGAAAAAGAGGAAAAAGGTATGTCACTGACCCAGTAATTTCTGTTTTAAAAGGCTGGCAGAGAAAGAAATCCAACGAGTGAGCGACAGAGAGAAAGCAGAGAGGGGGAGGGGAGATAGATGAAATTCCAGTCTTTCTGGTCAGCTTGGCTGTAGTTTTCTCTGTACTGAAAATCCACAATAAACACTCCTTGCTTGCAAGACTGCTCCTGACTGCAGAGTCACAAATTACAAATACTTTCAGGCTTCGTATGATAAAAGCACTCACAGATGCCTTGAAGTGTTTACACTCAGCAATGTTTCTCTGCCAGTCAGCTCCAGATCTTCTTTTCCCCTTCTCCCAGTTAAGTCTGTTGGGACCAGAAACTAAGCTGCTGTTACTGATGTTTGCTCTTTGTTGTTCTCTTTTTTCCCTTTTTTTTCCTTTTTTTTTTTGTCCCCATTTTTGCTACTTTATTTCCTTTGAAATGCACACAAACACACTACTGCAGTAGTATTCAAATTATAATTTTATTTTTTTCCCATTCAGAACAGCAAGGAAGACAAATAGTATAGGCAAAATCCTACCAATTATTAAATATCTCATAGGATTCAAGATGTCTCTCCAGCTTTCTGTTATGATTCACATCAGATTTAACTAGCTGATGAGATTCTAAGTAAAATTTGCTATCATACAGTGGGTCGTGGGTGCACCCTCTGACAGCCCTAATTTTCGGAGCACAGAAAGTGAATTGCAAAGTCCCAATACAGGGACAGACTACCCTAATCCATCTCAGCACAGGGACTTAAAGAGTTTTTTAAGTACACAGAACAAAAACGTTTTCAGCCCAGCAATAGGGCACTGGGACAAGGGCAAGAGGGGAAGAGCTACTGACTTCCAGGTTGTTTTGCAGGAGTCAAACCCAGCACAACTGTAGTGCTGCAACATTGTCTGCCCTTGTCCCTCTTTGAATCGGCAAACTGACTTTGACCCTCATATGGAGACAAAACCACAATATAAAAATGCAAAACTGAAGTCAGTGGGAAGAAAGAAAATAACCAGCAGATGTTCCTGTGGCATGGCTTATGTACAGATGAAGAAAACAGATGACTGTTAAAAATTAAAATTAACTCGAAGCTACACAATGTGTAATATGATACAATCTGGCCTATATTTCCCTAGGGAAAAAACCACCATGCACAAAATTTTCCTCGAGGTACATTGTTCTTATTAGAGTAATGTACTGTCCTGGATTTTAGACCACACATTTTATCAGGCTTCAGAAAAACTTGCTATAAGTATTTGTCTCCTCTGGGTTGTGTAGATGGCTGTGGGTTAGCCTGTATGTTTCTGGTTTTGCTTGCTGAAACGTAGCTTCTAATTCACTGTGATGAATGGCCTTTCTGTACTGTACCATGGTCTGATTGGGAGCATCAGCATAACTGTCCTTACAGGCTGATTAAAACAGTGGCAGCTTATTATAAAGCCTGTGACACATTAATCAATAATATCATTGCAGAAGCTGTCTTCAAACCGGTTTTATTACTGCAGCAATGAGCTTAGCATTCCATTTTTTATTGTACTCCTTCACTACAATTAATTTCTTGCAATCTATCAAGGTCACATTACCTAAAGGATAGAACAAAATTACCCAAGCTTTTCTTGATAAATGCCAGAGCACTGAAGAGAAGACAAGCCTTTTGTACAACACTCAGTCTTTCCATTTCAATGTTTGCCTGCACAGAAAATAGTGTAGTTATGTTTCCCATAGACGAAATTTAGGCACAGTATATATTTTTTGTCAATTATTAGTAAAATCATGCAGTCCAGATTGTTGATGTGAAGGTAATAAGTTAAAAGTTTTCTGCAAGCTTTTGTTAACAAGATACAGTCAAAATCAGCCACTTTCTTTACAGGCTTTTATTTGAAAAATTAAAAAAGACCTTACTTGAGGCACAAGGTAGGCAAGAGTACACACACACACAAGAGACACGTCACACACAGCCCCATCTCTGCTTTTTAATTTTGACTTACATTGATAATAAAGGCCTAAACTCACATTGTTTGATATCTGCACATTCAGTCAACACTCCTGTAAGGAGGATGAGGTTCTCAAAGGAACAAAAAAGAATTGTTCTTATCCTAATCTGAAGGCTGTACAAGAAGATCTGCTACATTGTGAGGGAAAAAATACAATTATTTTCCAGGTATTTACTACATGACATAAATTTTATTGTGTGAGCAACAATACCTGATAGCAGCAGTCCATTCTTCATACAACTTTTAAAGAAAATATTCTAATACATCAATGTCTTACATGGAGCACAGAGTTCCTAGACAAGTTGAGCACCATGAAAATATTTAATTTGGCCTCATTGTAGAGTAGCACTTAATGAAGACCTAGGAGGAATGGCAATATCCCTGTGGTAGAGGAAATAATTATATTCCCACTAGAAAAGAGTTGGCCTGTTCTTTAATGTGCCTAATAAGGGATAGAAAAAGCATTTTTTCACACATCAAGATGCATAGGAGGGAAAGGGTAAACACTATGTGTTCAAAATGTAGGCTACAAATGGTTTAAAATAATCCCAAAACACATGAAGGATTGGTTCATGCTGGCAGTCTGCCCACTTCTTGCAACAGTGCTCACAACTGGGCTTCAAAATGCATGTTAAAAATGCCCACGTTTTCCCTCTCTTTCTTTAAAGTCTGTTGTTACATGTCCAAGCATTCTGCCAAATCTCACAGACCGTGTGTCCTCATTCGTGCAAAGGGGGAATTGTTTCAATTGCAATTTGCTTAAAACTGAAAGATTTTTAGGAATATTACATTATTGCTATTAAGGTAATTTGCACTCAGGAAAGGTTCCTTAGTTGTTTTAATTGAGATCAATCAAGTGAATTTAATGAGACTCTGGAGATTTTTATCCAGTCTTTGAAAATTGAGCCTTTTTGTGGGGCAGGGCCTTTTTTTTTGGCTTTAAACCACATATGGATTTAGACCACAGCTGTTACAAATGGATTTCTGTCACAGTTCATGTTTCTAAAGTTTCACTGGCTTTCCTTATTTAGCTCGCTCTGCCACTGACTATGAAAGATCTGCAAAGAGAGCTTTCCAAACAATGTCACAGATTTTATTTTTGTATTCTACAGAAGGGTGTAGGTTCTGCAAAAGCAGAGTACATTATGCTCAGAAGCATAATATGGTAGGTCTAAGGCATAGCAGATACTGCTCCTGACCTTAAACAGTAGTTCCAGAAAACCCATACTTTTTAGAATATTGAAATCATTCTGTGCAGAGCATGCAGGCTAAAACCAGGAATGCTGATCCTCCCTTGCCTCTGGAGTGTACATTTTTACCTACATCTGTGCTTTAAGTGTGACAACACATTCCCAAAACCTCTGCAATCCCTAACTGTTCCGAAGGCATGCAGAAGTCTTTAAGCACAAGATAGTGCTTTAAGCTGCTATAATCCTCTAAAAAGGTTACTTCTGAAGAATTTTCATTTCTTGGCATTCAGCTAAGATATTATTAAGATGAGAGGTTAATTAAAGAAAATTGAAGGAGGCTTCTGAGATAGGAGAAGAAAAGAGAAACCACACTAGTTTGCACCTGCTGAGGATAGCTTAGGGAATTCTAGGAAGATGTGTTATTTTAATTCTAACAGCACCAGATCTGACTCTTGCTTGTAATGAATGAAACACAGCAACTGGAAAAATGGGTAGTCCTCCAGAATATCTCCACTGTACAGGTGGGTACTCCTGTCATCTTTCTACTTTACTATCAAAGCCCAGCCGTGGCACAAGCAGTACCCTCTGTTATCTGGGCAGATGCAGACCTAAGGAAGGTGGAACAGAAAGGGCAACATGAGAGGTTTGAGAGACAAAGCCAGAAAGAAAAGGAGAGGAGAGCAGAACAAAGATTGGCTTGGAAAGGAGAGCTTGAAGCCCAAATGCCAGCTATGGCCAGCAGCATCATCTCACACACCTTTGTTTCAACATTCTACTCAACAGCACATTTGTGATAAGACATGGTCTGTTGAGACCAAAGAAATGTTTCCCCATCCTGACACAGATCTGTATCTTTATGTGTACAAGCAGATGCAGATCAGCAAGAATTTTATAAGAAATTATGCAAGTAATGCAATAAAGTTTGGTCACTGGAAGCAAGGAATCATACTTTCCTTTTCAAGAACTCAGGATTACAGTAGATAGTACAAAGAGAAGAAGAAAATTCTTAAGTGAGGACCTCTGATGTCTGGGAAAGAATCTTGAATAGGTGTTTTGAGTTGTATTAACTTCATAAGTGTCCATATATGACAAAGGAAATGGCAAAAGACATCACAAAACACTAGATATGCTGTGAAGAACAGAGACTTTCTAAAAATTCAGCACCTAGTCACTGTAGTTGGTAGATTCTTTAAAAAAAAATCGATTCTACCTTCTCTTCCTCTTTCACTATTTGCACTATTTTTTGCAGTCTTTTTTTTCTAAGTCTGCAAATGACCAAATGTAGGTCCATTTCACCTGGAAGTGCCTAGTTTTTATTCACAACATCTCGTTCTTTCTTGAACCATCCTTCCTGCACTGGTCAGAGGACAAGCCAAGTTAAAAAAAAAAAAACTGAAAGAAGTAAATATACTTCATTTAAAATCTCTTTCCAGCTGAGGTTTTTTACAGAGTGACAGTGAATGATAATGTGAGGTGTTTTTTCTCTTGGCAGTTTGTCCAAACAGAATTTTAAATTAGCCAGCCTAGGTCTGAGTGAAAAAGCACAAAGACTCTTGAGGACTGTAGGGTGTTGGTCAGAAAAACAGATGCTTGCATAAAGAGCTGGGGTATTGTGAAAGAACAGAAATATGAATGAGGGACAAAGAAAGTTGTCCCATTTTCTGCCTTTCCCAAGCCAAAGGTAGCCAAGGTTAGATCCAAACTGAGAGCACTATGTCACATATGTTGAACCAGCTGCAGAATTTCCAGGCCACAAACAAGCCTCATGGAATTCTAGAACGACAGTGTTCTGGTTTGGAAGGGACCTTAAAGATCATGTATCCAAAACCCCCTGCCATGGACAGAAGTGGCATTTACAGGACCACGTTGCTCAAAGTCTCATT